GTCGTACCCTGTAATTTCCACGCTTTATCCCACCTTTCAACTAAAATACAACAAAGCAAGCTGCTTGGTGGCTAGGTAAGATACGATAAGATAAAATAGGGACCCACGTAACTTTGCATAAAGTCTACCTCCGTAGATAAACAATTAAACGTATAGAGTAAATTATTACATCTACCACTACGTAGATTTGTTTTAAAATCGTGCTCTATTTATTTGCCGGCCTGTAGTACCTAATATCACAGATAAGATAATATTACATAGTAATATCAAGGAAATGGGTTGTAGCATTTTGAAAAAAAAATTTATTAGGGTTTCTAATGTTCTTCTTTTTTTTAACTAATATCTTGACATACGAGTTGCAATGCTGGTGATATAAATGAAGCGTTGTGTATAAATATTGCATCTTTAAACTATAAGAAAGCCATCTTTATTGCAGTTATTCAGGGCTATAAGATATCACTAGCAAGCCTTCCCTCAAAGGCTCCCAATTATAAAAATCATTTTTATTATAAAATCCCTAGAATCTGCTACAATGAAGCGCTATGTCAGTAGACCAAGCAAGTGAAACTGGCCCCATTATTGACAGGCCCGCGTCCATCATAATAATGAACAATAACAGGAAACATGACTCCCGTATGAATCATTACAGTAGTCCGAATTATCAACGGTATCTGTACACTGTTTATTTCACGTGGTAATTTCGTGATTGTACCCGATATCAACGGCCCGTAATAAGGTACACCAAGCTAGCCTTTTTTATATGGGGAAGAGCTATTATATATTTATTTAAATCAGTGAACAAAATTATTAGGTTGAAAATAAAACTAAGTATAAAAGGCGGTCTTATCGCTAATACAATATCTTGCAGAAAACTATTGGAAGTTGAGAGTATTTAGAAAAAATAAATTAGTAGGCGCCTATAACGCTTACTTACTCTTACTTACAAAAAACCTATTATTTAGTACATATTCTATACTGTTGTTCCCTATCGTCCGCCATAATAACGGAGCCGAGGGAAGGGGATTGTTAGTAATTAGGTATATATAGTAAAAATAATTGGACTAGGACCCTATTTCTATCCATGTACCAGCTCGATCTCAACGTGGTTCCCATTAATTTGAATTGAATTTACCACGATAAATATTCTCATCTTATCATTCTTCACTGGTGCCCTGCCAGCGCAAACCGTTAGCAATTGCGGGTGCATCATTCCATTAGCATCAATAAAAAATACCGGGGTAGTAGTTTTCATTCACATTCTAATACAAAACTATATAAACCTTAAAGAAGAATTGGCTTAATTAAACTGAAACACACAGTCTACGATAAACAGTTGAGGGAAAGTATTCTCAGTTCCCAAATCTCCGAAGATAAGTTTTTGATTGTACCCTAAGGTACACCAGCTTCAATCGTTAGCTGAGCGGAGGAGATGGGGGATATTTTGTAATAAGAATAGCATTGCTAGCAATGTACTGAGTTAGGTCTACGTCAACACGACCCTTCCTAGAAGTTATGTGTATAAATAAAAATGTTAGGTAAGACTATACCACCGGACCGGACAAACTAGTACCTTGCTCAATGTTATATGACTTATGTTTGAAATGTGATAAAAAATTGAAAACTTACATAATTCATTTCAGATATTTTTCTTTACTATATAATAATTTAGAAAATGTTACTTATAAATTTTAATTACATACCTACCTTTGACTCTAAAAATACCGGACCAGAGGGTGATTGTAAAGATTGTACTAAGTCGTGAGCGTGGGTGTCTCACATAAATCCTGCCGCTAAGCAAATTGCTTCGTAAGCTGTGTACCTGTTTGAGTTTTGCTTAGTAAAAAGGAATATTCTAGTGAAATTATTAGAGACGATATAGATGTAACATCTTTTGATGTTGTTTAATTTTGTAACATGTACTATTGGTACGTAAGAAACATAGAAAACACTTAGACCAATATATAGGAGGAGAATTTGAAACAATCATCGTACATTCCTTAAGAATTCGACAGGTTGGGCTAAATAACCTGACTTGATGTTCATCCTATCATTCTCCACTGGTGTCCCGCCAGCCTATACCTTTATCACTAGTGGACGGCCCACCATACTTAAAAATAAAATTTAAGAAATCAAGTAGGTATATACAAATATTAATTTTTTAAACTGGTTTTAAATGGTAAATATATTTATTTATGTAAAATCTATACATCTATACATATAAATAAAATTGGAGGGTCTGATTGTAAAATCGAAATAATCGTTTTTTACTACATTCATATAAATATAAATACGGTACATACACCAAAACAACATTTTTTACAATTTTTGTCTGTCTGTTTGTTCCAGCTAATCTCTGACTTTTGACGGAACTTTTTTTGGCAGTTAGCTGATGTAATGAGGATTAACTTTTGCATTAGACATTCAGAAACAAAATATTTTAATAGTTATCTGAAAAGAGCGCCTGATGATTTTTTACGCATTCTTTTCAGCAGACTAACACATTCGGAATACAAAATAAATAGAAACCGCATTTCAAATGTAGCTCAGGAATAGTAATTGTCAATATTAAAGTGATTACAATTAATTTATTCAGATTTCAGTTTTATTTACTTGCCATATAAAACAAGATACATTTAGCCCGTCAGTTACAAAATTATAAATTAACTTAATAGTGAACATTAACATTTAGATACATTTTAATTTGACATTGACATGTATTTATCAATGTAACAACATGCATTATATTTAAAAACTGTACTTTAAAGTAGAAGAACTTTACAGTACAATTTACAATAGTAGTTAGTACAAAAATTTACCATATTTTTTACAAATCGGCTATTTCTTTTGGCAATCAATTATACATCATTATATGTAATGGAAGTATCTGCTTAATAGGTTTTGCTAGTCTTTTTTTGATATAACAAATTTGAATAAAGATGACTTCCCTTTCGATCGATTCCCCGTCCAATTCAAACGGGGATCGAAATTACGGTCTGAGCTGTGGTCGAATTCCTAGCGGTGCCCTCAGACTAAAGTCGTATCCGTCAGGCCGAATTGGCCTTCAGCCGCTCCATAAGTCCTTCCGCGGGTTTGGAGTGCCATCTCCACTGTCCTGTAAAGCTGTAACAGCCAGCTGCGGCCAACAACCTACATAATGCTGTTAGTAGTCCGAAAAAAAATAATAATGAAAAGATGACTTCTATTTTATTCTAGTCTATTCTAGTGAGCTAAAGTGAAATGCCACTCGGTCAGACAACTATCGAGATATAGAGTACGACATTTTGATAGTAAATGGCGCGTGGTGCGGTCACTTGGCAGAGACGACAATAGTCCGACACGTGCCAACTTCCGTGCGCGGTGTGATTGCATTACTAATTGCAGCATCTAGTATGAAGTAAGAATACATCGATTGATGATAAATAGCATTAAAGTTATTGAATGATGCCGGCCGTCGCCAAGTCTGGACTGGACGCTAGGAAAAAAAATTGACGTTCATAAGTGGCTAAAATGTCCTACATGAATAAATTATTTTTAATTTGATTTGAGATAATGCGCTTTCAGCGTAAGTATATCCTACTAATATACGTATTAGAATAAACTACCTACTACTACCCGCATAACCTATTAAAATTATAATAAACTAACTTTTACCCGCGATTTCGTCCGCGTGGAACTTAACTGTCTTTTCTTTTAAATTTATAAAATTTCCAAATGTATTTTAGCATGTATTCCTCCTTACGACATCTCCGAGTGAAAGTCCTATCAAAATCATTTCAGCCATTTCAGAAATTAACAGAGAACAATAGACAGATGGACAAACATTTAATTAAATATTTTATGTACCAAATACCGTACATATATACTTTATTATGCATATAGCGAAAAGATGTTAATTTGAAATTACGAACAGAAACTTCATTTTTATTTATTTGTATACATTTATACTTCACTATATCTATAATACTTCATAAATATATTATAATAGAAGTTTAAAATGGAGGGATATATAGTATTCATTCATGTAAAAACTAATGGACTTATTCAATCAAAATTTAGTACAGCAGGTACTGCCATATTTTTGATTGTTCGATTCATTAAATAGAGAAGATTACAAAAGAGTAGATGGCGCCACCATGTTATAATGCAATCATCAAAGTCAAAAATGTTGTTATAATTATATAGAAATTGAGTCTAGCACTGATCATAATATACTATTTAAAACTTATTTGATACTCATATAATATTATTATGTCCGGAACTAGTGTATATTAAATATACTATTTCCGGATCAGAAGTAATTGCTGTTGAATATTATTACAGTCTCAAAACAATATTTAATTCATTATGTTGAAGCGCCGTGTAAATTACTATTACACGTAGTAACTTAACCAGATTTACAGTGTTCTTCAACAAACTTATATGGTCTGACTTCGCGACAACAAATACCTATAAAATAACAGTCTACACTTACCTGAAATCCAAACCAGAGAAATGCTAAAACCAACACGCCCACCGAGTTCGAGCAGAAGATGTTCGAATAGCGAGAAAACGTAACGTTTCTTGACGAACTAGTTTAATTTTTTAATACTGTCCTATAACGTGTAGAAAGAAATAATTATTTAATGAAAAAACGTAAACGCATACCGTCTATTTTTAAGATTTTTTTAAATTAATAACAAAAGACGGCGTAATGAAGAGAATATTCAGTTTCTTTTTTTGTTTAAGAATATATTCGCTTTTTTGGCGGCCAGTTATATATCCACTCCACTATCTCATACCTCTATTTAGCCAATAGGTGACCGATATGTTATAGGTATCTGATGTCTATTAGTGAACTATTAGTATATGGATGAAAAATTAAAATTAAACCACCTAATCACATTTATTGTTTTATAAACTTTACACGAGTCTAAATTTTAAAATTGCCTTATCTGTCAAAAAATCAGTACTGTCAAAGAACTCAATCACCAAGTGCCACTGCCAACTGCCAATTCTGCCAAATCCAAACTGCCAACCAGAATAAAATGTCGGAAAATATGGCGTCTCTTCGAAAGTGACTCCTAAAGTTTCTAACGTATTATTTTAATGAATGTGTGTTGATATAAGGAGAACAGGTATTGACATTATTATTTTAATTTTATAGGTAAGTTAGCTTTTGAAAATCAATCCATAAATTACTGTAGATATCCGTTTTGTGAACCGGTATTGGATTGGTACACCTTCCCAGTACTTAGCATTATGATTCTTTCCTTTTATTTTATATTAATTACGCTGTTTGGAACGAAAACTCAAACTTTCATGTTCTTATTTAGTGATTTTCCTAAATTGTTACTTATAACGTGTTTTTGCCAGTCTAATTAGTTAATGTAATGAATTAAATGTAAGTGTAAATTAAGTGTAATTTACATATTTCCGACGCCTTTCTCGCCTATGATATGGTCCAGTGTTTTAATTTTTTTTTAAATCGAACTCTTTTTAAATTTTTAGTTCAGTGTGATAGCTACGTACAGAGGCTAAAATTTGAACCTATGTTAGTTATTTTAAAAACATACAATTGTAAATAATAGTGTATGACCAACTAATTGTAAGCGGTAACCATCCCCTGTTTACATGAACATCACATTAACATTTATTTATTTATTAAAGTAAAAGCAAAGCTAACTATACACATATTGAATCAATATAAAAACATTGTAGAAGACTAAAATGTAATGCCTCTTATTCTATAATTTCATGGATGCTACAACCGAAACAGCTTACAATGCAAACTGCATGGTGGCTGTAGAGAACTTTTTAGTTAGTCTACCTTTGGATCTTATTTGTCATGTAGATAATAAGTTGCATTGCTATATTTATAATTTTCTATTAATAGAACACCAACACACCTGTTTTTTTCAGGATCTCCAGTTGGTGATGGCTACACCGAGTGGTTACAAACAAAACACATCAATGTCGATGCCAAGTCCACAAAACAATCCGCGTTTGTATTCCTTCTAATTTATTATTTAGAAACATTTATGTAGTTGCATTCATTTAGAAATAGAGCCTGTAGACTATAGATTGTAAACATAGACCTTATAGGGAGTCTATATGTATTATAACTTGCCAGTGTTACTTAAATAGTTTTTACCAAAACATAATTGTCTATGATTTAATGTTTATTGTTGAACTAACTATTTAACATAAAAATATCGGCCAATTGATGCCATTGCAAGCTTAGCAGGGCTGAGATATACTCTTGGTATTGCCGGTATCTAACTGCTGTTGATCTTGTGAAGCATGGCTCCAATTCTATGCTTTTTTTTTCGAAGTTTTGCATTCAGTAACTGACTTTGATTTCCGTTAATTTTGAATTTTCCACACATTTTAACTTACATTGTTCTCTTATGTTGGTTTTGTTTCATGTTTTGTTATGTTGAAACAGACTACATGGTCGCTGGGCCCCCCATGAGTTTCGGTATGATGAAAGGTAATAAGACAATCTGATTATATAAACATATTTATGTACTTATTTTTTTTTTATTTTTTCAAAATTATATCGTTCTCTCACATTCATCTGGATTTAGGTACTCTGTGGGGATTTTTAATTTGTAATCGCACAAAATTTCGTTTCCACATCACAAGCCATCATTACTCTTACTCTTTGTTTCTCTACCGATCCACTGTTTGCCTTATTAAAGCCTACTAAATACTTCTTTAAGCTAGTACTGACGCTCGCTCCAACTAATCAAGTTAACCATTGAATTTATAGTTACCTAGTGCATATTTGATTATCTTTTATTTGCCCACGCCCTATCCTGTCCTTTCCCTTATGCTTTTTGTTTTTTTTTCTTTCATTGTATTGCCGCCCGCTGCTTGGCTTGAAGGCGGTATGAATGCACCGCCGCCGCACCATAACCAATACCAGTACCACCCGCAATACCAAGGTGGTCCCCCGATGGGGCACCCCGGGGGGTACGGGGGGTGGCAGCCCCCGAGCCAACAGCAGCCACGTTTCGGTGCAGAGGGCGCGCGCCGCGCCGCGTCCGGGGGCGCAGGCCAAGGCTCGCAAGCCGGCAAAGACGATAAGACTAGCCCTTTCATATCCACGTTGCATTCACATCCTGGATTTCAGCCGCAGAAAATTGGAAAAGGCGCCGGTGCGGTGAGTTATCAATAAGTTTTACTATAATTTATAGTTAAGCATGGGTATTTAATTAATTAAATAGGACATAAAACTTTAATGAATTGTACACCTACCTAAACCTTTCTGAGGAATCACTTTGTTTATGAAAACCACATGACAATACATTATTAGTTTATCACAAACTTATGTATAAAGTGTAAAATACCCCATGTATTTTGTTTTATAATATATGTATAGAATACAATGCATATATTACACACAAATTTAACAAAACATTTTTTTCCTTAACAAATATTTTACCATACTGACATCATTCACCCAATAATCCACATTACCACAATGACCCTGCTAACATCCTAGTGCTAAGCACAGGTTTTGTATAGTCATTTTTAGTTTTCCATTTGTGGTATCAATAAATTTTTAGACATTTTCCCCTAGTGACTACTTGCAATAACTTAAATATTTTTTTTTTATAATTAAATGCCAAAAGCTTAGTGCCCACCTGATGGTAAGTGGTTACCGTTGCCCATATACATGAACATCACCACAGATATCAAGTCATCCCCTCCAATCGTTCAATTCAAACGGGATTGAAATTGCGACGCCCTGAGCAAAGGTTTGAACCCCTAGCAGTGTCCTCAGACTAAAGTCTTATCTGTCAGGCGGGAGATAGCCTTCAGTCCTTTCGGTTTAGAGTGCCATCTGCTATCGCCGGCTATCGTCCTCTCATGATATCCAACGCGATACTACGCTACATACCTACGCTACGTTACATAGTTGTCTATGGTTCTTGGCTTCTTTTAGATGTCGATATTTGGAGACAACGTTACATAATTTCTATAGTTGAAATAATGAAATTTCAGGGTGCTGGCCTCCCAAAACCTCCGAAACCACCAGAAAAGCCATTAATGCCGTACATGAGGTACTCTCGCCGAGTATGGGACAGTGTCAAAGCTGCACATCCCGACTTAAAGCTATGGGAAATTGGAAGGATCATTGGTGGCATGTGGAGGGACCTACCTGAGTCAGATAAAGCTGGGTTTGTCGAAGAGTATGAAGCTGAGAAGGTAATATTCGTTACAGTGTACATTTAATAATTATTAATATCAGGATACTTAGAAATGATTAGTTGTAAAGGGTATACCTAGTGATGCATTTAAAGCAAAGGAAAAAATTGAAAATATTTTTTTTACTCTTAATACTGAATTGATAGTTTTTAGTTATAAAAATTAATTTCAAATTTTCTGCTTTACTTTAGAGGTATTCAGATTCTGTAATTGACTTGCGAGTTTTTATATACCTTTTATGACTAAGCTTGTATGGTACGCAATAATTTATAACTTTTTATAAGAACTGGCACACATGTGGCATTTATAACCTTTACAAAAGATGGTCCTGCCTGAAGCATATAATAATTTCCCAGATGAGACGTCAGTGAGAAATAAAAGGACTTAGTTGAATGAAGGTACATCAAACGCCCATTTACTGATTTACCTATGAATTAAAAGCTGACCATTGTTGTCTAAGTGTGCTAGTCAATCAATATAACTCATAAGTTAAAATAAACATCACTTTAAAAAGCAGTTAGATCCATAGACATGGAAAATGTGAAATAGGTTCTCGAATAAAATGTAACTAGATTATTTCGGCGCCAGGCGCAGTATACAGAAATGTTGAAGGCATACCAAGCCTCGCCTGCGTACATACAGTGGCTGGCGCACAAAACCAGAGGTATATTCGAACCTTATGTCACACATGGGAACAGTTTTTGTGTATAACCACGCCTTCACATCACTAGCTTGTTAACACAGGGGGTTTGTCCGCTATTCCATTGCTAGCGGTAAGTTGTTTTCACCTGGTATGGGCTCAAGAGACAGATTTCACACTGCAGATGTGTACATAAGACATGCAATAGTTGACCTTAATTATTAAAGTTTAATGATGAACTCAGCACTTGTAATTCGCACCAACACTCGCGATTTGTAGATATAGAGTTAGTAACCGTTAATGAAGTGTTTAGAAACAAACTCGCGTTTATAGAACGGTAGTCGCTATACTGCGACCTGTCGACTAGTCGATTGCACCGCACCGCTCTTTCGGAAATATTTCTTATATCAATGCGGCGTTAATACTTATTCCTAGATATTTTTATCCCTTGTTGCACATATAAGAGCGAACTCTATTAAAGGGGCTATGAAGTTGACAGGCTTTGAGTATTTACGTTGAGATCCAGAAATCGGGAGGATGGTTTTTAATGTACAAGTAATATTTTTCATTCTTATTAAGTTTTAATATAAGAGTGGTATTGAGAGACCACCCTTATATTAAAGCTTAATAACGTACTAAGTACATGCATCCTTACATTAATCACACAGTCGATGTCTTCTAGCGAATTTTATATAACCACTTTCTTTATGAATAATGAATACATAAATTAGATGGAGAAGAGGCGGGTTTTACTATGTATTACGGTGGGGCATCGAGGGGGGGGGGGGGGGGGGGGGGGAATTTTTTTTTTTTTAGTGTAGTGAAATTTTGTAAATCCATTGAACAATTATCACTTCATAAAGAAAGTAATACATAGAACAACAACACGTGTAATCGCATTTCTACACAGTTGTGACTAACATCGGAATAACACCATATTTTGTCCTCCACATGCACCTCATGTACATATATGCACGGGCGGCCCATAGTCCGAGTACGAAAAGACTTTAAAGGCGTACCACAACTCGCCCGCTTACCTGGCGTATATAGCGGCGAAAAATAAGGCTGTAGGTAAGGGAGGAGAGAAACGCTTCACTTGTACGCTGAAAAGGTCCACGATACAACCATTGCAGGCAGATTTAATTTACCGAAATACCAAGGCACAGACTAAAACAGCTAAAGATATAATTCTTATAAATGATGAAGTGTATTTTTAAAAATAACAATATTAACGATTTCATTGTTTCTAAATATGTACTTAATCAAGAAAAAATAATAAAAATATTCATGTTGAAACAACACGCCAAGAATGCACTTCACAGGTATCGCTCATAGGCACTGCTGGTGCTCCCTGGCCTGGACTTTTTTCATCGAGACATTCATCACATTTCGATCGAGATATTTAGCCAGAGCATATCTTTAGCGGAACTGTAAATCTTGAGTAAACAATCATTGTAACGTAAACTTGCTATATTTATTTAAATCTGTCTGTATGTCGTATAAATGTCCATACATAATTTTTTGTAACCACTACTTTTACTGTATCGTAGGCCTTTGGTTCATAATTGCATTGTGATCGTTTACTCATGGGAAATAATATGTACAATCAGTAAAAAATCATATATAGATAGTGGTAAAAAAAATAAATTAAAAGCCTAAAATATACACGTAATGTTATAATTTCATAGATATATTAATATTTTTTTATAAATTGCTATTTTTTATTGATTGTACACACATTGGATAATGCGAGTTTCTTTTTAGATATTTCATATAAATTTTATTTGATTGTACCTGTAAAACACAATAACATTTATTCAAAGTTTATAGTCAAGTATATCCTTTCATTCCCCTACGATCGATACCTTCCAATTCAAGCGGGGATCGAAATAACGACGGTCTGAGCTGAGATTCGAACCCCTAGCGGTGGCCTCAGACTACACAGTCATATCCGTCAGGCGGGAGTGGGCCTTCAGCCGCTCCCTAAACCCGCGGGAGGATAAGTCCTCCCGCGGGTTTAGAGTGCCATTTGTACTCGCTCCCCTATCGTCCGGCGAAGCTGTAAAGGCCAGCTGCGGCCAAAGTAGTCTGAAAAAAAAATCTTTCATTTTTATCACTACAGTTAGTGTTATTATTCTTATTTTTGTACTTGGTTCTAAAGTGGAAGCTCGCATTAATGTTATGAGCCATGTTGCTTGCTATTTTATTATTGCTATTTCACAATGCACCCAATATTCATAAGAAACTTGATGGTTGAACATTTTATCCCGCAAATGTTAGAAATAAGAGATACCACGAAGATATTCAACAATAACAATAACCTGGGCCCATAAACTAATAGTGTTTTTTCTAACAAAATATGGTAATTTAAGTATTGTGGTAATTTATTTAACGTTGCAAACATTTGACGGCCTTTCTGATTGTCGTGTGTTCGATTCCTCGCACAGTACAAACATTTGTATTCATGAGTATGATTATTTATATTATCCTGGGTTTATTGTATATTATGTATGTATTTACAAAATAAATGGAATTAATTACATTAATTTTCTAGCACCGATAACACAAGCTCTGCTTAGATAGGGACTACATGGCCTCTTGTGAATTGTCCAGGGTTATTATTACTATTATTAAATAAACTATCACAGTACTCATTGTTTATCTAAGTGATTTCAAAAAGAGAGAAACTCATATGTGAACTGTAATTTTATGTCTATATTTGAAGTCATAAGTGCCAACAAACACTTGTATGGACTTATCTGTTTGATGTATGAAATAAATGCATGGAATAGTATTTATATATATTTATATACATTAGTACATGAATTATCCGCGTCAGTAGTAGGTAACCTTGAGGAGGAGAGTTCCAACAAGAAGGGCAGCTCGCAGAAGGATCAGCAGCAGCAGGACAGGAGGATAGACATTCAACCGGCTGAGGATGAAGAGGGTGAGTATATGATATTCATCCACCAATTGTCACGCGGCTGACCGAGGTAGACTTTGTTAAGAGGGTGTGTAGTTTTATTTATCTTATAATTATGTCACGCTACAAACTAAGATAGAAAAGGTCGGATGAGGGGTGCAGATTAGGCAATGAAATTACAGAAAGAAGACGCACGACATCATAGTCCTCTAGAAGGTAAAGCATGAGTGGTATCTCGGGCGTCACAGTGTAACGTGATGATGCGGTGCTGTTCATGTATACGCGACGGTTACCATCAGGTGTGCCGTCTGTATGTTTGCCATTACAATTACATAAAAAAAATGTCTGTGTGATTTGAAAACTATACGAGGTGGTAACAAGTATTGAGTATCTATTATTTTCATACTAATTGGTGGTATTTAAATTTCATTTATTATTCATGTGTTTCATGATTTATGTTAAAAAAAAAGTGTAGTTACTTAAAAATGAGTTATTACTTATTCAGTTAGCGTTTCTTTAAGTAATTGAAAAGTAGTAAACATTAAATATTCTCAGTATTACAAAATTTATTTTCTATTCCCATAAACAGCTATTTTTACGTAATATGTGTTCGTTTAGGAAAACAATATTAAAACAAAATATACGTCTATAAGCGGCTATTACTCTGCGAAATTCGTTTATTGTAACCTCAAATACAGAATTTTATTACTGGATTTAACAAAAGATGAAAGTTATGCCTGAAAGAGATTTCTTCCAGTCAATAAAAGTCATGATTTAACTGACTCAGAATTTTACATGTTTACAGATCAAGACGAAGGGCTATCGGTGAAGCACGTGGCGTATGCGAGATATCTACGGAACCATCGGCTTATTAACGAAATATTTTCGGACACTGTTGTACCCGACGTGAGGTCTGTGGTCACCACAGCAAGGATGCAGGTAATCTGTCCTGATATTAATGCCTAAATGTCATTTTTTATATTCATCGAAATGGCTGTACTAACTACTTCATCTATGTGTTATTACTATATACCTACAAACATACAAAACGTAAACAACAAAATGCGTACCGAGAAAAATTCATGTATTGAATGTAACACTTGACACAACCAGATTTGTATGTTCCATCGCCTCTATTTTATCGTTTGTACACTGGAAACTTTTTAATTATTATTTGCAAAAGTATTGTTTTACTAAATCGAACTCATGACCTTTGAGGTCTATAATTCGCGGTAGAAAACCTAGTGGCCGAGATGTTTTCACTTAAAGATACATCTGTCTAGTTGTAAAGTATTTCAGTTTAAAGTAAGCAATGGATGTTAATGAAATGCTACACACATCTGCGCTAAATGTTTACGCTAGTAGGACGCCAGTGGAGGTTAATAAGATGAACATGATGTTGGTCAGTTAGTTCATGGTGAAATCAAATTCATCAGTATTTTATCAAGCTGAATATGAACAACCTGACAGTGGGGTCATCACAACCATATGACTAACAATCCCTCTATTCATGTATATTAGAAACTGTTATCAAGTACACCATCCGCTTGTTTGCCATTGTAATCACAAAACAACAACTTATTCTTCTTATAGATTCTGAAGAAGCAAGTGCAGTCATTGACGATGCACCAAAAGAAGTTGGAAGATGAACTGCAGCAGATTGAAGAGAAGTTTGAAGCGAAGAAACGTAAATTCATCGAAAGTAGTGAATCTTTCCAGGAAGAGCTCAAGAAGGTATTTATAATAGTTGTTGTTTATACATAAAAGTATACTAATGTTAGAGAAATGTGACATTTAATATTCTATCTCTTTATGGATAACTCCAATTTTTTTAAATTATTATTTTAAAAATGTTTTCTCTTATACAATCTTTATCAGTAAAAAACTCATGTGTATTTCATTAAAAACAATTAAATTTTACTATCATTGCCTCTAATTAAAAGTAGAATCATTTCATAAATTAGTATGACGGGTATTATGTTACTGCTATGTCTTGATATAAATACGGTGTAATAAAATGAGCACAAAGTCAGGTCAATTAGCCTATCTTGGTCGATGTACACTATAGATTCCAGGGGATCTCGACCAGACCTGAACCTTGAAAACTGTGTCAAACATTGCTAGCAATGGGGTTACTGGTCCACACAACTACCGATCCCCTTTCCCCGGTCAGTAGATATTAGAATGATGAATAATGATCGTAGCACTGCAAGCCGGCGGTGGACGAGGAGACGTTCCAGCGGATGGTGGAGCGCGCGCTGGAGCAGATGCGGCGCGGGCCAGCCGCCGCCCCCGCGCCCCCCGCCGCCCCCGCGCACCCCGCCGCCCCGCTCCCCGCGCACCCCGCACACCCCGCGCACCCCGCCCTCGCGGAACGGAAGGACGAGGTCAGAACCGCACACCGCTACACTGACCAATGTAGTCCCCTACATTCTGGTTACTGGTCATGATTGTACTCTCTACAGTATTCAGTACTAGTTATTAGATACGATCGACAGTGCCCCATATTTTTAAGACACACTCGAGATAGGTATTACATGTTTTATGTAAAAAATATTTACCCTTTTTTAAGAGCGTGACATACTTTCTCTTTGTAATCAGCATTTTACAGTTAATAAGTGGAAAAAAAGTTCTATATGAATAAATTATTTTAACTTAATATTTGTAACTACAATTATCAGGTACCTCCAGTAACTAGTTAACTACATCAACTAAGTAACTAAAAATAACAAACGGTCTGCCTACCTTATGGAACATTGTAAACGTCTATATACCATAAACAACATTATAGACGTCATAAGATACATTTCAAAACCCATGATACATCTCTATACATTACTATTCTTCTTTCTGTTGTAATGTGTCTATACCCTGTAATTTGACTGTCATATCACCTTTCGAATTGAAAGAGCTTATAAAGCAATATATTAGCAATGTATGTTTTATACCTAAATAATTCATTTACTTCACAGCCCATGGACCAAGATCAAGCTAATATTAAAAATGAAGCAAACGGACCCAATCCACCCACTCAAGTGGACAAAGTTTCCACCACAGAAGTGAATAAACCTGACGGGAACGTAACTACGGAGCTGAACAAGCCTGAGCAGGTTCCTGTGAAAGAAGAGAATGTTGGAAATTCACAGGAAAGTGAAGGTAAAATTAAACCAGGGGCCTATTTAAGCCGTCAAACAGCTAGCTGTTTCGGTTTTAGGGTACAGCAAAGGCTGTGAAATTACAGGATAAGAGGCATGACATCGCCACGCATGTATTGAATATTATCATTCTATGTTATATGTTTTTATTATGTTATTGTCTAGAAAGCATAGTGGTCTAGTCATTTACTACTTGACTTTGTCCCCAAAGATTAAGTTCAAATCTAAGTGTTTTCTAAGATCTAAGGGTAAAAAAAAGAATACAAAAATTTGGCGTTCATACGCGGCTAAAGTATCCTACATGAATAATGATTTTTAATTTGATTTGAATGTTGTAGTCCATGTTTATTTTCAGTAGACCGTAAAGAATTGAAATTGGAGAAGATGGAGCCGAAGGAGCCCGCGGCCTCCCCCGCCGCCCCCGCGCACCCCGCACACGTCACCTCACCCCCGCACCACCGTACGTACACACACACAAATCAACACCTGACACCGCCTTTGTTATATATTAAGTTTGTACCCGCCTGCGCCAGCGTATACTGCTAGCGCAGGCACCCGCCTGTCCATTTCAATATCGATAAAAAATATCACGATAATTGAAATCGCATCAAATAGATGTTATAACATATTCAACATCCTAACTTATAAGTTAGGATGACCTAATAGTGTTATATATCACTTTTCAACCAAAACAGCATATATAGCGAGCTACAGTTTCTGTTGCCAAGCAGGGCAGTTATAACTGAGACAGATACATAATTATAACTTTGTAAATTTTTTTACCCCACTTTGTTGATGCAATAATAACTTTGTTTATCTGAAGCATTATATTTTCTATACATTATAGTCTGTAGTCTATAGAGTTTGTAGAGCACCTGTTCATTTTTTCTATGTTTTGTGCTCTATAATTTGTGCTTCGTGATACATAAGAGGTTGAAAACTATTTTTCTCTTCTTTTTTTTTCAACAATAAAAACTATGCTACCAGAATATAACTATGACATATGACTGACATTTAACTTAATAGGACTTAACTATATAGATAATATATTCAGATAAATATACAGTACTTTTTTTTATCGCATCAGTAACCACAATCACAATTTTTATTCGTAATGTAAATTTAAAGTTAACTGTGCATATTTTTACAGCAATGATGATGCCTCCGAATCCTAACGCCCCCGCTCATCCTGGACCGCCTCATGCTGGACCACCGCCGCCACCAGGTACATCATACATGCTGTTCAATTCTTGATATACATTCCATACATTGTTTTGGAAATAAACAAATACAAATGCTGACTTAGGTGTCGGGGAAAAACGTACTTATATGTGCGTGTTTTAGCTGCGATTGTATTTTCACTGTTTCAATCACTAAAAAGGATGAAAGTATAATATCATGTTTTGTTGTTTCCTCGCAAGTGTGTTAACAACTGGACACTGCAAATTTAATAAACACAAACACATGGCAAAATTAGGTCTCAGCTTAATGTTGTTATAATCTGCAAATTCTGCCAAACAGAAGAGTAAACGCCACTACACATCCTATATGGTTGTAATCCACTCATGCATAAGCGAAATATCTCCTTTGGAAAGTATACACTTATTACCCTGAGGAGATAAAAATCGTCATCGATCATCGATCCTAAGAAGATCTTTCAATTCTTGTCCCTGGTGGGCCTAGGTAACAAACTTCGAAAAAAAAAAGGGGCGAGTACAATAGATCTATGTAGGTTGCAGTGCTACAGATCTTAACGCCTGACAATACTCCTCCACTGGCGCCCCGCCAGCGAAAATCGTTAGCGCAGACGGGTGCATTCCATTATCATCCATAAAAAAAAACACCTGACAATAGCCCAAAACACTCAACAAAAAAAGTATGATAAAAAATGACGTACGATATACATCGCCTTCAGCTCGTGCTGAAATTCCGCCTCGTGTTATAACCATCATAACGTAGTTACATCGTAATATATAGTAGCATTATAATTATTGTACTCATGTTTGCAGGCAACTACGGCGCTCCATACGGCGGGCGTTACTACCCGGGATACGCGGGCGGCTTCCCGGGCAACTACCCGCCGCACGCGTACTACCCGCCCGCGCACCCGCCGCCGCATCCGGCGCATCCGCCGCATCCCTCACATCCGCCGCATCCGTCACATCCGCCGCACCCGCACCCCTCGCATCCCACGCACCCCGCGCCGCCAGAACACTATGCACACCACGTGCCGCATCTCCCGCCCCATCATGATGTTAAGCGTAAGTATCATATACAGACAGAAATATTTATGAAGTTTCATTTCAAATGTTGTACATTTTTATAAGATGGTCTAGTGTTTTCGTGGCACGCCGCATTTTTTGATGGTCGTGGATTCGATTCCTCGCATGATACAGACATGCGCATAGAATCGATCTGGGGATCAATACAATGCAAATATTTCATGAGGGTTTTCTGTATACAGACAAAAGTAAAGTATTTATCATTTGTCTAAGACTAATTTTGATTAGCTTGGCCCTAAATAGCGCTATGTGAATTTTCAACCGCTGCTGCGGAAATTTTTGTTGTTTTACATAGTTGTGAACTGTTTACATATTGCTTGCAATTGAGGCCAATCTCTACGGCAGGGATTAGTAATGGGGTCTCCATTACAGGAAATCATGCAAATCACTATTTCAAAAACACAGATAAATGACATTAACTGTGTTAAACGATTAGTAATATTTGGAACTCAAAATCCAGATATATTTCCTAAAATAAAGATACTAGTCAAAAGTCAAAGATTTATATAAGGAAACATAGTGATAAAAAATTATAATAAAATACCTAACGATATACTAAATGGAGCTTTCATTACAAAAATTGATTAATAAATTAAATATCAGGTCACTCTGAATGTTTCTGCTTCTTAAACAATTATTTATATACCTACCTTATAATGTAATAATAAGTTCATAAGTAATATAATTGACCTTAAATGTTTTTTGGTAATGAATTAATGATGAACCAGAGTGACCGACATAGCCCGAAGAATTGCGGCTCTGAAGTGACAATGGGCAGGGCACATAGCTCGTAGGACAGATGGCCGTTGGGGCAGTAAAGTCCTCGAGTGGCGACCACGGACCGGAAGACGCAGCGTGGGAAGGCCTCCAGCAAGGTGGACCGACGATCTGGTCAAGATCGCTGGAAGGCATTGGATGCGAACAGCGCAGGACCGATCGTCGTGGAGATCTTTGGGGGAGGCCTATGTCCAGCAGTGGACGTCTTCCGGGTTGCGATGATGATGATGATGAATGATTAATTCATAACTGAAATTTTAAATTTTGATATATTTTTGATTGAAAATTTTTTTTTCTTTTACAGCTGAGGAGCCACCGGCTAAGAAGGAGAGTGAATGATTGTCACCGAAGCGCGTCGTTAAACGGCGTCGCAAATCATCCTCAAAGGATAATCAGTGAAAAGACATACAAGTGTAGAATATAAAGCACTTGTATACCAGAATTAAGACATACAAATGTGAGCAGTGAGAATAAACTGTGGCTACGTGATGTGCTATAGGTTATATGTGTATGTGGAAACGATAAAAAAATGGTTCAGTGAATAGTTTTTTCTCAACCAAACCAAACAAAAGACGCAATAGGGTACTCTATTTAACTGTATGGTCTATATTTATGTAATATTAATCTTCACCAGTGCTGAATGGATTTCGGTGGTGTTATCCTCAAAATCTGAGTATGCTTAGAGTTATAATAATTGTAGTCGAACATAATAAGTAATAAATATACTAGTAAATGATAAATTAGTGTTATAGAGACAAATGTATAAAAATTACAGTATATTTTTCTGATAAATGTCGTGCGAAATAGACTAAGAATACAATGTTATATTTAATTGATGATTGTGAAGACCAGCTTAATTATAATTAGTGGCTCTATTGCCACAAAAAAATCATCAAATATGTGTTAGTTAGGCGCCTTTCCGACCACCCAGCGTGTTTTAACTTCTATGCAGACACGCGTGTATGCATTTAATAAACAAAGGCATCTGTGCCTAATCTACGAACTCCGAATGTTAATAATTACTTGGTAAAAACCTGCACACATTCGGTACAGAAACGAAAACGCGCCAACTTGACGATTTACTCTGGAAACTATTATAATTCCGATGCAATGATATTGGATTGAGCAATTTCGCACCTTGTGTATAAAAATAGGTGGTGCTTTTAAATAAACAATAGCAATGTATTTATTCCGTATTCGTGTTATATAAGAAAACTGACATGATTATGGATTCGTTCAGTTTTTGTCTTGATTACGTCTCAAAAGAACAGATTCCAGAGTAGACTTGCTGGTCAGAAAGGCGCCATACTTGTATAATTTACCGTCAAGCGACACGAAATCGAATATTATCGATGTGGTACTTATAGGGATGTAAAATGTATGCAGTTATAATAAGACTTAATTATCTTCAATCGCAAATGGTATTGTGCAAAAACCCATGCGTTTTCGGCTGATTTTGGCGATTGGTAAAGTATAAAATCCCTTATTGAATACAATTTCTTTTGAGCCAAACTAGGCCTTGTAATTTGTAGTTTAGTAATGAAAATATTGTAGAATAAGTACTATATGCTATTGCAAAATGGTGTCTTTTATGTATGGTAAGAATAATAAATAATCAAAATGCTACAGATTTAATTTTATTCCTCCTTTTAATTATCTATCCCTCTGCCTGCATGTGGGTGACAAGGATCTTTTTTTTTCATCATATCCATAATTATGAGGAAATATGTCGTAATAAGACAGTGAAATTTTTGCAACCATACGACTTACTGTTCTGTGGTAATTTTAAGTTAAATCCAATCAATATTATATTTTTTTAAACATAGTGCACCTAGATGCCTGATGAAATACCGAATGGCATTAAATCCGCCAAATGTATTTTTACTTTTTGTATTGATTGTACTAAAATTCTATAAATAATATCAAAGTTTGCAGAGTCTACTTCTTATCGTTAACATATAAAGAGAATTGATAATAATTCCATATTGTCAGTTATTAAAATAGTATTTGCTCTCTGCTTACCCAAGACATCTGCACAGACGCAGGCTTAATTTATAACACTAGTTGAATCCGCGGTTTCACCCTCGTTAAATTTCAATAAAATTCAAAAATTTGCCTGTTTTTCTGATGCATAAGCTATATTATTGTAAAGTTTCATCAAAATCCGTTCAATAGTTATTGCTTGAAATTATTATATATATATAATAGTTATTCAATTCATGAGTTTGAGATTTTCTATGAACCATTTGAGAGTAGCTTGTGCAAGCTAAGTTCTAGAATTCCCAATTGCAACAGTTAAAATTAAATTATCTTAACCAACCGCAAATTTTGTAACATCGGTCCTTGATTATTTTCTGACTGCTTTTAGGATGGTACTATACTACAAGAATAAAAACACAGTCCACATAAAGTCTATAATTCGGAACATTGATATTGATTAAATTGAAAAAACATTTACATAATGTAACTAGTATCATTAAATGACTGTCGTAATAGGAATCAATAAATAAGCCTACATATAGAACATTAAAAGTGAGCGCGCACTTGTACGTGCCAAACGAATAAAATTTCATTTCTTACATTAAAAATAAATTTGTTATTCGTCTGTGTCACATAATATGCTCTCTCAAAAAGATTAAATTAAATCCATTCTTACATTTTTTACTGATGCTCCGTTCCTATTGGTCGTAGTATGACAGAGCCTACAAGGCAGGGCTGGGCATATTTGATTACTTGTAAATGCCTGCCATCCGATCATACAAGGTGAAGGGGATGATTATTTGGACTAATAAATCCTCTTTGTTAAATACGTTTACCATGTCATCATGGTTGGCTTGATGCAGTCCATGGAAACCATTTGTGTGGTGAATTTGCCACGATGAGCTAACTGATGCTCATATTATCATCATCCACTGGTGCCCAGCAGCGTTAACCATGCATTGGCAAGTGCTTCATTCCATTATCATCTATAGTATATTAAATACACAAGAGATAGTATTTTGTAATCTCATTTAAATTTAAACAAAACATGTATTTTGCCCAGCTCTGCCTAGGGACTTCCTAAATGGCTTCCAATATTAAAATAAATTTTCAATTCAAACCAGTAGTTGCTGATATTAAATGCAATCAACCAAACAAACTTAAACTTTATAAAATTAAGTATAAATATAAAACAAAAAACTTAACACTGGCAAGCAAGCATAGACTGCATGCATGCCTGAAGAAATATAACAATTGTATTCAATAATTTTACATAATATTATTATATAGTAATAATAAAAGGAACAATAATGCCACTGACTGACCTCAGTCTGTCAATGACATTGTGAGACTGATACCCGATAGTATCTAGGATCATGCTCTTGGTCGTCATATTTATATAATTGTGCATTAAAATAATTTCAATAAATAAGTGTTGACATGAGATTCGTTTGACCCATAAAAGCACGCTTTCACCAAAGTGCTTGCACATAAAATACAAACTGGTAAGGTAGCAATTTAACTATCCTTATATTAGGAAACCAAGTAAATATGATAGCATGCAGCTTATCTATTCTCATCTTCCATGTTAGTGTTGTTTCGCCCAAACTGCACGATGATCGGTCGACCACTCAGGATGGTTCCATTTACCTCGTCCAACGCTCGGATTGCCAAGTCCTCACCTAGAAAATATATCTGTATGTTTAATAGGCCTATACAGCTTCGCCGAACAATAGGGGCAAAGTGCAGGAGGCACTTGTGGAGCGGCTGAAGGCCTACTCCTGCCTAATGGATACGACTTTAGTCTGAAAGCACCGCTAGGGGTTCGATCCTCATCCAAGGAAGTCTTAATTTCGATCCCTGTTTGTATCGGACGGGAGGTCGATCGGAAAGTCGTATCTGTCAGGCGGGAGTTAGCCTCAAGACACTGCATAACTCCTTCCGCAGGTTTGGCATGTCCTCTGCACTTGGCCCCAGTTTTGTTTATGAAACTGTAAAGCAACCTGTGGCTAACTGCATTACCATAATTAGAAAAAAAAACACCCCTGGTGGTAATTCTGAACTCACTTTGCAAAGAAGCGAATGCCTGCCCTCTCATACGTCCAGTCATGAGTGTCACCTCCACAGGTCCACCATTCTCTAACATAAACTGATTGAACAGCAGCGAAAGTTGCTCCTCACTCACAGATGGCGCAATATTCTTTAAATACAACACCTGAAAGTTATAAGTACTTTAGTACTAATTGAAGATTGTTATGATAATGTTACCAATAGATTTGTCCAGGACACTGAGACAATTTGGAAGGTCCAATCCCTCTTTTTTTATGTAATTTGAACAGAGAATGTGCTGATGGCCTACTTTGATATCTGGTAACTGTCGCCTATATACGTGAGTAGTACCACAGAGATCATTTTCTGTGGTACTCTCTTACCACACCATGTAATTACTCTGCTTTAGTGACTATTTTCACCCTTCAACCAAAATACACATTACAAAAAATGCTGGTTGGCAACTGTAATAACTTAGACAGCAGTACCCACACACACTCAGTTAGCTTCCTACAGTAAACTACTGTGTCAGTATAAATTATAAGATATCTGTTCCTAGTTGCATATTTTAATAAGTGTTTTATGATCACCTTAGATGGTATCCCAGGTTCATAATCTTTGAATCTTTCAATTTTCCGTATATCATCCACAGCCATCTTGGTGCCTTCTAGCAGCTGTTGTTCAGCAGAATTTGTGGGCAGAACTATATCAACAGCTTGGTATTCATCCTCCAGGACACCCTGGTCACCTGGCAGTGGTTCCAGCCTCACAATCTTATTATTTCTTATTGTATACATTGTATTTTTCTTTGGACTTGTATCACAGTTGTTGGTAGCCTCTACGTTCTGCTGTTTCTTTGGTAACTCTTTGACATCCCATAGGCTTCCCGGCCTGTTTACAACAGGTGTGTCATGTACAGGTATATTTATTTGCCCATCTTGGGACAACACTTTCTCCTTGTTTCTTTCAAAACGTCGCAATGATTTTCGCCTCTTTGTAATAGGAATTATCTCAGGGGTATAGATGTCTCCATTGGCTTTCTTATTGTTCTTATTAGGATGGGGATCAGGGTAAATAGTAATGGGCTTATCTTTGAGCCTCTCAAAAACATCTTCAGGTGTATTTTTCGAGGCACTCGGTTGTTCTTTAGATTGTTTTAAACTGAAAAGAATTTGTAATATTTTGTAACCATCAAAATTTATATTTCTGATTTGCCTTTCAGTTTGTTGATGTCTTAAATGGTTTAATGAACAAAAAACTAGTAATTGTGGTGATAACTTCAGTCATAGTAGACTCAAAACTATATTTTACATATAATTATAGTAATAACTTTTATCACACAAAATAAAAATTGTATTGAAAGTTTTGAAAATAGACACCTAATCAAGAAAATCAACTACACTGCAAATTCATTTTAATTACATGCACATGTTACAGTAGAATCATAGAATATATTGTGACATAGTTACACTGAGTAATTACAGCTGACTAATAACAACTACACTAGCATAGAGTCAGCACTTAAATTTGTCCTTACAATGTACTCAGTCTCTTTGTTTAATATTATATAAAATAACCTATGTGCCTAACACTGATCACATTACCTAAGGCACCTTACTAAATTATGTATTTGAAAATTATTTTATATACATATATATATATACTTCCGGCAGTGCTTTATATTGATTTTTTAAATTTTGGACTACACATAATCATAGTACAAACAAAGAAGTATGAAGCGTGCTTATCTTGGTACATTCTCAAAACAATCAAATTAAAATTAATAAAAATAAAATTTATATTGTTCATTCTCAAAAGATTGTTAATAATTAATTAATATATTTTTAATACTTTACCTCTCAGACTGTTCATAATCACTGATTTTTTCATAAATAGCTTCCAGCTGTGCTTTTAATACTGATGACTCTATCTTAGTGCGCTGGTCGACAATTCCGGCTTCGTTTTCTTGATACAGTTTCACTTCATAAGCAGTGAGGCCTGCTCGTCTTAGTTTTTCTAACAAATGGATTTCTGCCTCAGCCCTTCTAAGGTCTTCAATTGTTGATATACCATATGTAACTATAGGTAATACTTCGGTAGCTTTTTCAAATTCTTTGGGCATTGATTCGGAACTAATAAAAATATAAATAGTCTATATTCAAATAAACTCAACAGTATACAAAAGTGTATTTTTTTTATTTTATTGGTTATTTGGAATGCAAATTCAGCTAAGTACAACAAATTGGGCAGCAACTTTTTTAAAAAAAATTCAACTAATAAACATTATTAATAATTAAAATTAGAACATTTTTGTTTCATTTTAGAATAAATATAAAATTATGTTAATAATAAATTTCATACACGAAAACATAGTATGAGCAACTACCGCTTGACTGTTTCATTTATGCAATTTGAGATAAACACCTATTACTACTTCAATGTAATGGTAAATCAATCTAGTCAGCACAATAAAGAAATTTGCTTATTCATTAGTTATACACACACTAAGTTTTGGTATTATATAAAATAATAGTTAAAAGTCAAGACTTACCACATTGTTAGTAATTTAAATTACGAATTAAATTATACAATCTTAAGCGTTAATACCATTTCCTAAATAAAACATGAATAAATCAATAAGAAATTCAATCGTAAGCACAGGTCAACTAAGCGAGTAATACCACAGAGTAGTAAAAACTAAACATAATACTGTAATCACTATGCGTACAGAACTTAAAATGAAAAAGCTTTAAGTGACTTTTTTTTAAAAGGTTTTTTCATAAAAACAAAAACTAATCTCCATGTACTGACTAGAATTCTGATTAAAACAAATTCTTTATCGTATTTTGGCTTTTAGAAATTCTAATGCATTGGAAGTGAACTTACTTACGCATAAGAATGTTAGGTTAAAAATAATGTTCATTCAGTCACTTTAAAATTTTTAGGATGTATGCGTTAAATTGCGGCCAACTTAATACCATAAATAATATTTTATGCATGTTGTCATTTTCAAGTTTTATTTATTATGATTAGTTATTAAAGATGCAAACAATGTTATTTTTTTTATTTAGGGTTCTTTTTTTGGTTCCTTTTGAACCTTACATGAAGAATCTATTCATCAAAGGCTTTGTTTCATCTCAGGGAAAGACAAAAGAATTCAGTCCATACAACCATTGTCTTCGGTAATATTTTCTTGTTACATATTCTACAATTTATTGTCTTTACAAATCATAACTCTTCAATAGTTGATAATACCACAGATAACATAATATTATATAATAATACGTTCCTATGTAACTATATCGATAACCCCAAATCGTATATTTCAGAATACGATTTTTGGTTCTAAACTTTTATTAGGTTTATATATTTATATATTATATATATTATACTTTTATTTAGGGTTCTTTATTTATTTTTTTTGGGTTCGGTTTTTCCCTTATAGGGAAAGGCAAAATGGGTTCTTTACTAAATTTTGTCAATGACAGTTCGTTGACAGTTAAGTAACTGCGACGATTCTTGTAGTCCAGACAAGAGTTGGAGAGGATATACTTTTTGTCTCCAGTGCGTGCCTCTGATACATGGCGCTGGCATAAATGGTCGTAAAAATAACGACCGATTGCCATAGAAGAAAAGAAGAAGAAGAAGAGTTGGAGTAATATAGAAATATATTCTATGTCTAACAGACTATATCTACCATTTTTTTTGTACTAGGTTACCCTTCTTCTCTTTAGAGTATTATGTTCCTTGATCTAATATCTACGTTAGGATTTTTCCAAGTTTTTTATTAGCTATAAAATACGTTATGGTATAATTTCATTTTATACGTAATTAAAATAATTTAAGTTAATTAACCACAGAAACAACTAAAATGAATTCTTGGAATAACGAATACGCTATGATGAATCAATACGGAATACCCATATCCAACATGATTCCACAAATGGCATCTCAAATGTGCACAATTCCTGATGCAAATAACCAAACCAACAACACAAGTGTATCAACCAGCGCAGCACCTGCTCCTCTCATCGGCCCTGTGTTACCTGAAGGCTTTCTTACTTCTAACAATAGTACTGACGCCACAGAATTGTCTCAAGATGTACCAACAGATTCCGCTAACAATGGAAACGATACACAAAAAAGTCGTAGGAATGATAGATCCAGTAGAAATGATAGAAGGGATCGTGACAGAGGTAACGTGTTAATAAATTTATTTGTTTAAGTATGGTAAACGGCGAGACTCACCCTTTTTTTTCCTATGGATGATAATGGAATGGTACAGCTGCCTGGGCTAACGGTTTACTCTGGCGGGCCACCAGTGGAAGATGATAAGATGAGCATGAGGTCAGGTCAGTTAGTCCATTGGCATTGGCATATTCACCAGAAATTTAACATGATGATTTTTATGATGAACCATGTGGAGGTCATCCTGACATGGTACATGGTAAAACATTGTGATCAATTTCAGCTGATTTCGCCACGATGGGCAAACTTCACACTCCTCCAATCATCCTTTACCGGTGCCCCACCTGTGTACTGTGTGCAAGCGAGTGGACAATTCCACTATTATCTGAAAAAAATGCATTAGGCTTAATGCTTCTGTAGTAGTGCACTTACATAATTAAATAAAAGGTAAAGAAGTAAAAACACTTCACCTGCTCGTAACTTTAAAAAGGATTGGGTTATGAATACTGTGAGATGTATAAACAAAATTGTATCATTGTCTTAGATCAAGGGAGATCAAGACGAAGATCAAGGTCTCACGATCGAAGTGACAGGAACAGCAGAAGAAGGAATGACCGTACAAGCAGAAGGGATAGAAGTCGACAAAGGTCATCCAAATGGGACAATGATGCAAGCAATCAAGGATTGAACCAAAATGCTACCATGCCTGATTATTCAAATATGATGATTCAAGGTAAGTACAATAACTCTCACCACTCCTATATCCACATTTGGCTGGGATTACCATCATGAAGCAGCATGTGATACATGCTTTGCTTTATCTAAAGTACAAGTTATATAATATATCTGAAGCCATTTACTAATCAGAATCACCTAAAAAGTAATTCTGATAGGAATCACACTCCACCAGTGATATAACTTTTACCACATCTGTTCATATTCTTTGACTGATTGCTGGATGGATAATTTTTTTTTAAAACAACAGCCTATGTACTTCTTGGTACAAGCTATCTGTATGACAAAATAAGATTAATTCGCGCATTTAGTTTTGAAGTCTTACAAACAGACAGGCAGGCAAACATACTTTCCCATTATTAATGGGAAAGTATGTTTGCCACACATTTAATGGTATGTTTAACACACATTATTATAATCATTATTAATATACTTTTATAGGAATGATTCCTTATAACAACATGATGACGCAGTCTACAATGGATGTGAACATGCAGACCATGCCAGGCATGATGACTGGCATGAATATGATGCCCAACATGATGGAGCACAACATGATATTAATGCAACAACAGATGCTGAATTGCCAGCCAATACCAATATCCAGTGGTAGCTTGCTGGCACCCCTTCCTAATGTTACCATTCCACCACGTAGAGAAAAGCCTCCTGGCTGCCGTACCATATTCGTAGGAGGACTACAACCAGAAGTCACAAAGGACACAGTAACTGAGATATTCCAGCGTTTCGGAGATATTTCTGACATAAAAATACACAGGCAAGGTGTCTGTCACTTGCGTTTTGCAAAGGCAGAGAGTGTGGAGCAGGCATTCTATATGTCAGGATACAGGTTCAAATTCAATCACCAGGTGGATAATGAAGCAACGACTATTTTTGTTGATTATGCATTGGTACGTATTGCTGATATGATGTTTATCATTTATTAAAATTTATAAAGATGTAAATGAATTCAAGTATGTAAAAAATAATGTATGTCAAAAGATAGTAATTACTATTTTTGCCATTCAATTTAAAGTTTAAACAGCTAGGAAATTAAAACTTTTCATGTAAAAAGCAAAATAAGTTAATTATTTAATTCTTATGATAATGAAAAATTATTGTAAAAAATAATAACTTTCTGTGTGAATGTTATGAAAAAAGACAAAATAGCACATAGTACATTACAATAAGTATAGTTTTACATTGTATCAGGATAGACTTTTGTACAAAATCATTGGTATTTCAGTAGCCAAAGAGATTGCTTTGCAAGATATGTGTTTCTCTTGAAGGGTGAGATAAGGGACTGAAATTACAGATTGATATGTTAATCGTTAGGAACAAATGAATAGTATCATAGAACATAAAACATGTGCTTGATAAACTAGGTACGACAGACTATACCATGTGCGCTGTAGCATGGTTCGGGTGACTATTTGATTAACGTTTCGTTTCACACTTAAAAGTTGCCGCGATTTATAAATTACTAGCTATACCCGCGACTTCGTCCGCGTAAAATAATGACTGACCAAATAATTAGAAAATATTTAGAAATCTAACCCAATAAAAACGTTTCATCGTTCTAGCTTCTAAAAGAAAATTTCCATACAGAATTCTATACAATTCAACCAACAGCCTACAAAATATATTTGAATTTATAAGGAGACAACGGATTGACCATAATCATTTGCGCGCGCAACTTCGCATGCGCGCTGCTTATACAAATAACATATATGTTTATTTATGATATATTAGCGTTTATATGTCGCATATCTATAATAGTACAATACTGGTGTAATTCAGAAATTAAAATTTTTTTAAATTATTCTTTAATACCACAGTTATAAAGTGGTTTTTCCAAAATTTGTAATTTTTGAGTTAAGCCAGTATTATAATAAGTGTGCAATGTATTCAACCGCATAAAGATAACCTTGCATTTCCATTTTCAACCCCTTACAACCATATTTTCGCATTAAAAAGTAGCCTATGTCCTTCCTCGGCATCTAGACTATCTGCGTTCCAAATTTCATTTAAATCGGTTCAGTAGTTTTGGCGTGAAAGCGAGACAGACAGACAGAGTTAGTTTCGCATTTATAATATTAGTAAGGATGTCTTAGTATTTCAGCTGTACCACATTCGTAATTTATTAAACCATTAATAACTGTATTAATAATAATGTCATTAATAACTTAAATGTAACAATTGTTAAATGTAAAATTAGTAACTGTCACCATGCTTCAGCGCACATAGGTATAGAACTTGTAAGCATAGTCATGAATAAATTAAAAAAAACACGCAACGCATATGATGACGTGATGGTGCTGTTTCTGTGTAAGTCGACTATTACCAGTTACCATCAGGTGGACCATCATATGTTTAACTAGACGTATTCCACTTAGCTTCCTAAGGAGATTCGTCAAAGCCGCGCATGGGACCTCGAAGAATCACGACTTAGCGAAATATTTTGTTGACTTGTCTCTTCTAGAGTCAACTCAATGGCTCATTACAGACCTTCGGAAATTGCGGCTGCAGCTACTTGTGTATCGCTGTATTTGTTGTTGTGGTGTATGAAGTCTTATCCGAGTGAATAAGTAGAGTACTACTTATTCACTCGGACACATTGACCCCATAATGAAGAATATGGCAAGGATAGTTATAAATGTTGAAAATTCAAATTTTAAGGCGGTATATAATAAGTATTTGGATACGACGCTAGCTCGTTTGCGATTCAAGTTAAAATACATTAAAATAATGTAATTGTCTAACAGAATCGTGAAGATCAGATTGAGAGTGAAAGAAATAAGTATAAGCATACAGCTCCGGTTCGTATCGAGGCTTTCAATGCAACCAACCTTGCCAGCGTTGTGAACAAGATCAAGAGTGATGATCAGTTTGCTGAAGCAGCCCCAGTAAGTTTTACTTCGGCTTTCTTATTCGGCTTCTTTCTTAAAATGGTTTTTATTTATTTAATAATTACTTTGCGGAGTAATCTACCAGTGAACCATGAATGGTGTAAAATATATACATTTTTATAAAAAATAATACATATATAAATACACAGATAAATATTATATATGAATAAATACAATGACTTGACAATCAAATTAGAAGTACAGTTATAAATTCAAACTAAGTTTTATCGTAAATGACATTGATTTTTTTTTCCAATGATTTGATGACCTCTCTTTGCTTCCGATGGTCGCGGGTTCGATTCCACGGATTCCACATTTGCACGGTGCAAACTTTTGTATTCATGAGTATGATTGTTTGTATTGGAGTGTTTTCTATCTATATTATGCATGTATTTACAAAAGAAATATATCTAAGTATTTAAATCAGTAGTCTAGTACTCATAACGCAACCTCTCCTTACCGTGGGACTAGATGGCGCTGTGTGAATTGTCCAGGGCAATTTAGTCGTTTGTATAAATCTGAAATCATCTGAAATTTCTAGAACATTCCTATTTCCGTCCACAGACCCTTCTCAGCTGGTTGGAACGTGGCGAGTGCAACAAGAAAAATGTCGGTTCCTTTTACTCCATGATACAAGCGAGCAACAATCAGATACGGCGACTTTTAAATGAGAAGATGCTGCTTGATGATGAGTTTCAGAACCTAAAGACTACCGTAAAGGATAAATTCTCTAGTGTGTTGGTGCAATGTAAGTAATTATTTTAACAGTAATTGTTCTATCAAGCGACGCGCTGAGAGACGCTGCTTCGCAAGCAGATTGGAGGCTCGAAACAGCCGATTGGTTATGGTTAGTCATTGGTTTCTATAGGTAACATTTCATTCAGGGTTGCCATTCACTTAGTTGTAGTAATTATTAGGTTTACGTAAGGATAGGAGCAGACGGCGAGTTTTTTAACTGCACATACGATTGGGGCACCCATAGGTAGATCATAAATATAATAGAATAGAAAATAGACTTTTGATGCGGTTATTAAGTCAATGAATATAAATAAAATTTGGTAAGATTCCATGATTGTTCCTAAATAAACGTTTAAAAAACAAAATTAACTTAATACGGTGCATTTATTCGTGTTTAGCATTAAGTAAGATTTTACATTTTCGAATTAGTGTTTCTAAAAAACGAATATTTAATAGTAATGTTATAGAAGAAAGTGAGTGGCAATACTGAATTTCTTTGCAAAACGAATGCAAGTGTGACAATAATAAACTAATTTTATTAATTAAATTCAGTTATATTTAATTTTTTTTTTAAATCGCATGTCAGTGCATACCTTACACAGTGGCTAAAGTTATATAGCCCGATCGTCAAAGGTGCTGGTGTGACCATGGAGCTGCCGCAGGTGTTCGTATGCTTCAGCAGACTTCAGCGCGTATTTGCAGACTTCAGCACGCTTTAGCAGTCTTCAGCAGACATCAGTGAATAATTTTCTATATTGCTACTAATGGTATGCATTGATCTGATGATATGCCACAGTCAATTCGATTTGCTCTGAATTATGAAAGTAGGGGGTCCATTTCTGTTGCTGTCATTTTTCTGCAAAACTACGAGTTTAGTAAGTATAATGTGGAAACAGTAGACGATGTTTTACAATTATTGAAATAAAGTAATTTAAAATTGAATATTTTATATATTTAAATACAGTCAATGTTTTAAGTACTTACTATGTATTTTGTTTTAAGGTTGAACATCGCCGTACAGTTTTCATTGGCAGATATTTTCCAAGTATATAATTTATTTCACTAAATATATAACAGAAACGTTGTCGATTGCTTTTATCAGGTACATTTATGCACTTAGACGATGTCATGATGTCAATTATTCTGTACAATATGTTTTCCCGCGGAATGCCATGCAATTATTGATTTTGAATAATTTTCAAATAGAGTTGTACCTAAAACTTATATTGTCTATTAATAAAGAGTCGAAAAGAAACTGCTTTGTAAGAAGGGTTTGATTGGATGAGATTTACCTGTGAAATTATTGAAGCTTGACATAGTCATGTAATAGTCATCCGGAATAGCAATAAAGTGTGGTACTGATGTCATATGAAGACATGATAGCCGCTCTTCAGTTATATAGACGACGGTTACCACTTACTTTTGAGTGTGTAGTCAGCTTATTTTCTATTCCGGGAAAAATAATAACCGATATATAAAAAATCTATCGTCCACTCGTTAATAATATTAGGATTAATATCAGCAAGTAATAAAAGCAGCTATTAATGATTATTGAAAAAAATTCAAACAATAATTGCTTCTAAATCTAAATCATACTGAAGCGAGTCGCTCAAGATAAATATTATGAAACCAATTTTCTTATCAAAATCGTTTTAAGTGCGTTATGATATAATGAGGTACGGTTTCTGCTGGTCTCGTCCACCGTGTTGCCTTCACCAGTCGTCAGCAGCTGTCAGCATATCCTAGAGCATCAGCCCCATCATCAGAGCAGAATTAAGCTATGTCGATATCCCAACGTCATTATACAAAAAGCAGTCGAGGCTATTTCTGGTTATTAATGCTTGGAAGATATCCGTACAATTCATTTAACTTCACGCTACATTTTACGGGGTAGACAGAGAGCATCGTGTGATACTGGTTTATATACTTTTATATAAACATAGGCAAACGGGTCTTTTTGTCTACCTAGAGTCATTATTTAATACACGAACAAAAAAATTATTGAAGCAGTGTGTGACGTACATAACGATAAGTATGTAATACAATCCATGTACTTAGTCATAATAAAAATAGCTATAAACACAGATTAAGGTTTATATTTCATTAAAACAAATTTGAATTTAATTACATTAAAATAGTCGCTTTATAATTGGGCGATTTTAAAAATGCACAGAAAATCAATTGAGATTGAGCAGTTCTTATGTTTTAAAATCGATTAATTAATAGATGGCAATAAGTGACTCGACGATAATTTTAAGTAAAATTTAGTCGTATATGGGAATTGAAATAAAAAAATACACAAGTACACATACACACGTTTTTATAGAAAATGAAATTCGTAGTAAATTCTATAAAGAAATATTAAATTATAGCAAGATCATTTCATTCATCTTCATTAATTGCCTTGCCTTCATTCCATTATTTGGAGTCTGCGCAGTATATAATTTTCCATTGAATCCTTATCGGCCTTATTTTCACATAATCCATCAATCTTTTTTTGGGTCGCTGTCTCTCGTTCATGATAAATAGTTTATTTAAAACATGGTCCTCGTTCCGCATAACAATGATCATGTTACCACCTTTTATACATATCATCTTTCATACAAACCATCCATATTTTTTCGGTCGCTCTCTCTTTGCATCCATCCACTTTCATGTTAATGACTTTCTTAAAGACATGGGCCTCACTCCTCCACATAATGGTTATGTTACCAATACCAAGACAATCTGTGACTTCACAATAATAGAGCAAGATTTCCTATGAAAGGAATATAAAGAAGAAAGATTTAATATTTTAATTGTGATACACAAAAAATACTTGACCAATTTAAAAGATTCTTTCACGTATAATTAATTTCAATGTATAATTTACATTATTATCAACATGGATTGTATTATATTTGCAAAAAAGATGATATTCCTACATTAATTGCACCCATGCGTAGCAATAAGATATAAAATATTCTTTTGCAAGATGGCGAGACTTTATATTCCATTTAACAATTTGTAACAAAATTATTGATAATTCATTTATCTGTACGTGCGAGTTTGTACCCATATAACTACTTTACTTACACAATACATCAGGAAAAACCTCGACCAAATCGGTTAACCGGCATCTGAGATAATCTCAAACAACAAACGTACAGACAAACAGACAAAAATTCAGATAAGTTTTATGTTCCATAATATCGATAAAACCGCAATAACAGTTATTTCTCATATTAACTATAACTTCAATATACAGACTGCTATCTGTTATACACATACATATATATAAAAGAAATATAAAGTCCGTCCTATTGTAACGAATGTGTGAACAACAGTCGAGCAGATTGCAAGTATAATGGCGGCGGCGAGGCACCAGCGTGTCTCCGATCACTTCAGTAAGCAGCAACGCCGGAATATTGAGATGTGGCTCAAAATTACAGAGGTGCGTACTGGAGCATAGCTAGTATTCTCTATTCACCCGATTGCGAAAGAAAGAAAGGGTAAAATCGGGTATGAAATGAATGAAGAACATTCATGATGTCGCCCGATTCATGAGAGCGTAGTGACCTAGTGGTTACTACCCCGATTTAAGCCGAAAAGTCGAAGCTGGCCGATACTTTTAACACTTTTTTCAAACTATTCTAATGTTATAATAATAATAATAGTGTTAGTCGTAGCTGGCACAGCTTCATTAAGGACTTATCGAGCAGCTGAAGATCAACTTCAGCCTTACCTGAATTCAATCCGCTAGGGGTTATTATAATCGTATGAATCACTGAAGATGAGAAGTGTGTTATATTCTCCGGCAAAACCGGTAGTAAAGTCTTATTAAAAATAAACAATAGCACACAATTTGCTTGCCAGTTTTTCATTACTAAAGCAACCGGCAGAAGTGAACGGTAGGGTTACATATAGTAATAAAATGACAAGAACATGAAAAACATTTCACTTTCACATTCCTACTGTTTAATCAAACGGAACACGTCGCCAGGTAAGATATTTTAGCTTATACTTCATAACACTGTGTGATGAAGGTCAACGGTGAATACGTCAGCTATGCTCGCAAGGCAACGTGGCAACTAAACAGGTACGGCAAATATAGGAACAAATCTGTAGGATCCCATTACATCGGCATCGTCTCGAGTAGCAGAATGATGCAGCTACCAACTGTCTTCGTGTCAAGATGAAAACTACGAAACCACGCTGTTGGAGATGTGCTCACTAAAGCAACAGGAAAAATACACAGGTACAGCGAATACATGATCACAGCAATAGGATATATGGAGGTACTGAGGTGCAGGGTGCAAGGCGTCGAGTATAATGCTACCATCAATCTTTCGTGTCTTCGCGTTGCGAATATGCGATGAGTATACTACTTTGTCACACTAACTATTTGCATACACTTTTTAACTGGTTGTTAATGTGACAAAGTAATAGATACATTTTGCAGATGATCATAGAATTGGATGTCACAAGTGATGTAGTAAGTTTCCAATACGAGGTTTGTCTCTAGCGTATGTCGGTTGTGATTTAATGTAGCAAGTCGTATTCAATTGACGTTTAGAATGGGTCAGTCATTCATATGCAATTATGATTTCAAACAATCCAGGAACTAATTGTAATAGACAAATTTTATGTCATTTGCTACAGCCGCTTAGGAGTTGGGTGATAAATACATGTACCGACAAAATTATATATATTATGATGTTATGGAAACCAAATATCCAGAGATATCTTGTAAGATGCTTCTGAGTTGAAAAATACTTCAATATTTATTGATTAAATTAAACTATTTTTATTGTTTTACCAAACCAACCAAACAAAAGAAACCAACATGGAAACCCTATTAATTGTATAAAGAATCATTAAAATGAACTAAGAATTCACGAAGATATACAGAAGAGTAATAATAATAATATACTGGGCAATTCATACAGCGCCATCTAGACCCAAGCTTGTTTTATTTATCACTTGTTTCAGTACCCATAGTACTATTATAGTACTAGTTATACTTAACAAGTGATAACTTAAATTAACTTTAATAGTTTTATTTATACATACATACGTACATAATATACATAGATAGAATGAGCATGAGGTTAGCCCATTGTGACAGCGTTACCGGGAATTGACCACGATGGTTTGAAGAGGGAAATCGCGGAAACCTCACATATTACATTAGTAGCAAGGGGGTTACCAGTCCCGATTAATAACAACCCCCCTACTCCCTATATGCATAAACTTTTCTGAAGATATTCTCAAAATGATAGTGAAAACTGTATCAAACCTTGTGGCATGATTTAGAAGTAAGCAACTGTTTGCTTGCTTACTTCTAAATCATGCCACAAGGTGCACAACAAACATGCACAAACAAACGAAAATAACGACTATGAAAGATTAATGATAGTTATTAATATTATTTTCACCGATTTATTTTTCAGGAGGTGGAGAACATGAAGGACGAATTTAATCTATACTTCGACGAGGAAGAAGTAGAAAAAATAGGGAAATCCGTTGTTTCTTTGGAGAAATATGAGAAATTGAAGGTACAGTATTCTACAGTACAGTTTTTATATTATTTGTAGTCAGAATCTTTCTCCAATTTATTCGATTAATTTTAAAGTTTTTTAGAGATAAATCCTCTTAAATGCCTTTTATTAAAAAGAATAAATTATTTTATTTTTATTGCTTTTTCACTTCTTGTTTCAAATTAACATCTCAAAAAAAAGGATAAGTTAATTGCTAAAATAGATATGTAATGTTTGATTTTTATGAGTAAGGGGTACTTATGCAATCTATAATAATATTCTGTCCGATTGCTACTCCGGCTGCAAAAAATATCAGGAATATACATTATCACGAAGCTGACCTATGAATAAGGTATCTTTTATCTCAAAAAAGTGATTAAAGTCCGTACTAACAACTAGTATGGTATATAATAACGTATTACTATTTCAGCTGGAACATGAAAATCTGATGTTTGAGTTAGAAGGCTACAAGAATGAGGCTCACTTGGCGAAAGACGAGGCCGAGAGAAAGTTCGAGAAGTTCAAAGCCCACTTCATCGCTCAACAGGCTCTACAAAACAAACAGCCGGTAATTAATAATCATCATTTATCTCTGCCAACTTGGAAATCAGAAATCACAAAAATGTATTTTTTTGTTGTTTAATTTAAAGACAATAATGTAAACACTAGTGTACGTATGTAATTTTAAAAAAATATCTTATAGACAGTTTGTACATAATTTTAAAACTAATTGTCTAAAATAAGAATAAAAAGATTACATGCTACCCCGCTACAGCATACACTACATTATTTTTAATTTTAACATTTACACCTGACCATATAGGCTCCAAGGTTACTGTTGCTGATCATCCGCACTCTCCTAGGAGGGTGAAAGTCCCTCAAAGTGAATCCCTTTGCCCCAGCATTAACTCCGAGCCCAACAACCCTCGGGTAACGGGGAAGAAAGGGATTGTTAGCAATGTTAACTAACTCAGCATGACCTCCACGCGGTTCCCCCTGGAAACAATCGTGATAAATTCCTAGTGAATTTGTCACGATGGGCCAACTGACCTGACCTCATGCTCATCCTATTATCCTTCACTGATACCCCGCCAGCATAAACCGTTAGCGCAGGCGAGTGCATTCGCCTGCGCTAACATTCCATAATTACCCATTAAAAATGAAAACCCCGGGTAGCTGGGTTATAAGCCTCTTAAGCCTCTAAAACAGACTATAGCCATATCTAGAGTGAACAAAGCAGTTCCTTTTTTAAAAATACTAAGAAGTGTTTGCGTATATAAAAAAGGACACATTTTGTAACAACAAAAGGGGTTATACATTTATCGTTACGATTACAACTCCAAAATTTATTATGGTACTAACATCAATGTATTCTGACATCGATACTTTTACATAGATATTTTTTTTATATTTAACATCCCTATTATTTAATATATTTTTTAATCTGTATATTTTTTCTCAGGTCTATCCACCTCTGCCGGCACAAGTAGTTCCAACGCACATACTGCAGTCTTCGGCATCGAACTCGAGCAGTTCATATAATCAACCACCCCTGCCAACCCCTAACGCTACATATAAACCATTACCGCCTCCCCCAACGCCAGATGACATGATATCATCGACGCACTCTGGACTTTCAATGTCAGAAGTGAAACTAATTAGTATGTTGACGATGTTTCTTACAGCACATCCACTTGGTGCCACTTTAGATTATATCGTCTCATATTTAAGGTCCATGTTGCCGTACGTGAACCATGTAATTGTACACGAAACACTGCAGAAATATCCTGATGTCTTCAGTTGCAACACCTCAGGGATTGGAACCTCTATTGAACAAAAATGGACCTTTGTGACCTTTGATATAATAAAAAAGGAAAAATAACTAATGGAATATCATACATTAAATTAAAACATTTTTTTATTTGAATCTTTTTCGTGTATGTCAAAATATTTGTTTTCTTTACCTACATAAAATATGTCAAAAAGATCGTCGAGACCTATTGGTTTACTACTCTGAATCACTCTTAAAAGGTGTGTTGAAATCTAGCCAACATAAAAAGTACTTTTTGTCAATTTATTATTTATATTTCTGATAGCTGTTCCCGGGACTTCATCCGCGTGGAATTTAACTTTATTTTTCTAAAATAAAAGTAGCCTAAGTTATTCCTCATTACATCATCTACCTGCCAAAAAAAGTCCCGTTAAAATCAGTCCAGCCATTTCAGAGTTTAACCGGAACAAACAGACAAAAATTGTGAAAAATGTTATTTTGGTGTATGTACCGTATTTATATTCATATGCATGTAATAAAAAATGGTTATTAAAAATAACAATTTTTATTAATTTATGGTTATTAGAAATAACCATTATTACAAACGGACACTCCAATTTTATTTATATGTATAGATTTACTCTCCGGTACAAAAGATCAGTTTTGGACCGGAGAGGACACCACACTCGTACGCTCGCCCCTGCAACGTTGTATTCTTATATACCGAGCGAGATGTCTCAAGTGTTGCGTTCATCATATGGACAACTGACAAAAGCAAGGATAACAATTTTTAACACATATAATGACGAGTAAGCTGACGGCCAACCTGATGGTAAGTGGTAACTGTTGCATACGGGAACAATACCACGTACAACGTGATGCTCTAAATGGTCATACTTGGTGGAAGACGATGTCATGCTTTACATAAGCAGCAGCAGCTTTCAAGGGTCGGATAAGCATTAGGTAGGTTAGGCAAATGCCTTGGGGACCTGCGCCCAATAATGTATTGTTTTTTTTAGAAATCTAAAATACTTTATTCGAAACAGAGCCATCTAGTATCGAGTAGTAGTACTAATGATATAATTACGTTACGTCAGAGTAAATATACCAAAAGGGGTTGCGTAAGTTTTAGAATAAAAGTATTTACTATGTTTTATTGATTACTAATTACTGTTTAGTAAAAAATCTTATTTTTTACAATATATAGATATAAAATAGCAAAGACATCTTTTTCATATTTTTTTAAACAGAGGTCTCAATAATTACTTTCGAGTAGACGATCGGTATCTGTATCCTGTGATTTACTGCAAGACGATAGGTCGAACAAGAGTAATGTTCATAAATGTGGATGTCAAGATATGTTGGCGATGAATATATTTTAGGTACAAGAAATAAAATTTTAAACAACCGATTTTTATGTTTGCTAATAGCGTTACAAAATAATAGTTAAAATTTAATATATATTTTAAACAATATTCAAATATATTAACATACATATAGCCAGACAGTCAATAATGGATAATTAGATTATTCAAAATTAAAATATTTTGCGATTTGTGATGTCTGTCGAGATTCTAATATTGAATTGCGCCATTTAGTTGTTATGTTATTGATAAACAAATAGCACAGATAACATAATATGTATGCTAACACTGTGTAATAAGGTTCATCATCATCTGCTTCATCCTTATCCCATTTATTTGGGGTCGGCGTAATATGTTTTTCGTTTCCATTCATCCCTGTTCGCAGTCATCGCGTTATTTACTTCCTTTCTTACCATATCATCTTTCACACAGTTCATCCATCTCTTTTTTGGCCTTCCTCTGCCCTTATAACCATCCACATTCATTTGTAACATCTTTCTTAAAATATTATCCTCGTTCCTACGCATTAAGTACATGTCCATACCATGATAGACGATTACTCTTCAACCTCTCTGACACCGGTGCCACTTTCATACTTCCTCTAATGTATTCATTCTTTATCTTATCCATTCTTGTCACACCACACATCCACCTCAACATTCTCATGCAGTTGCATGCAGTCGTAAAATTAGTTTTTGACCATATCTCTACGATAACACCAAAACCACCTTCCGTATTTCTAGCAGCTTGTAATACTGGCTCGCTTATTACAGCAAAAGGTGTTTGAAGTACACTGGTTATTACCTGCGCTATTACGAAAATTACGTACCCACTTATATAAAAAGTTTTATGTTTTAATTAGAATTTTTACAAGAATCTTTAGAGCTTCGAAATAGTAAAATTATTTAAACACATTATTGTTAAAATAAACATACTCTAAAGTGTGTGGTCATTCAACTTCACGTTGACGTCAGAATAAAAGCACAGAACATAATACATAAAAAAAATAATCTATGGGTGAACTGAGCAAAGGTCATTGCGAGCACTCACAACTACCTCTGCTCACTTCGCTCACGAATTTTGCTCGGTTATATTTGGGGTATTTGGAGTGTGGAAGTCGTTTTTCTCCTGTAAAATAAATTCCAGTCTATTCTTTATACGGATTCTTAATCCAATGTCATAAATTAATTTAAGGAATTACACCATCTAGTTTAATTTTTATTATCTATTAACTGTAAATATATTTCCTATAGAGCGTAATTTTATATTTATATTGAAACAATAGATTTTACGATCCATTCCTAGAAATTTTTATATTAACAATTTTGTAAATATGTTAGGAACTGATAATATTATCATACAATGCAAAAAGTTCGTAAATGTACTTCCTTTTAGAATAATGCCATGTTATAAAACTAACATGAAACCTGATTATGAACAACCGCCATCTATTGTTTAATAGCGACGAGATAATTTTTACTAAAAAATTTTATATTATATCGATCTTTCCGTCCTTGGATATATTTGACTTGGTTTGATTTATTTCATTTGGTTGCAAGGTGTGGGCCTATAGTTATGGAATGAAAAGAAAATGGCACTTAAATAGTGTTCATTGAACATTCCGGTTACATATGGAACAATCGGGGTATATATCGCCGATCAATGATTTTTTGATTTTTTTTTATATAGCATATGCTGGTGGTAACTCTATTCTCCCAAATTTGAATTTAAATGAAATAGTATTATTATAAATATGTACAACATTAAAAAAAAAATACGAGCTGAGTTTCTTGTCAGTTCTTCTCATCTCGAAATCATTCCGAACTGACGGTAGATTTGACATATCATAAGAGTCTGTAATAGACCTACATGAATAAAGATATTTTGAATTTGAATTTGAATTTGAATGATGGCGACCGCTTTAAATCGCCTAATCAGCCCCGATCTTAATTTTTTTCAACGCGGGACAAAAACTAATAAATTACTACTACCCTACCCTACTCCCCGTAGGGGCGGCATTTATTAGTTTGGCCAACATTTTTAGAATGATTTATTTAATTATTTAATTACAAACAATTTGTAAAAATAGTATTGCTGACAATTACTGTTAACTAATGTGAATTTTTAACAGTTACATCTTACATCTTCATTTTCAAATGCAAATCAAGGTCATGTTGTCCAAAAGGTACTCTATTGATGAGTTGTGTATTCATCTGCAAGTTCGAATATGTCGCCCCCTGAACATGCCGCCCCGGGAACGGGCCCTGTTTTTGACCTCCCTTATATCCGGGGATAAATCATCAAGGAGAAGAATAATAAACCAGGGAACGTTATACCACAGATTTTATGACTAACATCTATTGTGTTATATTATAACTATTGTGTTGGTAACTGTTGAACCCCCTAAGCAAAACTTTTAAGGTTGGTAACCCTGGCTTATATGTCAATTTTTCTCGTCGTCAACTTATGAACACTTACTTATGAAGGTATGAATGAACTTATTGAACTTTCACTTCTCGTAATTTAACTTCTTATGTATATATTTTTTGTTCGTGTTTGTTTTGATTTGCTTCTTTTTTGATGATTTGTAACTAATTATGAGTAAATGGTGGCCCTGGTTGTTTGGTGCAACATTATGTTTATTATTTCTCTTAATACTAATCACCTATAGTGGAGACGAAGAAGAAATTCTTTTGGCTCGGTACAATGATTATCTGGAAAAGTTCAATAAAAGTTACAAAAACCACCCGTCCGAGTACAAAACCAGGTTCGAACACTTTGTAGTGAGTATTTTATTATTTTAATTTATATTAAAAAAAGTATTAATTTTATCTTAGTACAGTTTTAAGTAATGTGTTCTTATAATGTAGCAGTCCCACTATTTGGCTTATTAAATTATGAGAAATGTAGATTTTAACATATTTATAATTTTACTACTATAGTACAGCTGCAACCACGAGAAAATGAGTATTAAATAATGACATACCTATATAACGTTTAGAAATTTAAAATTATACAGATACATGCAATTGTTGTGACCATTTGATAAGATATATAATCAATATTTGATAAGATATATTTTGATAAGACATGTAAGTACATGACAGGATATTGTACAACAATTACAAGAGAAGATTAGAAAAAGTAATCTATTAGGTTGTTCGGAAAGTAATTTCGTTTTTTCCTAACTTAAATTTATCAAAATTAAGTAACTTGTTAGTTTTGATAAATTTAACCTCAATCCAATTTGTGTTGTGTTATTCGCTGGTTCACATCTATTGAGGTTTATAATCTAATATACCGAAAAAGAAATAAATGTCAGTTACTTAGTAACGGTTGTTTAAACAGAATACAATTTTATGTTTTACACTGCATATCTTGTTTCTCTAATATGGTAGCAGAGCGGTAACAATTACGATTCATACACGCAAATACTCTTCAAAATGACTTCTTCATCGTTAACTATGGATAAATTGTCGGGAATGGCAAATTACGGCAATTGGAAATTCCAGATGAAAATGACACTCATACATGAAGATTTGTACGATTGCGTTGTTGCTACTAAAAATGGAGAACCCGAATGCATGGATAGGAAAAAGCAAGAAAAAGCATTAGCGAAGATATGCTTAAGCGTACTTCCTGCCGTCTATTCAAATGTTAGAAACTGTGAAACAGCATTTGAAGCGTGGAGAAATCTGCAACGTGCATTTGAAGACAAGGGTCTCTGTAGAAGGTTAGGTCTTCTTAGAATATTATTCTCTTTGAAGCTTGAACAATTTCAGGATATGGATAGATATCTCACAAAAATTATGGATATCGCTCAACAACTCCAAGACATGAATGCTCCTCTCGATGATGATTTTGTCGCAGTCATAATGCTTAGTGGACTCCCGAAGGATTTCGACCCACTCATAATGACACTAGAAAATGCAAACTTAAATCTATCTAGTGATCTCGTTAAAAATAAATTGCTACAAGAATCACAGAGACGAGATGGTACAACAAGCTCCGAGTGCCCTGAGGAAAAAGTTCTGGCAATTTCAAAACGTCCTATATGCTACAAATGTAAGAAGGTTGGTCACTATGCCAAGGACTGCCGTAAGAAAATATCAGGTAAAGATAAGCAACCAAAGTCGAGCAGCAGCTCTGGTGCAGCCAAGAGTGCAATAATGCTGTCGGTCCTATCAGCAGATGTGAAGTTTGAGGGTTGGTATGTCGATTCTGGTGCGTCTTGTCACATGTGCAACAATCGGCAAATTTTGAAAAATTACGTCGAGGACAATAGTTTATATGTGACAGTAGCGAACGGAGATAAAATAAATAGTGCCGGTCGAGGTGATACAGATATTTTAGTTAAGGATGGTATAAAAACTCTATGTGATGTGTTTTATATTCCTAACTTGTCATGTAATTTAATGTCTGTCAATGTTTTGACACAGCGAGAATATCGTGTAATTTTTGAATTTGATTTATGTAAAATATATAAAAATAATATATTAGCAGCGATTGCAAAGCGGGATAATTCTGGTTTATATAAATTACAAACTGGGTCTGCATTTGTAAATTCCGTTGATCGCGTAAAAAGTCCAGTCATGTCTGTGAGTAAATCTTCAAATATTAAAAATGAAGTTCAATCTCACGTAAACCAAGCAAGTCAAGGTATCTGGCATCGACGTTTGGGACATTTAAATAGTCGCAGCATGAGTTTACTCAAGAATGGTATGGCAACTGGCATTGACTATAATGTATCGTCATATGAACAATGCATCTCCTGTATAGAAGGTAAGGCTACTAAACTACCTTTTCCTAAGAAATCGTTTACATATGGTCATATAAATGGTCATATAAAAATTAATTTCTTGCCAACGGACCAAATGATTGCAGATCTTTTAACTAAGCCTCTCTGTATAGTTAAACATGAGAAATTTGTTAAGGACTTAGGGTTGTCCAAATAATTGTACATGTTTCGTATATAAGATTAAGGGGCGGTATTGAGGTTTATAATCTAATATACCGAAAAAGAAATAAATGTCAGTTACTTAGTAACGGTTGTTTAAACAGAATACAATTTTATGTTTTACACTGCATATCTTGTTTCTCTAATAACATCAACCAATGCCTTTATCAGCTTCAACTGGCCTTCCCGAGGGTGGTGCATCTTCGACATCAAAATTACCGGATTAAAATTTAGCTAACCAGTTCTGGCACTGGAGTACTGTTAACACACCTTCTCCACACACATCGGTCAATTTCTTTCTGACTTGAACAGCATTTTTGCCCTTTCTGTAGTAAAACAGTGAGATATGTCGAAAATGCTGCCTATTCCTTTCCATATTTAAAAGGGTACCAACCAAAATCTACTGCGTAGAATTAATTGGATTTTTTCACACACAAGCCTTGCTATATGAGCTCTCAAAGCATATAAAAATTATATGGCTTAAGTGTGAAGTTGAGTGCAAAAAATACAATTAAATCCTAAGGTAGGAATAAACGAAATTACTTTCCGAACAACCTAATAGTATTTAAAGAATTTAATCAAAGTATTAAGTACAAATTTTTATAATACAATTATTAAAGTGCAGTTTAGTTATAAAGTACATATATATATGTATACACACTTTGGACAACACAAAGGTCTATATAAACTATTGTTTCAGTTTAATGCTTGTAAGGACTGGTCTGCTCTAATTACTAGAACTGTATTGTACTACTACTTATTTAGTTACACCAATAGCTGTATATTTAATATGTTGACTTGAATGAATTGATGCTAATTGCTAGCTTGTATTCACACATACTTAAACTTAAAAATGTAAAATCCCTTGTAAATTGGATTTTACATTTTTAAGTTTAAGTATGTGTTCTGTTTGTTCTTCATCTTGCTTGTTCTTCTTGTGATGAGACAGCATTCCGAATGAATGGTACATTCAAACGTTTTGACACAGATCTGTGCACCCCTCTTAAACTGTATTACTACTTTGCCACAGATCTGTGCCCGCAAAACTGTGACTAGCAATGTACCATGTCAGGTTGACCTCCACGCGGTTCCCCCTGGAAACCATCGTGATACATTCCCGGTGATTTTTGTCACGTTGGGCTTACTGATCTGACTTCATGTTCATCCTATCATCCTCCATTGGTGCCCCGCCAGCGTAAACCGATAGCGTAGGAGGGTGCATCATTCCATTATCGTCCTTAAAAAAAAAATTGTTGTGCGCATACCCCCTCTTCACTCTCGGTATCTGAAACAAAGGATGGATTCTAAAGGTTAAAATGTAATATATGTGGATTCAAAAATGCTTAAATACAAGTTTAAATTAAGACTTTATCTGTTATATTTGAATAATTTCAGAAATTTTACAATACCATTGTGATGGTTGTAGTAGGTAAGGTAGTTTTGTTAACTAAATGATAAATTAGGGGTCCAAACAATTATTATTTATTTTTTATTAATAAAATCTTGTCATCCAGCTTATTTACAGTGTTTGCTAAGTATTAGAAACTTAGGTAGGTAGCTCTGAGCAATCTTCTTATGTATTTATGTCAGGACAAAAAGTAAAAACTGCCACCCTTACTCTTCCTTTCTTCCTCTCCTAGCTTTCTATATCTTATCATCGAAATATTTCATTATATGTGTATACATATGCTTCTGCACACTCTTTTCAACTCTATAGGACTCGTAATTGTCGTGAATACATTAGCATCACTTTTATTTCTATGGGGACAGCTCCAAATACTCTCTACACACAACCAGAAAATGTTTACTTCATATCTCGGCTCATTTGTCTGGGTTTATTATTATTAAGCCGTTCCCCCGGCTTTCAATCTTTGGAATGACTTACCTCTTGGTATCAAGATAGATAACGCTGCGAGGTGTTAGTCCGCTAGCTGTACATTTTATTTTTGTGCATTGAAGTTAAATAGAGAGTATATATATATAAACTAAAAAATACGGGACCCATTTTAAAAATATATTCACCTATTGATAGCTACATTTTCTGCGAGTAAGATAAGCTAGTACCTTATGAGCAGGGCCGCGGTATACACCTAGTAATGTATAATATGGTAATTGTTTAGGCTTCAGTACGTGAAATAGACCGATTAAATGGCCAATCAAGAGGATCAGATCTATCTCGGGCACGGTATGGACTGACGAAACTCTCAGACATGTCCAAATCAGAGTACAGAGACATACATCTATCAGATGAACAAGTGCAGAGATCACCGAACGCATACGGCAAGAGTTGGAGTGAAACAGAGGACAGGCAAAGATATCATGTGGATGATTCACGTAAAGGTCATAGGTTGCATGATAACCCTGTGTACGAGAGAAAAAAAAGGGCGTTGCTGCCTCTACAAGTAGATTGGCAAGTATTATTATAATGTTATCTATATTCTATTTATTAAATTACAGTTTAAACTCAATTAGGGGATATAAAGTGTGACATTGTATATATTATTAACAAGTCAACCGAGTTTCAAAGTTCATGTAAAAATGATGAAAATAAGGAAGCCCTAGTCTTCCCACTATCCTAGAGGAAGTCTTAGATAATGTAACATCACATTTAAATTTAATTATGAAAAGCCGAAATTTTTAATTATTAAAATGTGACGAGGTGCGTGGGTGTCAGTCGTAGGAACGGGTCTTGCCGCTCAGTGCTAACAGAAAGTTAATTTGGTTTTTATTTATTTTTAACGATTAGTTAATCATAATTATAGTCAAATGATAGATGAATGAATAAAATCTAGTCTTTAATTGTTAATATAATTAACTAGGTTTGTTACCAGTGTGTAGTTTGCACACTGAGCAGAGCGCGTTTATTCTTTTCCCATATGCATTATCACCAACCATTCCTCAAGCATAATAATAACTCTTTATTGCGCATACATAAACATATGACAATGTACAAAACAATGAAAATAATTGTCAAAAGGTGGTCTTATCGCTAGTAGCAATCTGATAGCGACAAGACCGCTATGATATGACCGATCGGAATTAAATTAATATATCCATATTTAAGTGAATTTAAGGTTATTTCGTCGACCCTTGTACCAAGGTGGATCGTATTTTTGTCTTCAAACAACAATATACCTATGAACGGTATTACCGCTCGTGTTGTGTTGTCATTCCAGAGGTACTAAGATAGCCATGCTACTATCCTTAATTTCACTGCCTTATTGCCTTATGCCCTTCAAGCGATACACATTACAATGTAGGCTGTTTGGTAGCAGAAATAAGAGAGGTCAGATCATACGCCTTTCAACGAAGTATACCTCAATTTTTTTTTAATTGAAGTATTCTCCGGGCATTTCCAATTTTTTTCAATTAAAATTACGAATACGAGTTCACAGTATTTGTCAACTGTTATAGGTTAAGTTCTGTGAAGTGAAAGTATTTTACTTTTATTAAGGTGTGACAAGAATGGATAAGATATATCCTTGCTGATTCAGGCAATCCAGTCGTCATGACATGTTTGTACTGTGTGTGTGTGTGTGCTAAACCGCTAGACCACGGAGGACGTCAAAAATAAATAAAATAGTACCTACATAATTATCAAGTATAAGATATATAAATTATTATAGGAAGACATCGATAACATTTGTGATAAATAAATTCATAACTCCTAATAGTTCCATGTTTATCACAATGATTCCTTGATTCCTGAGTATGATTGTATCGATTTGGGTGTTTTCTATGTATATTACGTAGGTATGTATTTATAAAAGTCAAATCCTGCCCCATGCGAAAATTGACTCAAAAAAGTTACTTGTGAGCGTTTGGTGGACTAGTGCCGATGTTGTTCACTTCAGCTTTCTTAAATCTGGCTAGATTATTACGTCAGATTTGTATTGTCAGTCATTGCAAACTCTGATGGAAAAGCTAGTTGCTAAACAACCGAGGCTGGTCAATTGTCGTAGGCCACTGCTGCTTCAGGACAACGTTAGACCATACACTGCACAACAGACAGTTACCAAATTAGAAGAGCTTCAATTGGAATGTCTGACATACACCGTAGATACTTCCCGGATCTTGCTCCAACAGATTACCGTTTTTTTCGAAATTTCGATGACTTCTTGCAAGGAGAAAATTTCAACTTCGATGAGGCAGTCCAAAGCGCCTTCAAAGATTTTATTGATTTCCGTCCGAATGGTTTTTTAGTGACAAGATCAATGAACTACCTTTGAGATGGCAAAAGTTCATAAATAGCAGTGGTACATATTTTGATTAAATAAATATATTATATTAAAAAAAATCGACTTTTGGTTACTCCCTTACAAAGCCTAAAATATATATATATATATATATATATATATATATATAGCATCTACTGAGATGTTATTAGACTTTTGAAAACTGGGAAAAGACTTTGGGGTCAGAACCTTGTGAGGCGTTTTAAAAGAGTTTATTACACACTACCTTCTCAAAATTTTTTGTTTGCAGTTGCAGTGTTACTAATGTAATTGGACGATAATTTGTTATATCTAAATTATCTCCTGTTTTATGTAGTGGTCTAATTACAGAATTCAATCTACCTGGATAGATACTTAGTTGAAAAGAGAGGTTTATTATATGACTGAGTGGTCTCGATAGTTCTGTCGCACATATTTATATAATTTTTATATTTATATCGTCATAATCCGTAATATTCATGTTTTATCGGCTGTCTATGGTTATATAAATATCATTAGTATTTACATATATTTCGTGATATTTTATGTTTGAATTATATCTTGTCACAATCTAACGAAACATTAATTAAATGATTCTGCTGCTATATGTTTAAAGTATGTATATGTCCTTGAATTCGTATTAATTTTATACATATTCAGTCATTATATGCCTGAAAATTCAGGCATATAATTGCTTAGACTAAAATAATTTATTTATAATAAATAATTATTTATTTTATTCCACTTTATATAGGTACATTTTTTATTTATTATTTGTTTAGCTTTTGCAATACATTTTTATAAATCTTACTCTTCCTTTTATCCATAAAAGGAGAGTAAAAACTCAGATATAACTACCAATAGGGATCAGTGGAAGAAGATGACCTACTGCAGAGATACCAGCCAATCGAATTTTAAACAGAAGGCGCAGCCGTTGCAATCTCGGCTATGTTTTTTTATACTATAATAATTATAGCAAACAGGTAGCTTAAATTGCGTGTTCTATTTTACAGGAGGTCTAAAGGCGTGGTAGGCCCCGTACGGGACCAGGGTCTCTGTGGTGCGTGCTGGGCTTTCAGTACAGTTGGTACAGTGGAGGCCATGGCGGCTATCAAAAGTGGCAAATTGGATACTCTTAGTGTTCAGGTATTTTTTACTATCTTATGCCCACGGCTTCTTCCTCTAACAATAGTGGTCAGTCATTTTTTATTTTTATGATGACTTATTTACTAACGTATAGAAATGATTTATAGGAATGATTAGTTACCCTTTCACTCCATCTATATATTACTTTTTCACTCCATCGACTTTCATCTCCAATTTCTAGTAGATTATTTTTTGAGGTAACAGATATCCAATACCCATCCTAGTTATATTATGTCTTATGCGAAATTTCTTAAAGATCTTGTAGCCGTTTACTATTTAAAAGCAAACAGACTAACACTCTTTCGCGTTTATAATATTAGTGGATATCCATATATCCACAGCTGTATAGAGGAACTAAGGAACAAAACACCAGTGTAAAAAATCAATAACTCAAATTCGCTTCAATACCATACATATATAGTTAATTGTAAAAGGCACACTAGGCCAGAAGCATATATGTACTGTTGAATTGAGAACTTCGTTCTTTCTAAGTTGGTAACACCAGACGTACAATTGGCAGGAAGTGATCGACTGCGCTGGTCTTGGCAACAATGGTTGTGCTGGTGGCGACATTTGCTTACTACTCGATTGGCTACTATTGAGTAACACAACCGTTGTACTCGACAAGGAGTACCCTCTTCGGCTGTTCAATGGAGCATGTGCTTCAAACAAAAACGCCAGCGGAGTCCGGGTAGCAAATTTCACTTGTGACCAGTAAGTAAACACTAAACAAATAGTAGCTAGATTTTGTAGAAAGGCGTTTATGTGGTAGTAACTCTATCTCAGCTAATTCTACCGTCTAACAGTTTGTTTTGTAACTTATGTTTCGGTTGTGGGCAGTGAAATTACTAGATAAAAAGCATGATATCTTTGACCTCTTGAAATGCAACGGTTGAGTAGTATCACGGGCGTCACTTGATAACGTGATCTCTTTAATGCTCTTCATGTATATAGGCGACGATTACCGCTAACCTTTAGGTGGGCCGTCAGTTTACTTGTTCCAGTTACATAAAACATATATAAATTATATAGTAAGATAAATTATCAAAGATGAACACAAGTCGGTGGATGCCTCTAGTTTGTCATACACAAATTACTGTCGCCTTGCCAGGTTTGTGGGGGCAGAAGACAAGATTTTGCAGGCGTTGGCCACTCATGGGCCAGTGACCGTTGCTGTCAACGCGATCACCTGGCAAAATTACCTCGGAGGAGTAATACAATATCATTGCAGGTAATCTGAACCAATAATTAAAATTGAAGCTAGTTGTCGATGAAAGATACAACTGTTTTTTTTTTTTGCTATTTAATAGGTTTAGAGTTGATTAAGTTTAAAAAAAAGAGTAGAAAGACGAACTTCTTAGCATTCCATAGATTCACCATGCGAGCCGGGTCTATTGTGGGACAGAGAGGGCAACTCCGATCAATTCCCAGTGACCCGGATGTAAGTTTAAGGGGCCCCTTTGCCGACGTACGTCAACACTCAACTTCAACGCTTATATCTCTTCTTACCAACAGCATTTATTCAACAAAATTTGATAAAAGCCAACTAGTGCAGCTTTAGATACACGTTCTAGTATAGAACCCACTGCAAGTTTAGACAGGCCAAGATCATTTAAAAGATTATAGAGAGATTTCGCTGGTACACCTCTAGCTCCCACTTCGACCACATATAGATTAAAGACATACATTTTTCGGTAATTTGTTTATTAGTTCGTAATATTTATTTGTTTTTATTGCGTGGTCTTAGGTAGGAATTGGATTGAAATCGCGATATTGAGACCAAAGAGACAGAGAGTGTTTCCAAAATTTTTGTTCAAAACCTGGAAAATTGCCAGAAAACTGTATGTTAATTCAACCAATAGAAGAACCTGTACATGTACATGAAAAACGGGAATTAAAGAATAGTTTATTCACAGCGGATCCATGAAAGACCTCAACCATGCGGTGGAACTTGTCGGGTACGACTTGGCGGCTGAGGTTCCACACTACATAGCCAAGAATTCCTGGGGTCAAGATTTTGGGCTGGGTGGTTATGTGCACCTAGCTATAGGGGCCAACGTATGCGGCCTAGCCAACGAAGTGGCAACTGTTGATGTCAAATAGATTTCGCATCGTTTAGTTATTGTAGTAACGTGACCATTTTTGCGAACTTAACGGCAGACTAAAAACAGAAAGCTAATATGTTGTGCTTGACTTTTTTACATGTCTAGCGTTAATCTCTCGTGTTCTTGTTTTTTTTATCTACACTAACTATTGTCTCACTTAATAAAGTTTGTATCCATAAGAGAGATATTTTATCTCCGTAGAAATAGACCATAAGGTACAATACGATAAAACTATAGAAACCAATGTAGTTTATTATATAACCTTATCTAGCCATCTATTTATTATCAACCTTATTTAGTATATTATTATATTATCTAGTATAATGCGTCTATATAATTTAGCTTTTAGGCATATATAGTGTTGGATTACAATCCAGTTTTATACATAAATATACCAAATACCTATAAATTTTATATATAGGAATGGATATAATAAAAAAACTCGTCCTCTATTCAACTTGCTATGTTTGACAGGATACATGACTGATCTGCTAGATGTAAGTTTCATGTAACGACAATTACTGTAACAGTTTAGCGTGTAATGATCGTTTATATTGTAAGTACTGAAATTATTGGTTTGGTTTTTATTTTATTAGAATATATGAATTTTTCTATGTGGACACTACTTACTAGTCCATAATATACACGATCAATTACGATTACAAAATTCTGAAGTGTTATTTCCAAATTTAGTATCATTGATATCTTTGACACTGCAAAATTGTAACGTATTTCGCTGCAATATTTCTTTATTCTAAGTTTTAATTTATGCAGATATTTTTATGACGAAACACTAAGCGCTTTTTTTTTTTTTTAATAATACTTTAAATCACATATCGATTAAAAAATACGTGTATATTTCCTATTAACCACACGTGGTTAGATGTAATAATTATATAATACAGGGTATAAAAGCATTTTTATACTGCATAATCTATGTAATGACCATTTACGTAAACCTAAGATGATTGTTATGTGTTGGTTCAAGTCTATTGCTACGTCATCAATCAAATATGAAATATGCTAGATAATAGTATATGTTTAAGTAATATAAGACTGATTTTTGTAAATGTGTTCAAAAATGTTACTGTCAGGATGACTGGACCAAGAGAGATTTTGAATGTTCCAGCAACTCAACTCAAAAATACTAATATGTTGTGCCATTATAATAATATTTTTTATGTAATAAAGTATATGTACTTTTTTAGACATCTTTTATTCTTTTGGGAAGTAAAACCTACCTTCACATGACCATGACTACTATTTTTAACTAGATAAGGTTAATTATCATTAAGATATAGATAAGGCCGATTATTATTTTTATTTTTTATAATTACAACTCACGTAACACAGACTATTGTTTTTGTACAAGTTTTTTTTATACTACGATCAAGCATAGGGCCCATCTGATGGTAAATGGTTACCGTAGCCTATGGACGCCTAAAACACCAGGGGTATCACGTGCGCGTTGCCGATCATTTTTGTACAAGTACCCTATTATCAAACTTATTGTTTTCTTCAGATACCTCCAACCCAATTTCTATACTGCACGGTTCGTGGACTGTTGGTACTTTAGTTTTCCAGCGGTGGTTACCATAATATGATTTATTTAATACCATCAAACTATGGCCTGGTGTTTGCCTACACACATGTTTTGCTCCCTGAGCAATGTTCCACAGCTTACACAATTATAGGCTTATATTTTTTTAAAAGACAATGAACCAAAGTGCCTTGTTAATACAAATATATAAATCCATCCATCCATCTAGTCCCAAGCTAAGTAGGGCATTTTTGCTTTTATGTAAATAATATAGATAGAGTATTGTAAATTAAATACATACTGTATTTTAAAGACATGTAAAGTCCTGGAAGAATGGACTACTAACATAGTAGCTTTATAAAACCGACCCTTAATATTGTAAAGCACGGTGAAGGTTTCCAAGCAGTGCCTAAGCCTTTTAAAATTGTAACTTTAACTCGTTTTTATTTAATACTAGCTGACCCGTCGTACTTCGTAACGCCTAACAGTTGTGTGGGGTACACAATTAAAAGATCTTCGATTTTCAAAATATGTGGACTGTATTTCAATTTGTTTCTTATTCTATGGGTCGGCCGGCCGGAGTGGGGTTTTCTTGGTCGTTGCGCCGGCGGTGGTTCTTCGTCGGTGGCGTATGCGTAAGAGAGCGCGATCGAGAACCAACCCGCCTTTTACGGGCGCCCGAGCGCGTCCTTCCCCACCCCCGCCGAGCTGTGCGCGTCGGCCGTCCCACCCTCCCGACAATTCCTGCACATGTCGGTGACCGACGGGCCGGAACAGCGAATACGCACACATTTAAAATTAAATACAATAGTAACAATACAAAAAACTACAAAAAACCACGTGCGACTAAATGCCACATGTTCAGGCTACACTAAAGCTGTGATCCCTAAGAATTTACACAATGGGCGGACATAGAATTCACAGTATCTATGCCGCTACAAAGGGTATATGGTACAAACAATAGTCTAACCTAAACAATAGTCAAACACTGGAAAAATACAAATTTATACACAAATTTATTTACATATTTTCGATGCCGACTCGTGGTCCGCAACAGCCTCCCCCCGGCGCAGATCTTCGCAGCCCTTATCCCTAGGGAGGACCACCAGCCTTCGGGTCGGCCTTCGAAAAATTCCCTCGCGTCCGTCCGTCCGTCCGCGTTCACCGCAACGCCACTTGACCCATTTCCCCGCTTCGGCGGGGCGCTCCCGGCCCAGCTTCCATGCCCGTCGCCTGTATTCTTCTGCGAGCAGCAGCACCTGTGCCGGGGTCCTCCTCACTCGGTCATATGAGGAGAACCGCATTCTGTCCATTACGGGCTTTGCCTTCGCCCGGGCACGGGCTACTGTCTCTGCAGGGACGGGCTTGCTTTCCTTGGGTCGTTCTTTCTCTGGAGCGTACACAAGCGCCGGCCCGACGGATCTGTCGGCGGCGGTCCGTATTGTATATCTCGCGCGGGTCGCGTCGTTAGTTACGTCGTGGGCGGTCGGTACCCAGCGCCACTGTGTTGGTTCTGTATGTTCGGCGCTTTCTGCCATCCGGCGGGCCGCGTGTGGATTGTATCGAGCGGTGTCGTTCCTAGTCCAATGTAGCGTCTTCTTCGAGACCGTCCATAGGAAGACTTCGGCCGCGCGACGACGTCCTTTCAGTACGTCAGCGGCCAGTGGGGGTCCTACCAGGCTCGCCTGAAGCTCCATCCGGGGTATACTCTGCGCTTTCATGGGCGCTACCCTCGCTTTGGCTGCTACTAGGACTGCGTCAACGCTACGATCCCCGCGTTCCGTCCTCCAATACGCGGCTGTGGCATATGCCTGTTCGCTTGCGTCCGTGAATACGTGCAGTTGCGACCGTTGGCTGTCGTTCGTGCCATACCATCGCGGCAATCTTAGTTCCTCTATATACGCTAGGTCGTCTCTCCATTCCTGGAACGTCCGCGCTTCCTCGGCGGGCAGAGGGTCATCCCATTCGACCTTCTGCACCCACAGCGCCTGCAAGATGATTTTTGCCGTGATGGTGTAAGGGCTCAGCAGCCCGAGCGGGTCGAACAATGACATCACCGCTCCTAGGGCTTCCCTTTTCGTCGGTATCCGTGTGCCGTGCTTCACTTCTCGTGGGACGCGTGGCATGCCGGTGTTGAACGCCAGCTGGTCTTCGGCTGACATCCACAATAACCCCAATGTCTTTCCGTATGGATGTGCGTTGGCTCCCAGTTCCTTCGGCGTCCTCGCTCGCTGGTCCTCACTCACATTCTCTAGCAGGCTCGGTCGGTTTGTATTCCAACCCGCCAGCGTGAATCCTATCCCGCCATGAACCTCTGCTACCTCTCGTATGGCGCGGGCTGCTTCCTCTTCGGAGTCAAAGCTATCGACCCAGTCGTCCATGTAGTGGTTCCTTGTTATGGCGGTGTACGCTGACGGGTGCGACTCTCGGTGCTCTGCCGCGTTTCTGTCTCGAACGCTGTGTGCGATGAACGGTGAGCTCCTCGCCCCGAAAATCATTGAGGTCATTACGTATTTCTGCGGCGGGTTAATCCTGTCATCTCCTCGCCACAGAAACTGTTGTGCTGCTCTATCTTCTTCCCGTATCTTAATCTGCAGGAACATCTCTCGTATGTCCGCCGTGATAGCTACGGGCTTCTCGCGGAAACGGTATAACACACCGTTAAGCGACCGTAGCATATCTGGCCCATCCAGCAGTGCGTCGTTCAAGCAAATTCCCTTCGAACGGGCCGCGGCGTCGAATACGAGTCGCAGCTTTCCGGGTTTATTCGGATTCGTCACTCCGAAATGGGGAAGGTACCACGCGCGGTCGTTGTCGAACCGGTCGTCGGTTACTTTCTCGGCGTAACCCTTGTCCAACAACTTGTTTATCTCCGCGGTATACGCCAGCCGGAATTCCGTAGAGCGATCCATCCGCCGCTCTATTCCCCTCAGTCGGCTCGCTGCCATGTCGTAGCTGGGAGGTAGAATGACGTTATCTCTCTCCCACGGCAATCCTACGACGTATCGCCCATCCACTCTCGTCGCTGTGCAGTTGAATGTGGCGACGGCGCGCTCCTCCTTAGCGATGGGTAATCTCTTCGACGATATACCCAACGCGTCGATGTCGTAATGCGCTTTTATTATGCCCTCTATATGCCGCATGTCTGGCTCGGCGTTGCGCTGTGTCAACCGCACGTGGAGGACATGTTCCTCGTCTTCCACGACACTTCTGGGTACCGTTCCGTGGATGACCCATCCCAGTCGTGTCAGCGACGCTGCGGGTTGATTGTGCCTTCCTGTGAGCAGCTTCCGCGTAACAATCAGATGCCAGTTGTCTGACCCGATCAAGACCTTGGGTCTGGCATCTTCGTAGCACACTTGCTCGCAAGTGAGTTGTCGCAGGTGTCCGTACGCGAGTATTTCCGGGTTCACTCGCTGCGTTCCTAGGGTGAGATCCCGGATCGTACGCGCCCTCACCGAGTGTTCTTCGTCCGTATGGTGTCGCCCTCTGATGATGACATCAGCCACTCGGCTTGAGGCTTCGTGCCAGCTCGAGGCCGCTCCCTGAATTCTCAGAGATCGCGTCGGACCTTCGGCTCCGATCTGTTCTGCGATCTCCGCATCGATGAGTGTAACCGTCGAGCCTTCATCTAGCATCGCGTACGTCTCTACTTCGCGTCCCGTCTTGCCTTTCACGATGATGGGACACACCTTTAACAACACTTGGCTGTTCTCTGGCAAGCGTGCTGCGGCTGTAATCGCGGTGTCCTCTTGCCGCTTCGGCGGCTCTTCTGGGGGATGCAGCAGGGCGTGGTGTGGCTTACGACACTCTCTCACACCACATTTGCGTGCCTTACACTTGAACCTTCTGTGCGTGCTGTTCATGCATTGGAAGCACATCTTATTTGTTTTCGCCCACTCCCATCTGTCCGATAACGACATGTCGTTCAGCTTCTTACACTTCGGCGTTACGTGTGCGGCGCCGCAACAGAGACATTCGGTACTCTGTTCGCTCTTTTCTACGGCGGCGTATACGGCCGCGCCACGATCCGTCATCTGTCGCCGAGGTGCCGACATCGTTGCTTTCGGTATGGGTTGCCTAGTGGGTTGCTTTGGGGGCTGCTTCGTGGGTAGCGCGCTCGTTCGTCTCGTTGGTGATGCTATTCGCAGATGTCGGGTCATGAGATCGGCTTCGCTCATTAAAAACTCTGCCATCTTGATGATCGTAGGTCTAGTGTCCTCCTTGTTTTTTTCAGCGTAGTGACACCAGTGGACCTGTAAGTGAGGGGTCAGCTTCTCTGACACTTCACTCTCAAGCGCGGGATTATGTAGGAATCTCGCCCCCTGTCGATATCCGCGACGATGGTGGTGATGTTCTGTAGTTTAATGGCGAAGTCAATCACCTCTGTTGTCGATGTTCCTATTACCGGCATCCTTCTCAGATCTTTGAGGGCGCGGTCGATGATGGCCTCTGTCCGGCCGTACCGCTGCTCCAACGTCCTCATGATCTGCGACGGTTCTGTAGCGGATACGAGTAACGCTGCTACTGTCTCTCTCGCTTTTCCACGTAAGCAGGCCCTCAGCCTGGCCAGGTTCTCCGCTGGTGTGATCCTGTACGTTTTTGTAGACTGGTCTACGGCCGCCTTAAACGCTAGCCATTCACTTGCTTCGCCGCTGAAGGTCGGGAGATCTTGGGCTTGCCTCGGCGCTACCCTATCCGCTCGTTCGTCCACAGCTCGTTCAATAGCTTTGGCCAGCCGGGTGAATCCTTCTTGCATCCCGGCTTCAGGAGCGGGGGACCTCCGTCTTTGCTTCGGCGTCCTCGGCGATGAAGCTTGCCTTTCTGTTGGCTCTTTCTGCGTAGGCGGTGGGGAATTAATTCTCTGCTCTCCCCGTACTTCGGTACGTTGAAACCAATCCGTTATACGTTGCAGGCCGGCACCTTCCTCGGAGCACACGCTATCTCTATCGGTCTCTTCATGTACCGCGGCGACATCGGCTGCCAACTTCTTTCTAATTAAATCAGCCTGTAATTTCGCCATCTGTAGCGCTGCCTCGTACTCCAGCCTCTTTAATTTAGCTATACCGCTAGCGGTAGAGCGGCGCGATCGCACCGACGCGGCCCGGGCCGGACGTACATCTGTCGTCGGCGGCTGCGACGGTGGCGCCGGTGCGGAGTCCGAGGTAAACGCGGCGCGGGCGGCTTGTGCCTGTGGCGCGCTCGACGGCGCGGCGGACGCGGACATCTGCGTGGTTTCTGAAGGGGACGCTTCTGTCTGTTCATTTTCCCGCGTGGTCTTTTTCTCTGCTCCCGGGGCTTGGCTTCTCGTAGTCGGCATCGTGTTCTGGCACTTGCAAGCCCCTAACCTACCGGTCCCTACCTACCTAACCGTCCCTAACAATCCCTCAGGATAACACCCGAGGGGATGGACTATGGGGATAGGAGGGTAGGAATTACCCCGCAGTGGTGCGTATGTACAGACGGGGCGCTCAGGGCCGGTTCGGACTTTCCGACCCCTTTGGCAGTGCCTACAGTCCGGCCCCCGCTATACGATACACACGTACAGGCGTAATAGTGCTATTCGGTTGCGCCACGGTAACAAGCAACAACCGGCAGTGACACACCACTCACTGCACCGCTCAATGGCGTTAACCCACACTCCGACCGTTTGACACCGTTAGGTGGTAAGAGATGTGAGCCGCGGACACACCGCTTAGACGTTATCTATCCTATATGGCGTAGACGTTATTTATCCTATCCTCGCTGCACCCTCAAGTTTTCACCTTACGACGGCAGCTAAATTCGGTAAGCTGCTAGCGTCGCACCGTTGGGTGATCTTCCTCGGCGAGGTACGTCGCACCGTTGGGTGATCTTCCGCGGCGATTCGTCGCACCGTTGGGTGATCTTCCACGGCGATTCGTCGCACCGTTGGGTGATCTTCGGTCTTGATATCCGGCTCGAAGGACCACAAAATTGTGGGGTACACAATTAAAAGATCTTCGATTTTCAAAATATGTGGACTGTATTTCAATTTGTTTCTTATTCTATGGGTCGGCCGGCCGGAGTGGGGTTTTCTTGGTCGTTGCGCCGGCGGTGGTTCTTCGTCGGTGGCGTATGCGTAAGAGAGCGCGATCGAGAACCAACCCGCCTTTTACGGGCGCCCGAGCGCGTCCTTCCCCACCCCCGCCGAGCTGTGCGCGTCGGCCGTCCCACCCTCCCGACAATTCCTGCACATGTCGGTGACCGACGGGCCGGAACAGCGAATACGCACACATTTAAAATTAAATACAATAGTAACAATACAAAAAACTACAAAAAACCACGTGCGACTAAATGCCACATGTTCAGGCTACACTAAAGCTGTGATCCCTAAGAATTTACACAATGGGCGGACATAGAATTCACAGTATCTATGCCGCTACAAAGGGTATATGGTACAAACAATAGTCTAACCTAAACAATAGTCAAACACTGGAAAAATACAAATTTATACACAAATTTATTTACATATTTTCGATGCCGACTCGTGGTCCGCAACAAGTTGAGTCTCTAATTTTTTAGTTTATTTAATACTTATTCTGTTATTCAGGACGCCGGGTCAGCTAGTAAGATAAAAGAAAGTTAATAAGTCAATAATTACATTATGTCAAAAAATAAAAATTATAAAGCAACTAAAATTTTTTTTAATATCATTCTAATCCGCCAACTTTCATTTATAGGGATTGGCCTTCCGCCACTCACGCTTTCCTAAGAGATGACAGCATTCGGCGTCCTTTGCAGGCTCTTTACACAGGGCCTCACAAATTTTTCTGTAAGCGTAACAAACCGTCACTCTTGAAGTTCAGGGTAAAAAAATGGAGGTCATCTTGGATCGTGTGAAGCCTGCTCATATCATCCTCACTTTCATCTTCCATTCCTTCGACTTCATCTTGTCCGCCAATCACAACTTATCCTCATTCGCCACCAGTATTTTCCTCACAAACACCCTCGCCTTCCTCATCAACCTGTTTCAACCGCAAAACCAATGGTTACCAGGTCAGGACGGAGAGTTCGTTTTAGGGATGTTTTAGATCTGTAGTTTATTTTTTTTATTGTTTTATTATTTTGTTGTCTTTTTTCGTTTACCTTCAGCTTATTCTCTCCGCGGGGGCACCCCCCCCCCCCCCCAAATTAATTAGTTTACGTAAATTATTTGATATCATATAATATTATCAAATGATTAGATTTGTAATTTACACTGCGAGGATGTTACTATTTATTATATATAAAACATTGTCAGCCTAATTATAACTATACTTACATACTTTTACGGAATTATTAATATAGATTATAATTATATAATTAATTCAACTTTATCAGTTTTTACTCACTTCAACATTATATTTCTAAGCGTACGCACTAAATTCAAAATGAATAATACTTTAATGATTTTAACATTGCTAATTGTTATCTTATTGAAAGATCCTATAAAATTTTTAATAATATATTTTGCTCATACGCAAAATTTTGGAGGCAGCATTTTGAATTTAAATATTCACCGAGAATACATGAATTTTAAGGTAAGTGGTAACTCTTGTCTATCTGGGGGCGTATTATGAACTCTTTAAAATCCAGTCAGTTTCCAGGCAGTTCAGTTTACGGCCTTAAACTGACTGGGAATAAGAGTTCATAATACGCCCGCTGGAGATCTTTAGATTGTATTCTTATTTTCATACTAGCTGACCGCGACTGACTGATCCGCGTGGAATTATCTTTATTTTTCTAAAATAAAAGTAGCCTAAGTTAATCCTTATTACATCAGCTACCTGCCAAAAAAAATCCCCTTCAAAATCGGTCCAGCCATTTCAGAGATTAGCAGGAACAAACAGACAGACAGAAATTGTAAAAAACAATAATTTTGTGTATTTATCGTATTTATATTCATATGCATGTAGTAAAAACGTTTATTTAAATATTACAAACAGACACTCCAATTGTATTTATATGTATGGATGTGTAGTTTGTATAGGTCCCAAAAATAAAATGTGATCATTTTGCTATTGCAGCCGTTTGTCCGTCTATTTGCTGTCTATGGATTTTAAAATTGGAATTGTTTTAGTTATTTTTTATTATAGCCTTATTACAATCATAATTAAAATAATCTATACTAGATTAATAATGTTAAATTAATGGGGCTACGATTACGGCCAACAGCATAAGAATAGTTAGAAAACAATGCATAAATAATATAAAATAAAAACTTCTGGCGGTCTTCATATTTAGCCTATAAGTATCTGAAATTTCATATCCATAACATCTTATGGATATGAAATTTCAGATACATATAGATTTCGGATATAGGAATGATTATTATACCGGATACGGATGCGGATATGAAATTATTTCGGATCATCCGTTAGTTTCGGACAATTTCGGTTAGGGATATTATATTTTTAAGGAATTTTAAAAGTAAAGTACAAATAGCTAGTAAAATGGCTACATAACGTGTCTCAATTAGGCTCCGCCTCTAATCGGTTATCTCGCGATGTGAGACTTTTATGCCAGAGGTAAAATTTAGCCAAAAGCTGGTACGTAAGTCTCTTTTCTCCCTTGACATCCACAAGTCGAATGGGCCTGACGGTATTCCTGCTATTGTGCTCAGGACGTGTGCACCTGAGTTGGCTCCGGTACTAACGCGTCTTTTCCGCTACTGCTACTCTACAGGTGTAGTCCCGAAACTTTGGAAGACGGCTTTGGTTCATCCGATCCCTAGCCATAGCCATCACCTCCTTATTCTCAAAGACATTGGAGTCGATTGTCAACCGTCAACTCCTACGATACCTAGAAGTGAACCAGTTGATTTCTGATCGTCAGTATGGCTTTCGCCAGGGTCGCTCAGCTGGTAATCTTCTAGTGTATTTGACACATCGATGGGCACAGGCTATTGAGAGTAAGGGGGAGGCCCTATCTGTTAGTCTGGATATTGCGAAGGCCTTTGATCGGGTTTGGCACAAAGCTCTTCTTTCAAAGCTACCATCCTTCGGGTTGCCTGCGAAGTTATGCAAATGGGTCGCCAGCTTTCTCGCAGATCGGAGCATCAAGATCGTTGTCGATGGTGCTTGCTCCGACCCACACTCTGTGAATGCTGGTGTTCCACAAGGCTGTGTGCTGTCTCCGACTCTGTTCCTTCTGCATATCAATGACATGTTACAAATCAACAACATTCATTGCTATGCGGATGACAGTACCGGAGATGCCTTGTACAGCGGCCATGCTAATATGTCGCAGGCAAAAGTTATAGAGTACCGGAACAAACTTGTGTCCGAAATCGAAACTTCACTCCATCAAGTTTCGGTTTGGGGTCAGGAAAATTGTGTTCAATTCAACCCCAAGAAGACACAAGTTTGCGCGTTTACCGCTAAAAAGAATCCATTTATCGTATCTCCTCAGTTTCAAGACACTCTCCTCGATGTGAAGCCAAATCTCGAGGTCCTTGGCGTTGATATATCCAGTGACGTTCAGTTTTGCGGTCATTTGGAGGACAAGGCTAAAATAGACTCAAAAAGCTTGGTGTGCTCAGTAGAGTGAGACGGTATTTCACGGCGGCCCATCGCTTGCAATTATACAAGGCGCAGATCCGGCCGCACATGGAATAGTGTTCTCACCTCTGGGCGGGAGCACCACAATATCAACTACTTCCATTTGACCGCATTCAGAACCGAGCAGCCAGAATCATTGGTAATCAACGTCTATGTGACAGACTCGACCCATTGGCTTTGCGGCGTAATATTGCATCTCTGTGCATTTTCTACCGCATATATCACGGGGAGAGTTCTGAGGAATTGTTCGGATTAATACCAGCTGCTGAGTTTCACCACCGTAACACCCGCCAGAAACTGAAATACCATCCTGATCATCTGGATGAATGGCGGTCTTCCACCGTGCGGTTTTCTAGAAACTTTTTGCCTCGCACAACCACATTATGGAACAGCAATGGTATTTCCGAACCGATACGATATTGAAACCTTCAAGAAAAGAGCTTATTCCTTTTTAAAAGGCCGACAACGTACTTGCAATTCCCCTGGTGTTGCGGGTGCTCATGGGCGGCGGTAATCACTTACCATCAGGTGAGCCGCATGCTCGTTTGTCCCCTGTGTTATAAAAAAAAAAACACCCTCCTTGATATGAGGCCAAATCTTGAGATTCTTAGCGTTGATATATCCAGTGACATAAAGTTTTCCTATTATTTGGAGGACAAGGGTAAATAAGCTCTAAAAAGTTAGGTGTGCTCAGTAGAGTCAGACGGTGTTTCACGGCGGCCCACCGCTTGCATTTATACAAGGCACAAATCATGGAAATGGAAAGTGTTCTTTGGGCGGGAGCACTACAAGACCAGCTACTTCCGCTTGACCACATTCAGAACCAAGCAGCCGGAATAATTGGTAATCAACGTCTTTGTGACAGACTCGACCCATTGGCTCTGCGGCGAGATATTGCATCTCTGTGCATTTTCTACCGCATATATCACGGGGGACGAGTAGTGTTCTGAGGAATTGTTCAGATTAATACCAGATTCTGATAAATACTCCTTCAATTGCTTTTGGTAAGAACTTTCCCCTTCCCTTCTTTTCTTTATCAGAAAGAAGGCTTTTGTACCAAAAATGCGTAAATGATTTGCAGACGGTACTCGCCCCATCCATTTCATAAAGGATGTCTCTCTTGTTGCAAGACTTTAGAAGGACTTCTATTTCTAAGATGTTCACTGTGAAAATAACTTCTGTCCATAAAGAGTTCGGAACTTTTGAGGCTATTATCATCGGGCTTTGTTAAGTAGGGATGTATTTTTCCTTTCACTTACTCCATTTCGTTGTGTTTTATACGGTGTCGCTAGTCGTCTTACGATGCCATTATCTTTTATGAAATGTTCAAATTCTTTTCCACAATATTCTGTTCCGTTAGCGTTTGTAACGCTTTGATCTTTTTCAAATGATCCAAAAAATTTTTACTTTGTTTTTATATTCTTTAAATATTTAGTACTTCATTCTTTTGTTTTAAGAAATATACACAGCAAGAAATATTCATTTAGTGCATATGAAAACTCAGATTCAGAAGATCTATAAATAAAAATACTCAAATAAGGTGAAGTTAGGAAACAAGTTAATAAATAGGTCAGAGAGATCCTATAGAGCATTTTACAGTAGAAACAAATGAAATGTAAAAACTGTAACAAAAAGGGCCATTCTATAGAAAGAGTGATGATCTTCTCATAAAAGGGCTACCAGGACCACTACTAACGCTACTGAGAAGTTGTCTGGGCATAAGAATCTAATAAGTGTCGTGAGGAGTGACGAGGAGTTTGTTGGTGGCAGTGCACAACACTATTCACTCGGATGGCTGTTTTAATAAGAAAAAAATATGTCTTGTCAATATTATATTATATTACATTGTATATTAGGCACTTAATATACATCAAATAAATTATTTAACAAAACAAGTACTTATTCCATTCATGAAATATATGTGAGATTAAATCATTAATCACCATATATATATAATTGGAATGGCAAACAAGTTGAGAGCCCACCTGATGGTAGTAGTATAGAGCAGCATTACCGATTACATGATTTCGCTTATGCGTTGCCGTCCGGCACATACGTTCGGCGGGCTAAGATGTAATGCCTCTTACCTGTAATTTAAATGCCGTAGCTCAAACGTTTAACCAAGCGTGTTGGTAGCTGAAATAAGTTTAAAGAGGATACACAGTCGATTTTTTTATAGTCTACCTAGGTAAACTAATATAAAAAAGTATAAAGTTTCATATTATACGATAGATATTCATATGATGATACACACAATAATCCTTTTTTTTATTGCAGGCGGCAAAGAATGATATTACTGAATTAAACTATGCAGAAAACCAATTCGATATGTTCGGCTATGCAAAATTCTTACCTATGTCTGGTAGTGATTTTGAAAACGCTATGCTGATGAACAATGTGAGATCGTGCCCAAGAACTAGAGCCAACCAACAATTTTTCACATACCCTAATGACATACCACAATTAGTAGATTGGTAACTATTCATTTTATCGCTATAATATTTATTTTTACTGTATTTTGGTAACTATTTAAAATTAATTGCTATGCATTAGTCTGAACTCTAAAATAGCCTGACCGCTAGTGCTGTTATTATCGCGAATGGAGCGGTTGGCATACCTCAAATTATCATTACAAAAACTTATCCTAAGAATTGTCTCATGCTTCATATAAGATCTAAATAGACTAAGTTTTTTATAGTCAAATAATAGGGTAAACACTCTAGGATTCTAAAGCTTATTAATAGTAGAACTCAATTTATGGGTAATTCTTTTTCATTTCGTGCGGCTCAGCTTTGGAATTCACTCCCTTTACACATTCAAGAAAGTTCTTCTATAGGCTCTTTCAAGAAAAAGTTAAAATCGCACTACCTCTCTACCATCACGTGATTAGTTTCATCGCTGTACTGACATTTGTAGAATCGTATGTATTAATTTTTATTCATGTATATAAATATATACAATATAAGTTTAATAATTTCAACTTTGGTTATTATTAACTATTCTTTTATCAAATCTTAGATTACTTTTAACCGTCAATCAAATTAACTGCCTTCTACACTTATTAACCCACATTTAACATATTCTGTGAAAAATTCCTCCTAATTCCTCCAGAAGTTAGTAAATGATCTCAAGCTGAGCAGAGTTTATATCTTATGGATACTGGACGACTGACGTACTTACAGATTTATTTTTTCTAAATACTTATGGAATATACATAGATAAGACCCAAACCAATACAAATAATCATATTCATGAATACAAATGTTTGCACTGTGTTAGGAATCAAACGGGGGACCATCGGAAATAAATAGGTATGTTAGTCTACTGAGGCTGTCGCACACAATATATATATTTATGTCAGATATTCAGTATCCATAACAGTAACCCTGATTAGTTTGAGACTAGATGGGGCTGTATTTATTATCTTAAGTTTTTATTATTTCAGGAGCCAAGAAGGAGTGGTCGCTCCAGTACTGGATCAAAAGATGTGTAAGGCTTCCTGGTCCATCAGTGTCGTGGGGGTTATAGAAAGCAAGATCGCTATTGCGGACCTAAAAAATGGAATTAGCTCACCATTTATGAGACTTAGTATTCAAGTATGTATATAATAATAATAATTTATTGCAATCTCAGGTGTTGTGTTATATAGTTAAGTAGTACACAACAGTGTGAATATTATACATTTAAACAGTCAAATATAATTGTGCCTGAACTAGTTTTGAATGATACTGTATCTCGATATCATATACCATCCCAGGGTGCATTATTTTTCATTTATTAACATTTGTATTACATAAACAAAAAAAAAACATTAGCTAAAATAGGTAAAAAAATGATTATATGCTGAATACCACGCAATCCAATTTTTTATGGTAGGTATTTACGGCATAAAGTTCTCTGTTTCGCCAGAAGTTAACTTTTGTAGCCAGGTTTTGATACACTTTTTAAATGAAATGTTGGTCATAGAGTGTATATTAATAATTATTTTATTTATTTTGTTGTATTGGAGGTTACCATGGTAGCAAAAGAATATTTCTATGAATGAGCTCTTACATTATTAAATACTACACATGTGTAATGGGACGGAGAGTGGTAACTTTTATTACAGCTCTAGCCGCCCTTTCTAGAGCAATAATTGCTGTCTAGTACCACCCCATCTGGTGATGCTTGTTATTATTTATATAAAATTCTTCAATTAATTCAATTCAACAAATTCAATTCTTAGGAAATTCCTTTTCATTTCGCGCTGCTCGGTTATGGAACAAACTACCAGTACCTACAGATACAGGAAAGTCCATCAATTGGTTGTTTTAAGAAAAGGTTAAAATCGCACTATTTATCGACCTTAGTATGATTAGTTTCGTCATGTATTTTATTATTTGTATTTTGTGTAATGTATGTAGATATCTATAGTAATTGTATATGTATTTGTATATATGTATGTATATATAATATAACTTTTATTAATGTTTATTTTATTTGTTATTGTATATTTTATTATAATTATAATATAATTAGAACATTATTTAATTTTTATTTTTCTCAACTTTTGGACATTTCAACATAATAGTGTTAATTGCACAGGTGTTACCTACTCACTACTAGCTATGCCACATTGTTGGGTTGACTGGTAGAGATCTCTCTTAGAGATTAGTCCACCTTTGCTCACTCTGTATATGTTTAAGTTTAGAACTGTATTTAAAAGTGCAATAAAGAATATATAAAAGATAGCCTATGTCCGTCTTACTACTATAATCTATCCTTAAATTTCTTCAAAATCCCTTCAGCCGTTTAGTTATGAAAATGTAACAAAACAAATATACACACTTTTTAAATAATAGGTAAATTTTAAGTAGTCACGGAAGATGCTGTAGCCTACTTCCTTTGTTTAGGAACTTATTGACTGCACGATGGAAAATAACGGGTGCAGCGGTGGTAAACCTGCCACAGCCATTGATTTCTTCAAGACCGCAAACCTGCCCATCGTTACTGAAGAACAGTATCCCTTAACGCTTGTGGACCAAGAATGTAAAATACCAAAACATAATACGGGTGTATTTATCAAGAAAAATAACAAATTATGGTAAGCGAAATTTATATTAATAACACATGGATGCTCTCATCCATAAAACACACTTTAAGGGGGCCATGTATGTAAGAGGACATCACTAACATGATTACGGATAGTGTGACAGCACTATGATAAAAAAGTTAAAGTCGCTAACAACAAGTTGGTTGATTGTTGTATTGGCTGCTAAATATAATAATAATTTCCTTCTTCTTTCCCTCGCTGCTGAGGATCGCGACTCTACATTATCTTGTCGACCAGCTGTCGCCATCGGTTGCGCTCAGACGTCTGGTGAAGTGCAGCACTGACAGTAATGTTTAGCTGACGGGATACCTAGTCTGACCATCGAATGGGACTTCTGCCTCTAGGTCTTTTACCCTCTATCTTCCCTGTTACCATTAGTCTCTCCATATTGTCCACACCCCTCCGCGCAACGTGTCCGAAGTATCGCGCAATGCGTTGCAAACAAGTAGAAGACAGACGCTGTGAATCTTCCAATTTGAGCTCTATTAGTACAGAGACGTTTGTACGGCGGGCTGTCCATGCTATCCTCAAGCGTCGACACCAGCACCATAATAAATTTTCTAAAATACTTTAAATAGTATTTATTGAATAAGACAATCATAACGAGGCGATCGATGGGTGGACATTGTGTGACATGACGGTGGCAGCAGACCGAAATTTTGTGACGTCATATTTCAAAGACATATTAGACTTTGAAATATGACGTCACAAAATCTAGGTTTTTTTATTATTAGAACCAGAAATTTGAACTAGGAATGAATGTAATATATGTATACATTATTATAATTATTACATTCATTCATAATTCAAATTTCTGATTTAAAATATTTAACAAAATTATACAGCCTCAGCGACAGCCGAGACAGAGACAGCCTCGGTGGTCTAGTGGTTTAGCACACCGCTTTACTATCCGATGGCCGTGGGTACGATTCCTCGCACGGTACAAACATTTGTAGTATGACGGTCTGGGTGTTATTATGTATAATATGTATTTATTTAAAAAAAAATGTATCCATGTATTTATATCAGTTGTCTAGTACCCATAACACAAGCTCTGCTTAGCTTGGGACTAGATGGCGCTGTGTGAATTGGCCTGAGATATTATTATATTATTATTATTATTATGCATAATGTGGCCAACTGTCTATAATAGTCCATATTTAGTTAAGTATTTGTTAAAATGGGCCGAACATAAAATGTGTGAGATGCATTTCATTTAAATAATTAATTTACTTGTCTATGATATCAATACTATACCTATACACTTTAAAAACATTAAATACACACATTTTTTTTATTTTTTTGTTTTTCAGCAATGTTAAAGAAGAAGAATTGCTGCGTCTGATCGCACGTGGTCCGGTAGTAGCACTAGTGAATGCAAAAAGTTGGCAACATTATATTCGTGGTGTGATAAAACGCGCATGTCTGTACGTACCTACTTTTTTTTATGGATGATAATGGAATGGTGCAACCGCCTGCGGTAATGGTTTACGCTGGCGGGGCACCAGTGGAGGATGATAAGACGAGCATGAGGTCAGGTCAGTTAGCCCATCGTGACAAATTCACCAGTAATTGAACACGATGGTTTCCAGGTACCATGTCAGGTTGACTGACACCATTTTTTATTTATTTTGGGGAATAGTGACACCTATTTGTTAAATCCTAATTTCTTATTTTAGACGATTAGTTTAAAGTTTTCAAGGAAATATCCAAAACGTATTTAAAAAAATTATTTAGGTACACTAGTATTACATTTCCATTACTGTCTGTAAATTAAACAACAGAAAAATATATTTTTGTGACTTCCATACACATAATAATTTTTCCTTCTTATTTGTTTTATAAAAGTAGCAGTGAAACATGCGTCATTAAAAAAATCTGTTTTGTTATAACAACTTTAAATTTATTAATTTGTATAACCTATATCTACTTTATTAATTTGTTAATGCTTTTTAAATGAATTTGCATTATTTTTGAGTAATCCATAAAAATCGGTTATTAATGTTAATTTCCGATAGCGCCACAACACTATTGAAGAATATTATAAACATACAGTATAACATAGGTAGTATCATATTTTTCTCCGAGATGAAAGTTGTCTGTTCATGGTATATAGGCGATGGTTGCCACTTACCATCCATCGGGTAGGTACCAACTTGTTTGCTATTGAAGTTATACATATAACTTATTTCTTTTACAGAACAACTGATAAGGAACCCAACCACGTAATCCTCATTGTTGGATATGATTTAAGCGATGAAATACCTTATTACATCGTCAGAAACTCTTGGGGTGAAAATTTTGGGGACAACGGTTATGTCAAGGTCGCGATTGGTGATAATGTCTGTGGAATTGCTAATGAAATCTTTTACATAGATGTAGTAGGCCCCTAATGTATAATCACAATATGTTTTAGATCTCTCTCGAGAGATTAAGGTCTGGGTTACATTTATATACACACAATCACACATACACCACAGCTAACATAATGAAACATTTATTCATCACTATTCAACAATTGTCACAAATTTGGTGTAATTTTTAATAACAATTTTGGTAAATGTAAATTTTTACAATATACCTACCTACATCTGTCATAATTACCTACCTACATCTGTCAATTTAGTCTCCGAGATTAAAAAACAGTCTATAGATTACATTTGTATGTACCTATAATTGTATATTTTTTATTTTATTTTGCATCATCAACAATTGTCACAAATTTGTTGTTAAAAATTACACCAACAATTTTATACCAATTATTATATACTATACCCTATATTATACTAACTACAAGTAAATACTACTACTAATAAAATTGATCTCACATCGTTTATAATAGAGAATAAATAAAAAGATACATTTCTCAGGTATAGTATACCTATATCTAATTATTGGTATAATATTGTTGGTGTAATTTTTTTATTTAAACAGCTTAGACACGGCACTAATATCAGGAATAATGTTGTAGCAGTGGTTAGAAATACCAGAAGTGTATTTTATGTAAATAAAATGTATTTAAGTATTTTATCCGTTGTCTAGTAGGTAGTACAATTTCTGCTAGCCTTGGAACTACGATAGATAGCGCTGTGTGAATTGTCTTAACTTATTATATTATTACCTATATGATATTATTAAAAAATGTCGAAGATGTTTGAGGTTTAGAACTCACGTGTCAGTATAAAACAAGTTAAAAAGTCGATGAAGGGCTTTGTGTGGCGGTACGGGAGTACGCGGTATGGGAGGGTTCCCATAAATTAATCGGGAGGAGGTATAGACAGATTAGATAGATACATTATCTGCTACAATATTGTTATATTTTCAGTTCTTATAATAATTTCAAATTGTAAATTCACTGCCTACACTAAATATATTTCCTTTATTTGGTCAATTTCATTATACCACGCTGACGAAGTCGCGGACACAGCTAATATACATATAAGGATGGCCTTTAAGTCGAAACAAAGCCATGAAAACACAACTATTATATATAAATAAAATAAATAAAATAATTATTTGCCTAAGTTTAATATTTAGAACAAGCGAATATGGCAATAATGTATCCGACTCTTATTATAAATTATCTTGTATTTATTAATAAATAAATTTAATTAATGTATAAGAAGAATTAATTAGTAAATTTATGTTATAATAATTTCATCTTCCTGTCCTTATCGCAATGATGATTGTTACTCATATTACTTAAGGTTTTGGCTTTTAGTTGTACAATCGGTCAGCATCCTGACATCAAACCTCTAGGAATAATAAAAAAATATGATCATTATTAGCACTTTGATAATTAAGGTAAATCACGTTATTTAAAAAAAAAACAATAAGTAGTTTATGTTACTTAAGTAAAAACATATCACATTATTAATTAAAATATTACAAGGATCAAAATGGTTCATACTAAATTCATACCGATTGCGCTACACGTTTATTTGCGTCTGTGTGCGTGTATTACACAACATGGGTAAATCCATGCGATTAAACCTGAAGTTGAACGACATCATTTTGTAATAGTCCTTTTAACGCATTAGTGGGCTCGAAAGCAAGGCATTCAATACATAGTTACATCTCCCTCTTACATTTCTACCTATCCACAATTCCGGATTAACAAAACAATTGTATTATTAAATACTTAAGTCTTTACACGTCTTATGGTTCGTAACTTTAATATTTTTATTTACTTACATGTAAAAACATGTTAGACAATTGTTTCGATTTAATTTTAATGTCATGATATGATATGGGGATGGAATGGAATATTTTAATAAAAGACCAAAGGAAAAGGGGACATGTGGTCCAGAAATATGCAATGTGAACCCCCTCGTATGGTTCCAAAACCACAACCATAGTCGTAAGTAGCACTTAGATTGCGTTCAGGACACATTCCATAAAACAAATTTGGACAGAAATGAGTACCTAGACTCCACCATTTGTCAACTTGTGGTGGTATCGATGATGTTCGATATTTGTTGATGAAATGCGTTAAGAAAGAGACTGAAAGACAAAACTTACAATAAAATTCATTTCAGATATAATGTAAATATGTAATTATACAGAAAACCGAAGAGTATAATCAACCTCTGTGTCTAGCCTTTGTTGACTATGAGAAGGCCTTTGACTCTATCGAGACCTGGTCTGTTCTGGAGTCTCTGCAGCGATGCCAGTCGACTGGCGATACATCGAAGTGCTGAGATGTCTCTATAACGCTGCAACAATGACCGTCCAAGTACAAAACCAGCAGACTAAGCATATCCACCTGAAACGTGGTGTAAGACAGGGGGATGTTATATCCCCGAAGTTGTTTACAACTGCGTTGGAGGATATGTTTAGAATGCTGGACTGGAAAAATTACGGCATTAGAGTCACGTGGGGCAAGTGTGCGCACTTAAGGTTTGAAGTATCATATAATAAAATATTTGAAGTTAACTGGAACAAAACAAGGTTTATTATATAAAATATTTAATAATCAACAACTTAAACGCAAAATAAATAATTATCATTTACACAAATTCTTTGGAAATCAACAAAATCAAAACTGTTTAAATGCGCACACTTACCCAAGTATAGGGGTAAGTGTGCGCAGTAGTGCGGGTAAGTGTACGCAACATGTAACATACAGTAAATAGAGTCAGACTCATATGATAAACCAGAAAATAGACATCCTCAACCTAATAATACATCAGTTCAAATAATTCCTTTTTAAAGTTATTGCATTGTTCATGCCACCAGCTCTTACAGATGCTGTATTGGATCCAGTCTTCATTCGGTGGAAATATGTATTTTTCTCCACACAGTGGGCAAAATAATTCCTGCTCATCATTTTATTTATTTTCAGATCAAGTCGTATCTTCTTTTTTGGCAATTTATTCTTCCTCTTGTTTTTTGTTTTTCCAATTCTACTTTATAAGGACTTACAGTATCAATGATTGACTTTTTGCCTTTCTTTCGCCGATTTTGAATCACAGTCATTCATCCAAGAAATGACTAAGGCCAACTTCGGTATTTCTTGGATGGATGACAGTCGTACATATTCATTCCTAGACGAAGGTACACTCATTATTGCGGGTGCCACACTGTCGTTTGCTACCAACCTCCGAAATTAATCTTTTAACAGCTTCTAGCTGTTCCTCTGTGACAACACTTCTATCCGGCATTTCTTTTATAATCGAGGCATTTTTTATGTATAATTAAACTCTGAAATAACAAATTGTATCATAAATACAAAGCCAAAGCGGAGCGGGGTAAGTATTCGCATGCGCACACTTACCCGACATTCGTATGCGCACACTTACCCCAAACCATCAAAATAAAATTTAACCAGAACTGAGCAATATTACGTAATCGTCATCACCAAAAGATTAAACACGGTTTATATTACATAAAATGTACTGTTCGATGGTATAAAGCATAATTTCAAAATATAAATATATTACAAAGGAATGAGTCTGTCATTTAAGATAAAAATCGCAATAATTCAAGCAAAAAACAATACTCACTTACGGAAACAAAATGGTTCACCGGCGGACAGTGAAAAAGTTGCACTAAGTATAGCCTTTTGTGCGCTAATGAGGAGGGGTGTTATCAGTTCGTACCTATAAACCGTTTTTGAAATACTTCGAGTGCGTACACTTGCCCCACGTGACTCTAATGTTAACGGCGAGAATATCTCTCACTTACGATTTGCTGACGACATTGTCATCATGGCTGAATCGCTGCAGGACTTACAGCAGATGCTGAATGGCCTGGCTGAGTCGTCTCAACGCATCGGTCTTCGGATGAATTTGGACAAAACCAAGATCATGTTCAATGATCGCATTCGTCCGGAACCGGTTGCCATTAATGGAGTTCCTCTCGTAGTTGTTCAGGAGTATATTTATCTAGGGCAAACGCTCCAATTAGTTAAAAACAACTTTGAGAGGGAGGCCAAGAGGCGAATACAGCTAGGCTGGGCGGCTTTTGGGAAACTTCGTCAAGTCTTCTCGTCGTCGCTACCACAAAGCCTTAAGACCAAGGTTTATAACCAGTGCGTCCTACCCGCTATGACATACGGTGCCGAAACGTGGACACTGACGATACGACTGGTCCACCAACTCAAAGTCGCTCAACGAGCTATGGAAAGGGCTATGCTTGGAGTTTCTCTGAGGGATCAAATCCGTAACGAAGTGATTCGCCAGAGAACTAGGGTCACCGACATAGCTCTTCGTATTTGCAAGTTGAAGTGGCAGTGGGCTGGTCATATCTGTCGTAGAACCGATGCTCGCTGGAGTAGGCGTGTTCTAGAGTGGAGACCGCAAATTGGCAAACGTAGTGTAGGACGCCCCGCAGCTACCTAGCTGCGGGGCGTCCTACACTACGTTTGCGTTTGCGGAGCGACGACATACGTAGGGTTGCGGGTAAAAAATGGAAGAGAAGGGCTGAAGATCGTGCCCAGTGGCGTGCCTTGGGAGAGGCCTATGTCCAGCAGTGGACTGCAGTGGGTTGATGATGAAATATGTAAGTGTGTAACTAATTAAGAAGCCACCACATAGCTAATATACTTACTATTGTGATCCTAAGATCCTAAATAAATAAAGAGAAAAAAAAACTAAATATGTTCCATCTAATAGTTTAGGCCGGATTTCACCAATTGCAGTATAAACTAGGTTCAAGGATATTTAGTTCAGCGTAAACTAGTTTAAAGATCGACATTGGTCGACTAAGTTTAAATCTTCATTCGATCACTGATACACGTTCATAAAATAATATTTGATGCAATAGGTATCTAATTTAAGTAATAACAATAATGAAATTTACTAAAATATTTGAAATTTAATCATGTGATAATTTGGTTAAGTTTTTTAAGCACAACCTTTACCTAAAAATAAGGTAGATAAACGAAACTAAGTTCCGATTATAGTGATGAAATGCAAAATGTTTTATCGCTAATACTATCTTTTAATAACTTCCAGAGAACCTTTGGGAAGAGAGTATTTACAAAAAAATTACAGTAAATAAGTGGCGCATGATTGGAAATATGTTAGTATATTTTATAACAATTAGCATAATTTTAACAGTGGTTTAGCATATTTGGTGTTGTCGTATTGGCAACACTGCTCAGTGTTGCCAATTTAGCACATTTATTTGTTGTTTAGCATTAACATATTTTTTAGCACATAATTATAATAATTTAATACAAATTTAACTATGAAATAAACAGTCCAAAATAGTTCCACTGACAAAAATTTGTACTTATCACGCCTGCAAGTTGGTATGGAGGGAACATACTTTTGTCAGAGTAATATTTATGCCTTTTCAGAACCCTTTTTAAGATTATCTGTGTCGTTGTTGGTAATCTGTCGAAATATAAAATTATATACACTTATGTAAATAAAATAGATATCAGCGAACGTACTCAGGAATGGGTTGTAAGAAATGAAGTACTAGTATGTAAAACATAAATTTACATACATATGAATACATATATGATATATGATAAATAAATATATATAATTAAATATTCTAAATACACAATAAAAGCAATATACTAGGTAAAATGTCACAAGTCACATTGTGTAAGACAAGGAAATATATTTACAAAGAAAAATTGATTAAGGCATAAAATATTGAAGATTTAATAACGTTTTATTTGATATTTAAATATCGTAATATATTTTTTTAGCATAATTTTGTCTTAGTCGTGTTGGCAACACTGCTTTTTATTATGTTCTTTCCTTGCTAGTGCAACCAAGTTGTTAGTATATTCTTTGAAGTAGTGTCAGGTCCAGGAACCGTAAAACATATTAATAAAAAAAATATATAATATACTATACTTGAAACATAATAGAGTGAAAGTTGTTCATTGAAAATGCCGCGCAGTATCAATAATACTTCGTATCGCGGGTCTTCAACGGTAGCAAAATTCTGTTACACTATAATAATTGCTTTTGTTTGTTATGCTGTAGTATTTATAGTGAAAAACACTTTGGAGAATCATAATGCAGAATCGATGGAATCGTACGAATTTTCCAACTACATCAAGAAATATAAGAAAACATACAATAGTTCTGAATATTTTCGTCGACAGAAAATTTTCGAGGTTAGTGCTGTGTTTGAGTTCCAATATTGACCTTAAATCAAATATATACATTGATATATCGTATAACTATACGCGGTGTCTTGAGATGAAATTTACTAAACATATTTAGGGTTTCTTTTCCTATTCCCTTGACCTGATTGTTTTATATATTTATATATTAGGGAATGGCGAAAACCCCGACAGTCCTCAAAAGTTGATTGGGTGAGCTATAATTTTAGGGCGGGGCCGTATAACTTGACTACTAGATACTATCTATAAATATATACTGCAAAGAGATGTGCTAACTCGTAATAAACAGTCACGTTAACTTGAGTTAAAATCCAGGTAACTTGAGTTACCTGAATTCCTCCTATTTGATGCTTTTTTAAATATGTTTCAATAACGAGCTCGTATTTCCTACATATTTAAAATGTATCCGAGCATTTCATACATTTTACACGATGTTGATGATGATGATGATTTATTCGAAAATGTCTCAAACGAAGGTTTGTCGGCGTTTTGAGTAATAATAGGTAGTATATTATGATATGATATGATCAACCCAAAACTTCATGTCATTATCGCTTTCATTCGGTAATATTAATCGAGTTTTAATAAATCGATTATATAAATTACGCGTTTTATCGATTTTCATAAACAGCGTTTTCACATATCCTTTCATTTTACTTTAATACTAACTTTTGCCCGCGGCTACGCTCACGTTAAACCGTAACTTCATATCATAGAAAGTTTAATTTCGACGATGATGATGATGTCCCACTCATAGATCTAGATCTAGAATCTAGAAAATCTAGAATACTTTTATGATTATAAATTATTATTAAAATTTGTTGATTTATGTCACAGAGAAATGAAGATTGTTAATATAAAAAAATATTTCTCAAATAAACACTAAGTAATTCTTTTGTTACTTTGTTAAAAGTTTTTTTAAATAATAAATGTAATAATAATTTGATACTTATTTTATTTTACAAATACTTTTCACATTTTTATGTGTTACCGATACCTTACAGAATCATATATATATATAGGACAATGATTTATTAATCATGTTAAGTTATCATCATTCATACATATCTGACATAAAAAAAATTGTTATAGATGCTTAACATATCCTTGTAATTTTTAGCGTGCATCAAAGGATATCGAGCGTCTAAATCAAATGGAAAACATTAGCATTGATGTTGATATATATGGATATACAAAATATACTGACTGGACCTCTTATGAGTTTGAAAAAAATATGCTATTACAGAATACAACTCCTATATCATTATGTAAAAAGGAAACAAGAGAACCAAAACCTTTAAATCAGAGGTTACTTGAAAATTTACCACAAGTAGTTGATTGGTATGTAGCTTCTAAACTAACATTATAAATGGGAAATATCTGATTTTTATTTATCTATATTAATATTTTAGAAGTAATAAAAAATATGAAGATTAGTTGGTGAATTTTGATACTACTTAGTGATCCAATTTTGAGAATTGTTTTTGTGTTAATTGCCCATTCATGGAAATTTGTCTATGGACTATTTAACATCAGGCTACAACCAATTTGTATTCATGAGTGTGATTGTCTGTGTCATCATCATGTATATCAGTTGTCCAGTCCCCTTAACACAAGCATTGCTTATCTTGGGACTACTTAGATGACGCTATGTGAATTGATTTTTCTATCATTTGTTTGTGTTATTACTGATGTTTATGTGCATGTTCATTTATTCAAATGTATTTAATATATATTATTGTATAAAAGGCAAAGGAAATATTAAGGTAAATATATGTACGTACCTATCTACGGCTTTATGTTGTATACCTAGTATATTATGTACCTACTTATTACTGATTTTTAAACTTAGGCGTTTACTACACATTATTAATAAAGTTAAAAGGGTTTTAAAACGAATAAATTAATGGTAAACTAGCTGTACACGCGACTTCCACCGCGTGGAACTTAACTTTATTTTTCTAAAATATAAAAGTAAGTGCCTAAGTTAATCCTTATTACATCAGTTACCAATAAAGTCCCGACCAAATTGGTCCAGCCATTTCAGAAATTAGCCGGAGCAAACAGACAGACAGACAAAAATTGTAAAAGATGTTATTATGGTGTATGTACGATATTTATCGTTTGAGTTGACAACACAACATTCTGGTAAAATATATTTAGTTGCCATTGAAACGAAAGAAGACCGTATTTATACCTATTCATATGCATGTAGTAAAAAATAATTAGGTATTTCAATGTTATAATCAGACACTCCAATTTTATTTATAAGGGGAGAAAGTAAAGCCCCCCGGGCTTTACTTTGCTTATTTTGATTATATGGGGGGAGGGGGAGTAGGGGTCTAGATGACGATTACGTCATCAGTATTTATTATAATTATATTAAATTATTATTATAATTACTTTTTTACACAAAAGGCAATCTTCACATTATCTTTACTAAAAAAACAATACATTAATTGGAAAATGTTTAGGTAAGCATGGGGAGAGGGGCTAAGAGCTTAGCTTACTTTTGCTGAAAAGGGGGATGGGGTGGGGTAAATAATTGTAATAAATCTGCTTACGTAATACTTGAACGGCCCCAGATTAAGGTTTACCTCTATCAACGTTTTGACTAGATTGCACAAAATACGTTTATTTACCATGACATTATTCGTGTTAAAACTCGTTTACTTATATTAATAATAATATAGGTAAATGTAGGTTGTGATTTGAATAATTTCATTTCGGTATTATTTTTGATTAGGGATACTGTAAATATACCTACAAATAACAATCCTAATATAGCTAACTGATTACAATTCAGACATCTCCAGCAAGTCCCAAACTAAGAAGAGTATTCTAAACATCTGTTTCGACTTTATACGGAATTGTGGATAGGTAGAAATGTAAGAGGGAGATGTAACTATGTTTTGAATGCCTTGCTTTCGAGCCCACTGATGCGTTAAACGAGGGGCGTGTATGAATGTCATTAGTTGATGTATAAGATGAACGCCCTTAGTGGTGGGGTGTTATATAGAGATATATAACACGCCACCATATCATGCCACCGTTCCGTTGAGTAAACACAACAGTCTTCAGTGTTGCCAACTACGTGTAGAGAGTTTAATAATGCGATAAATAAATAATTATTAATCGTCGTGAATGTATTGAAATATAATAAAGAAGTTGTAGAACATGCGGCGTTAAAAAGTCATCGCGGCGTCAACATCTTGAAAAGCGTGACAGTGAACAAAAAAGGCACTTCTAGCAATGATTTACTTATGTGGTTCGGCTTTAATATCTAAAATTACCTATTGACTTGTAAAAACATGTTTTACATGTACGTAGGTACTAATGTAACATGTGTGATAACGATAACTCGACTAAATTAAATCGGCCTTATTACAAAAAGATAAACCTGGTTTAGCACTAGTAATAAACCATTCACCAATGTATTCCTTATTACAAAATGAAGTTTATCTCTAAATTGTGATTCGTCTATGGTCTAAAGTTAGACCTGCGATGCCCCTAGTTTAACAGTGGTCTAAAAGCAAAAAATCAACCTCCATTTTAAAAATTGTATTTTAAGTTGTTGTTTTTCGAAAAATATTTTAACTAAATTAAAAATATATTAACTAAAAATATTTAAAGCTAATTTTACGGTAATAAAAATATATAAAAGACGATATTTATTATTTTTTCACTCATTTGACTTTGAAATAGTCACCATTCGCATCGATCCAATAAAAATACCCCGCCATTCCTTTTCTCCGTATAGGACTTCTACTTATACTTTAAAATTGATTTTCAGCCTAATAGTACATTATCAAATATTATATATTAATGAAATAGTTATAATGAAGACATAGATAAATGGAAATAAATTTATTTTTAGTTCATACATTTTTATTTGAAGTAATATTATTTTTGATCATTTCAGTTTTCTGTAAAGTAACTAAGTAGTCCTCTGTTAGATCTGGATTCGTAATAATGTTAGGCTTATTCCAAGTATTAACTTTAGGAATGGTTTAAACCTTGACCATTTAGACCACGTTTCGTCTGAGTTTTAAGAGATTTTTTGTAATAAGACCGAATGTGTCTTGCATTGGTTTATTTAGTTGTTGTTATCAAATACAAACCTACTAAAGCGACGATGTTATAATGTGGATTTATATAATTTACCCGAGTACACTAGTTTTTGCTGCAGTTTATAGAGTCCCAAGCTAACCAGAGCTTGTCTTGTGTGTACTAGTTAACTGATAGACATTCTAATATTTTTGTGTAAATACATATCTACATATTATAGGTACCTACATAGAATACAGCCAGAGCTTTGAAATGAGCAGGTCGTTTGCGCAGTGCGTACTCGTATAATAAAACCCGCGACGATCAGAAGTAAGACGGTGTGCTAAACTCTAGACCACCAAGGTCTTCAAGTTCAAGTTCAAATATAATAAAGAATTCTACAATATTATTTCGGCGTGCGATACCAGCTCACTTTATTTTCATTTAGTTTTATTCAAATTCGATAAACTTTATCACCTCAGTGCACGCACATGAGTAGGTACGAAATCACGACTTCTCCAAATTATGCACAAACAGTGAAATAAATTTTAAAGAAATTGATTGTTAGAGGATCTGATTTCTATCTAAATTTGTCAAGTTACCGTAATACGCCGCGTGACTCAAACTGTCACTTCATTACACTTTTACAAGGCAAATGATCATGATTTATCTTTATACAATTCGTACAAAACTTTAGTGCACAATTTTACCATCTGGCGACAGTTTACGAAACTGTTCACATATTTAAATCATATCATTTTGATTACGTACAATGAAGACAAATAAATAATAACTAAAAGGACATAATTCATCCGGTTTGATTGGGCCAAAATATTGGATTCCGAATCCGTACAAAGAAGAAATAAAAATAGAGAGTGCAGTGCAGTGATATTTTAAAAATAAAATATTATTGGAAAAAGAAGGAGAAATACGATTCCCAGGAAGTATGGACACAAACCAATGGAGCGGATGGATGGCTCTCTTTTGCAAAACAATTACTGTATTTATATCAGCTGCTTTGCCCCATAATAAAATGCTATGAAAATAGCTAAAGCACACAAATTTAGCCGTTGCTACATCCGTCAATTGTCTAATTCTTCTTACCGCATAAGCAGCAGAACGAAGTCTATTCGCGAATTTAGAAATATGAGCACCCCATTGCAGTTTGAAGTCTAATGTGATCCAAGAAACATAGTATCGTCAACAAAGTTAATAAGTTTATTGTTCAATACGATTTTTGAGTCTACCTTCCTTACATTGGGGAGCGTAAATTTAATACACTTTGTTTTATCTGCATTTAATAGCACATTATTAGCAGTAAACCATTTTAAAATAGATTTTGTCAGACACTTTGTTAATAATTTGGGATTTTTCTCTTTATCATATACTAGCAGTTCCTGCAAACGTTGTTTTGCCGTATAAATTAATATCACTATTTTTAAATTGCAGTATTAATTTATACATAGGGATTAATGGCAGAAGGGTGAAAATTTAGGGTAAAAAAATACATACATGTATTATTTAAATCCGATTGATAAAAAGATAAAATAAAAAATCTTGCCAAAAATATAAAATTCTCTCTTTATCACTTTGGGACATAAAAAGTAGGTAACAACATATTCTCAGATCTACCGAGTATACATAAAATTTCATCAAAATCGGTTTAGTAGTTTAGTATTTCATCGCTGATAAACAACGTGACAGGATATGTTTAGACATTAAGATTATCTGTTTTAGGAGGAGTAAAGGCATCATCGGGCCAATTGTGGATCAGAAGATGTGTAGAGGGTGCTGGGCAATTACTGTCACGGGAGCCACTGAGACTATGGTTGCTGTAGACTTACAAAAGAATGGAACCTTCCAACATCTTAACTTGTTAAGCATTCAGGTAAGTAGAATATACACAGCGTTGTGGTCTAGTAGTCGAAGTATATAAGTGAATTAAACCAGGCAGGCGGCGAGTTGAACTATCGGTCGGCATCGAAAAACCTCTATGTTAATTTTTAAATCTGACTGACTCTCCGGTTATGGGACCAGCGATAGCAAAACAAATTCAGAGAGATGTACTCGCAGACTCTTGCCTCCTCTAACGTCGGATTCAAATATAAACATGAAAATTGTCGTTTTCACCAGAATGTCGATAGTTAAAATTGACTGATTAGAATATTTCCATTTAAAAAATTGCAATAGCATATGCGAGTAGACACTATATTCTTATTAATTTTAATATAAAAATGGCTCTATATTTTTGTAAACATGTACCTACAAGCTCTTTCGAAAAGTATAAGAACTGGGTTTCTTTCCAGTTCTTCTTAGCTCGAAAGCACTCCGAACTGGCGGTTGATTTATGATATAAGAAGCTAGGGGTTCTAATCTCGGCACAGACGGCAAAATATCGATCTCCGTTTAAATGGGACATGGCGTCGATCAGCGGTATGGTACCCGTATCATAGGCTCTGCTTAGCCTTGGACTAGATGGTGCTGTGTGTCCACGGAAAGTAATCTGCCATCCGATTCAGACCAATTATCTGAATCAGCTGTGTTCGTTTTGGCCAATCTGTCCCTACAGCCTGTATGTACATATATTTATATATAAAATTATTATGGTTTATCATTTATAATGGTCTTATTCTCTTTTATATTTCAGGAGTTAATTGACTGTTCAAAGGTTAATGATGGATGCAGAGGTGGAAAACCATCGACAGCTGTTAATTACCTGATTAACAACAAGATACCAATCGTATCACAATTAGAATACCCACTGAAACTAGTGGACGAACCCTGCAAACTTCATGGACATCCGAGCGGCGTGCTGATCAAACAATATAAGGAATTATGGTAAATATAAGTCATGATACACATAATAGTATTATATGTAATCGGGGTTCACTATAAATCATTGTATCGGTATAATGATGAGATGGATCCCTTACACAGACATTTCACAGGGACGAGGTGGCGATGCTGTACAGTATCTACTACTGTATATGTGCAGTCCAGCCGTTCAGTTTGCGTTTCTGACAGGCGAGGATAAAATGGATAATGTAACTTTGAACTGACTTTACTGTAAAATTTTAAATATCTTATTCCGCTTTAACTAATAATTATACAACTAACAATAAACCGTGGGCTAAAATTATTAACTATTAAGGAATGTATAAACAATAGTTTAAGAGTCTATCCAAATCAAACTTCGCATTTTCAAAGTTATGTCAACATGTCAGTTTGTTTTTGTAGTGACCTTAAAACCGTATTACTCGTTAATAAGGATAATAAAATATTTAATGTATTAATATAAATATATAGTACTTACGCAGTATTATGTTATTATTACTTCAATATGTTTAAAATCTCATATCATAGATGACATGAGGTCAGTTCAGATTTACCAGAAGTAGACATATAAAGTCGTCTGGCTGGGTACCTCTATCTCACAAATTTCAGAGATTAGGAAGAATAAAAACATTTAAAATTAAAAATAGAAACAGTATTCCTGTTTTCGCTTGGTGACAATTTTCTAGAAAATAGACATCATCTTAACTGTTGTATTCTTTTATAATGCAGGTCTGTTTCACATAATGAATAGAACGGACCTAGGTAAGAACATGAGTACTTATATATGTATATCAGGATAATGAAATGCATTTATTTATGTTTTTAAAAAACTTAATGGAATGGTGCACCCGTCTGCTTTAATGGTTTACGCTAGCGGGGCACCAGTGGAGGTTGATACGAAGAGTTTTTTCTTTTATGTGCACTTCAGTAATAATGATGAGGAGGTCATGCTGCGTCACCTGGCGGATGTTGGTCCGCTGATCGCAGCTGTGAACGCCAAACTTTGGCAGCACTACTCTGGAGGGGTCATACGTCAAGGTTGTCTGTAAGTACCTGTTTTATACCTGATTACATTTTGGTAGTTATGTTACGACAATAACGCTCGGCTCTGCTACCATATTATAGAAATAAGCTGTCAGTATAACATTTATTTCCTCGTTGCATACAACTGTTACCAAGTAAAAATTTATTTTTCTATACATGATATTAGAAACCAAAATAACAAACCACAATCACATCACAGGGACTGGTCTTTCAGACGAGGTGATCAGAGGCTTTTTTTTACATATATACAAAGTGTGATCATGGAATGATTCTCCCGCCTGTGGAGGATTATAAGATGAATTCACCAGGAAATAATTAAGATGGTGTCCAGAGGGAACCACGTGAAGGTCAACCTGACATAGTATATTGCTAGCAATGAGTTTATTAGTCTATATTACTAATAGTCAGAGGTATTGTGCTGACGACCTCGGTGATCTAGCGGTATCATACCGCTTTACTTCCGATGGTCGCGGGTTCACTTCCTCGCACGGTACAAACATTTGTATTCATGAGTATGATTGTTTGTATCGTTCTTGGTATTTTCTATGTATATTATGAATGTATTTACAAAAAAAAGTTATTTAAGTATTTATGTCGGTTTTCCAGTACCTTTAACACAGTATAGTACACAATCAGTAGTATAAATTGACAGAAGAGGTTTTAACTTTGCTCTTGACCGTGATTCATGATTTTCAAACGTTAATGTATAATGTAATGTAACATATACGATTTTTAGAGGAGACGCAGTTGTCCTACTATACCTCCCCTTGAGTATGCTCATGCCTCTATAAAATGTTTTAATACCGCGAGTGTGACAGATACGGGAAACTATCGTATCATAAAAAAAATTAAAGTTATATGCTGAATTGCTGATATGCTGCACACCATTAATCTGTTGTTGTTAGTAGAACTTGTTTGTTTGTTTTATAAATTGTGTTTACGTATATATAGTACAAACCTTGGTATTCCTATAATAATTAAATAAATTGTGTGATGCCTACGATACATGATGCTTATGTATTGCCATTTCGGAGGACCAAGCTGTCATGTCACCATACCCTGGTAATTTCACTGTTTAATGGTTTTAAACTTACAAGGCAAGCCGCTTGGCGGCTGAAGTACATTAGGCAGAGTTACCAACGACGACGACTTTATTCAAAATCAATCTAGTCTAAACTTACATAGAATATGTTTTCCTTTACAGGGGTAACGAGGGGTATCTGAACCACGTGATTCTGATTGTAGGCTACAATCTCACAGCTCCCGTGCCGTACTACATTATCAAGAACTCGTGGGGTGTGGATTATGGAGACCATGGCTACGTCAAAGTGGCAATTGGTGGTAATGTGTGTGGTATTGCTGATGAGGTGTCCTACATAATTGTGTAAATTGCAGTTGGCCACGCGGACGTAACGCTCCTATTATTTAAAGTGTTTATAGGTTTATAGGCTATGGCAACCGTTTAGGCTCCTTTTATTAAAAAAAAAAAAAAATAAAACTAATTAACCTTTTTATTAAATTCAGCAATTATATTTAATACAGCTAGTATATAAGCCATACATAAGCCTGTAATACTTATGAAAATTCAACTGGGACGTTTGATTACTCACTACCACATTTATTAATGAGTGTATGTTTGAGTCTAAAGTGGTAAGTTTCTATTTGTGTAATATGTAATATGACACGAGTAATAATATAAAGTATTAATTTCCTTGATCTCGATTTTAAATAAAAAGTAAAGTACAGTATTTTCTATGAAAACAATTTAAAATTTAACTTCCGAAATTTTTAATTGACTGGCGTCAGTTGAATAGTGCCTCAGCACGCCTATAGTATAGTATATATGTAGTAGGGCTGTGTGTAACCAAAGTATCCGATGGACGCGCGTTCGATTCTCGCATATAAAAAATTGTATTAGGTATTCAATCATTTATGAGTATGATTGTTTGCATAGGTACATTCTATGTACGAATGTACTTAATTATTTTTATCAACTTAAGATTATCCAAAGTACAAAGATCTAGTTGTTTGAGACAAGATGGCGTTGTGTGAATTGTCATAGAAAAAAAAATGAACTTACCAGTTTTAGATACATTTAGATACTCTGTATTATTATGATTATATCATAATTTAGTCATGTATTTTTAATGTGCGTGTAGTAATTTCATCTAGATGATGGAATTCATAGTAATTTTGCTAGTGATTTTGTATAATAAACTGAGAGGATACTCCACCCTATTCAGTCATGCTGGTAATAAGTTAGAAAATAAACTTTTTGATGTCGAATATCGATGTTCATATTATCATAAAGGAGGTCGGATTGGAAATGTCACTGAACTATAGTGTTGCCAGTTTCCCCGAAACTTCTGACCAAAGGGTTATATTGGGCAATAATTAGGAGAAAGGAAAAATATCAGATTTTGAATAAGAATTTCCATTTGAAAGTCTGTCCATTGTTCTTGTGTTTCTTTAGATTAGTACTTTTGGAATGTTTTTTAAACTGCAAATATTCTACACTTCTATTTTATACCTGGTAATATTCAAAATTCTTTTTATATATAAATATGATTTTTTTTTACTTGAATCTCGGACGGTATCTTGAACGGTAGAGAAAAAAAATCATAATGTAAAAAGTTGACGTTCATAAGCGGCTAAAATGTCCTACAATGAATAAATTGTTTTTTAATTTTGAATATATATGGAAAAATGTTCCAAAAATGTTAAAAAAAAATAATAATGATGATTTGAATTAGAATCTTTTCTTTATAATTGTATACAATATTATATTATAGATGTATGGATGTGTTGTGAGGTTGCCTACTTACTTATTTGTTCGCTTCAGTATCTTGGTAGAGAGTATATAGGTGAAATGATTGTAATAAATAATAAAGTTTACTTAGTCATTACTAAGTAAATCAGTCCAGTAGCAAATGTGCTACTAGGTCTTATGATTAACGCGGACTGATTTTAAACAAAAGCTCAATCTAGTTATGTATATATATGGAGACAAACTAACTGAACGGATGCCGAGTGTTGACTGTGACTGTGATGCCTTGTGATTTGCCAATATTATTTAATATTATTGTCTTAATGTAAATTTGTGAGTGCCGTGAGGCATTAATGGTACGGTACATAATGCTGACTTGCAGGCTTGCTCTGTGTATGCCAAAGAAGCTGGGTTGTTAGGTATGAAATTTTGAGTCTTTTGTATATCTTGTGAGGTGAGGGCATTGTCGTGCTGGTACAATTTTTTACGAGATTTCGTTAAACGAATTTATTATTAGACTTGTCCACAATTACGAATTTAAACCCATCGAATTAAGTGCTGTATGTTGTAGGAGTAAAAATTTAAAATAAATATATAAAAATGTACAATTGGCAATCCTGCAAAGCAGTGAGACTGAACTGACGGTCCCCCTGATGGTATATGGTAACGCACATACATGAACAGCAGGACACAAGCCAAGCAAAGTACTGCAATGTCATATTGTATTTAAGAATAGATCTGAAATGTACGGAGTAATTCAATATACTGTGGTATTTAGAATGCTGCCAGTTGAATGCTCGGTTTTTTTTAAGGTTGGTAATGGAATGGTGCACCCACCTGTCCTAACTTTACGCTGGCGGGGCATCAGTGGAGATGATAAGATGAACATGAGGTCAGGTCAGTTAGTCCATCGTGAGAAATTCACCAGGAATTTATCACGATGGTTTCCAGGGGGAACCGCGTGGTGGTCAACCTGTTATGGTACATTGTTAGTAATGGAGTCATGAGTCCACATTACTAACAATCCCCTTCCCCCTGAAAGCTCGGTTGTGTAACAGCATCGTGAACACCATCGTCGCCAGTGATTTTTGATGGGCCTGTTGTATGTTTTATTTTTTAATTTAATCAATGCCTGGTATTGTTTGGTATAAGGACATACATTTGACATTTCTTACTCTTAAGTACATGATATGCATTTCTTTTATATTATTAAAACAAATGACCTTTTTTTAATAACGTATAATGGGAATGTAATGTAATTTTCTCTATCCATCCAAAGATTCACTATTGATTATAGTGTATAGATTGCTTAGCGATAAGACCGCCTTTTGGATTAGTTTATGTAAACTTATTATTTTTTTCTCTAATTGGTGCAATAAATAAATAAATTATATAATAAATAATTATATGCTTTTTTATGTAATACATATATATTTACATGTAGATTTACAATTATATGTACGAATAGAACATGCCATAAAGCTTAGTGAAACCATTATGGTGCTTTATTCGTAAAATATTATATATTTAGTAGATTTTAATTATTTTTTTTCTTGTCTTGCATTTATAGGCACTGTGTCATCTTATTATTTCTTTCTTTCTTCTATACACAGGGTTAGCCCTAAACCGAAAGCCATATGGATTACGTATTGAAAGTTTCATACTATGTAGATTTGATCACGTGAGCCCTCCTTTTTTTTTATAATTTACGACTATGTTTCTTCAGAAAAGATGTTTAATGTTATGAATATTAAACATCTTTTCAGTTTAATTGTATTTGTTTTTTGTTCTATAATTATTTGGATTTCTATAATAATAGACAAATGTTAATATAATCAATGTACTTAAATTATATAATGAACTGAAAGTGTGAAGCCGGATCGACTTGTTAGTTAGATGAAATTAGAAAAAATATATAATATTTTTTCTAATTTGGAGGTAATCTCAAAGAAATATTATTTTGATTTGAATATGGCATGATATATATAGCCAAGATCAATTTACTTGTTATTCAGACCCCACTAATGTTTGTACTTGTTATTTCATAATAGACCCCCAGTTTATTCTAGTGATTGGTGCCATTGTTGCTTAATATGCTGTGATATGCTAATTACATAAAAGTATATAATTATCGTTTTTTAAAATATATTAAATATGTATTATACATTTGTATTTTTATTTGAAAGTAACAGTTTCTTATGGCTTGATCCGAAAGAAACTTATTCCCTCAATATTTTCTATAATAACATTAAAGATATATGCGCAGTGTATTTCCTGTCATTAGGCAATAGATTTGGTGTTAATTAATCAGTCGAGAACAAAACCGGACTTTTGTTTCTAGTAATAATTGTGCTGCTTTATGTAGGTATACCAATATTTTAAATAGGTAAAGTTTTTAAGTTTGGATGTTCGGTGTTATCTCCGGTACTATTGTCCTATTTTGAAAATTATTTTAGTAACTATATAGCGTATTTATTGAGGAAGGTTCTTTAAGGTTCTATAAGAAGGAAGGTTTATATAAAGTTAAAAGGATAAGGTTCACGCACGCACTTTATGTAGTGTATCTTGTATGTGTCCTATACAAGTACAGAATAAATTATTTTTTATTTCTATAGAAGTAGAGGTATAATGAAAAAGGTTGCAAAAATGTGACATAGACGAAGATATGCGCGTTACCTATTCATTGTATACTTTGGTTTAACCTTTCTTCCTGAGAACTTAATCTTAACCCTTTTAAAGAAACGCACCCTATAAAGCTAGGTACCGCAGACGACTTCACAGTATGTCTACCCAAGTATAATGCATGTTATTATACTTTTGAAATTAGAAGGTATCCAACTAGTTAGGTAAGTTAAGTAACAAATATAAGAATACCTATCTAATCATAACAATGTCAAACCACAATGCGGTTAATAGATATAATGATACATGTTCCATCAATGATGGTACAATAATTTAAAGAAAAATAAAATGGAAATTAAAATGTATTGATATCACAAAGTCCTGACATACATAAGTCTCAACCTCAACATAATATCTTTTTTTTTTATGAATGATAAACAGCAGGTTGCTCGCGCCTGCGCTAACGGTGAGACACCAGTGGAGTATAAAGCAGATCATTTTTTAAAGGAATGATATTGGAATGATGCAGCCGCCTGCGCTGGCGAGGCACCAGTGCAAGATTATAAGATGATGAAGTTATGTCAGTTAGCCCACCATGACATTCATCAGGAATTTATCACTATAGTTTCCAGGGGAATTGCGTGGCGGTCAACCTGACATGGCACATTGTTAGCAATAGGACCATTAGTCCACAAACAATTATCCCCTAAGCAGATCCATAAAACAATTGTTACGAATTCACCAGGAAATAATGTCATTGGAATGACAAAAAACTTACGACCACCTGATGGTAAGTGGTAAACGTCGCCTATGTACATAAACTGCACTATTGACATCACGTTATCACACGAAAGGTATCAACCCATGATACCTTTCATGTGAAAACCAAGATATGCGTCTTATATTGTAATTACAATGGATATTAATAATAATATTGGATTGTAAGATGTTGGTTTTCTAATAAATACACTGTCTAATCGCCTCCTACAACCGATACAGCTTGTAAAGCTGGTCGAGGAAAAGTGAGATTGAGATATTCTTGCAGACTACTTTCTACAATATCTTGTAGAAAGTAAACCATCTCTCCCCAAGTGGAGATATATCTCCACTAGGGGAGAGATTGTTACTAATGGGAACTCTTGCCCCGTGTGACTATCTTGTAGACGTATACGATATATGTACCTACGTAGTTTTCTCATGAAGTTATCGTACTCAATTGTTTGTAAATTCGCCAGTATGAACGTGATGCATTAAGAGTAGCGTTGATGAGTATCATCTCACCACTGTAACGTTATGTATGATGATGTAGCCGCTGTTTTATTTATTTCCTTTAGTATCTAGGTAGTGAGTATACAGTACTTATTGTAGTAATTATTGTACTAAACCTATTAGTAAGTTTAAGCACATTTGACAGTGTGCTACTTATTAATAACGCGGAGTCATAATTTATTTATTTAATTCAGGTTACATGGCCTATATTACAAATAGCTTAAATATTATACATACTAAGACTGACATAGAAATCTATATCATGTGGAGACGTATATGGAATGGTGTCGAGTGTTGACAAATAATATAGGTAGCCACGGAATGACTTCACTCGAAACTCACAGATTTTACCACATTATCGTAAATTAAAAAAACTTGATGTTATCAATTGTGGTTATATTCACATTATAAATGATACTCGTTATCAACTTCACACCAGTTTGTTGTAAGTTGTTGAATTACCGTGACTGGACGCCGGTCTTGTTATCATTTGTTATTTTATTACGAGATAGCATTGTATACATCTACATTGTTGTATTTATTTTAAAGTGTTTGATAATATACTTTCGTTTGAAGACGAAAGAACGAGAAGAAGACGAAGAAGACGGGAACGAAGAATTGTGTAAGACAGAGGGCATTTTGTAAGAATACATTTCATTTTAATACCAGTTTAGTAAGTACCTACCGAGTTATCATAAAATTTGCACCTACTTAACTTTATATGTGTAAAAGGTATTAGGTACAAATAGTTATTTATTTAATTTAATTTTTATAAACTAGGCACATAGTTTATAAATATATATTTCTTACTTTATCAATTATTTATGTATTTGGAAAAGATAAATAGTAGGACACATATTGTAGGTTTTTGATATTATTATAAGGAGCTTGTGTTAGTAGTAAGTGCACCAAAATGTATATATTTTGGCAAGTTAAAATTATAAGTACTTACGTGAATATGTTAAAAAGTTATTTTTCGTGATTAAGTTGTCCTTATTTTTCTTAATTAATCTGAGTTAGGTAGTTACAAAAGCAGATAAATTTTGTTTTTGCCACTACCTCTGATTAATTTTATTATTTACTGTAATTGCATGTTTTTTAAACTTTACTGATAATCAATGTTTTGTATTGCCATGAAATGTTATAGTAAATGTTTGCGTTTTTTATATAACAATAATAGAGTTTCTTTCCTGTTCTCGGTTAAACTCTCCTTCATTTCTCGTTTAATATGTAAAAGCTGTAAAGGCTATCTCCGAGCCAACAGCCGGACGGCCTCGGTGGTCTAGCGGTCTAGCACACCGCTTTACTACCGATGGTCGCGGGTTCGATTCCTCGCACGGCACAAACATTTGTATTCATGAGTATGATTGTTTGTATCGGTCTGGGTGTTTTCTATGTATAATATGTATGTATTTAAAAAAAAATATCTATGTATATGTATCAGTTATCTAGTACCTTATCACTTGGGTTTAGATGGCGCTGTGTGAATTGTCCTGAGATTATTATATTATTATTATTATTAACAGCATAATAATAGTTCGAAGAAAATATACAAATCACCTATAATATAAATAATTTGCATCATAAGTACATACTTTGGATCTCGAATAAAATATGCAGAAGAAGAAAAGCACAACCCCGATCCCAAGGACACTCATCAAGGATTAATGGAAAAAGAATATAGAGAGATAAACACAGCGATTATACATAGAACCACTTCCTTTTTTGTAGTCGGTTAAAATGAAGGAACAATTGTTATATAGCGATGTTGGTATAATATTAATAACTTATCATTATTAATTATACTTTCAGTAATAAATTAAGTCATGGTAACATTGAGTGAACAGCCTTTTGGAACGTTCGAGAATGAACCAGTTAGGAAATTTACGTGGACCACGGGAAGTGGTTTTAGTGTGTCCGCTATATCATATGGAGCTATAGTACAATCAATCAAGGTATCAATTGTTTTTATACAAATTATCATTGAAATATAATTTCTTATGTATCTATATGTAAAGACAAACAAACTGACGGCTCATGTCAATGGTTCGTCTATTCCGTAAGACTAAGAATTTTTGTCTTCGCGCTTTGTTTTTTTAACAGAATTTTTTGAAAATTTTCAGAATCATTCAGAAAATACTGGTTAATAATCTTATCATACTTATATTAAATGTAATACTTAAGAAACATTTTTAAGATAAGATATACCTTAATGTAAAGTACAACTACACATTTCACCCTCCAACCGAAACAGCTTACTTTTGAAGATCGCTGGTTTGATCCTCGCGCGATATTTTCATGGGTTTGAATCTTTGGTATTGCACTTGTTTAGCACTCATAATCATAAGTTTAACTTGGGACTAGATGACGCTGTGTGTGTAAATAAATAGTCCTGAGATATTATATTGTTATTTTCCAGGTTCCAGACAATAATGGCACCATCAGCGACGTGGTGCTGGGTTTTGATGATCTACAAGGCTACATCGAGAAGAACTCCCCCCATTTTGGGTCGTCAATTGGTAGGTGCGCCAACCGTATTGGTGGTGCAAGTTTCACGATCGACGGCGTGGAGTATCAGCTGGCGAAGAATGTTGGAATAAATCATCTTCATGGAGGAATTAAAGGCTTTGACCAGGTAGGCACAAATACAATAATTACATAGCTGGGCGCTCCTTTTTAACCACGTTCATAGGTAAAAGGCGGAAGTTCGCAATTTACTTTTATTTTATCTAATGTTTTTTACCTAAAATTTACGGCAGTTTGAAATCCGGATCAGAATTGTAATTTTATTTTTTATTGAAATATGTAGTTTTATGTTCCGTTAATAGGCTCTTGTCAACAACATTTATTTATTCAATGAATACAATATAAACTTAGATTAACTATGGATTAAAATTTTAAAGCATAACATAACCAGTACCTCAATATCTCTTCATTATTTTTAAATGAATTATGCTATTGTAGTACAGCCGGTTTTTATATAAATTTGTTAAATACATTTGAACAACAATTTTAGAGTTATTTGAAAAGAGTTGAGCGAAGCAATGTGGCGGTCGAATTGACTTGCCTGTAGAACTATATGAATAAAGATATATTGATTTGATTGGGGTTCTAGGAAACTTTTTAATCAATATGAAAACAAACTGTACAGATTTCTCAGAATAGCAATTAATACAACAGATAACTTTAAGTATTTATCTATTTTTTTATCTAATCTAAAGACCTTATGGTTTTCTTTATTGAATAATGTCCACCACATTAGTGTCCTATATTATTAAACCGTTAAATCATGACCGTTATGAGTGTAAAAATCAACAAAAACAGTCATCACTAAGCATTTGTTGGATTACGAATATATAAAAATAGAGAGTGGACTGTATTTTTTTAAATGAAAATAAATATTGGAAAAGGAGAAATACTTTTTCACTTAGGAAGAACGTCTCCCACACCCTAAACACTCCAAAGTAAGCAATGTAACGCAAAATTTACTTACCTTTGCTCAGCAATGTCCCGATGTGTAGTATAGTTTAGTGGGCATACACTCTAGAATAAAAACAATTATATGAAATCAGATAATTATATAATTTTCTTGTTTTTAAACAGTTAAAAATACCGAGCGCCCTTTTTATTTCAGTTCTTATTTTCAATTACTTCTTCAATTCTTCTAAATTTGAAATTTAAGTGGCCACATGTTTTTATTGGTGGCCAGTATGGTCAAGCGCCCTTTGCTCCAGTAGCCGCTAGCCGGTGTTACAACCTACTTATAAGTAATAAGAAAGTATTCGGAATACGAAACAGCATCAAAACTAAATCTGAGCGCTAATGGAAGCGGTATTAAACAAATTAATATAAATTCATATATAATTAAAGAAAAAAAATGTTTTTGTAATTTACAGGCCGTGTGGAAATCAACGGTAGTTGGCACTAAAGTTGTCTTCAGTTACTTATCCAGGGATGGTGAGGAGGGTTACCCTGGAGATTTGGTCACCAACGTAACCTACCAGGTGTTGGATGATGACAGTTTCCACGTGACATTCCAGTCGACTACCACCAAGAAGACTGTTATCAACTTGACCAACCATTCATACTTCAACCTTGCCGGTCATGACAGTGGCGCCCAAGAATTGTACAAGCACGTTATATCTATTAATGCCGACAGGTAATATTTTTTTTCTATGTGACTGAAATGGCATTATCACAGATAATATAATATTACATATAGTTATTGACCCACCTGATGCAAAGTGAGAACCGTCGTATAATCTATACATATAAATAAAATTGGAGTGTCTGTTTGAAATATTGAAATAACCGTTTTTTTACATGCATATGAATATAAATATGGTACATACACCACACATTCACATTTTTTACTATTTTTGTCTGTCTGTCTTTCTGTTTGTTCTGGCTAATCTCTGAAATGGATGGACCGATTTTGATGGGCAGGTAGACTTTTATTGGCAGGTAGCTGATGTAATATGAGTAACTTAGGCTACTTTTATTTTAGAAAAATAAAGTTAAATTCCACGCGGTCGACGACGAGGGTACAGCTAGTAGTACATATATATACAGGGTTACTGGTAACACGACGTATTCCCGTCAGGACGAGGTAGATGTTACTGTAGAAATTTGTTTCATTGAACTGTCCAAAATGAATTGACACCTTTTAAAGATTCTCCTTACCGTTAATTTTTTTTAAATTTATTCTTTTTCAGCTAAATATCGACTATTATACCTTTTTAGATAGCTTATTAGATGAGAAAGTTTTATTAGTAATTTGTACGCTTAGAGTCATAATGTTTTTTTAAGCTACATGACACTTAAACTCAAGTAACGTTTAATTTATCAAAAAAATATAGCTATTACTTATTAAGCATTCATGGGTATTTTGTGAGTTATTATGTTTTGTTACCAAGTCCTCTATACATAAAAATTAGGTTGAAAGACATTCAACAAGCCAATTTTTTTAAATAATATTATAAAGACGCTGAATTTGATATTTTTTTAAACATAACAAAATTCAGAATAACTCGATAACTATTCGTTTTCGGCCAAACATATATATGGGGTCAAAATTATTGCATTTGTGCTCCTCTATCTCGTCCTGACGGGGATACGTCGAGTTACCAGATACCACTTTAATAGTGGTAACTCCCGCGTTGCTGGGGGAGGATGTTATTACTGATAGGAGCTAGTGGCTCCAATGTTAGCATTGTAATCATCAGGTCGACCTCCACACAGTCTCATTGGAAATCCGTGATTAATTCCTGGTGAATTAACTACGGGTGCTTGTGACCTGCTAGCGTCTACAGTTATCGCAGGCGTTTGCTCCATTAAATCATCATCCATGTAAACACTTCTTATAGAATAGCTAAGCAAGCTGTTTGGCAATTGAAATAGATATGACAGAGTTTCCCCCTCAGCTGTTGCGTGATCGAGTAGCAAACGTTCATACACGCACTTTTAAAGTGTTATTACTTCAGAATTACAGAGACCGATTCAGAATCAATACCAACCGGAAAGTTTATCAACGTAGGTGGTACGCCTTACGATCTGAGAATACCTATCAGCTTTAAAGAGGTCATGACTAAGCAGCCCGACTTGTATGATGACAATTTCTGCGTCACTACACAAGGAAATGAGGTAAGAAACAGAAAGAGAAATAACATTTATTTAAATAAACTTAATATGAGCAATTCTTTATTTTAATTTTTCTGTTTACTATACATTAATTATATTATTATCTGGGTCTAAAAAGAAAGTCATTCCTTAGTGGACTGCTTTTTTTTTCGTCATTCCTTAGTGGAATGATTTTTTTTTGACCCATCATAAATGAGAAAAGTACACACAGTTCAGAGTTAGATCCTATACCCACTAGTTTAACACAAGATACTTCTAATCCAAAATCACGTAAGAAACGTCGACGGAAACAGCTAGTCATATTGAGTGAGTTTGTTATATTTTCACGTTTTAACAAATTCTCACTAAATTCCGTTACGTATAGCATTTGAAATGAAGCAAGTACACGGCAGACAATAGTCAATCTATAAATTAAAATGTTATATTCTTTTTGTTGAGGACTTGAGTGGATTTGCGGTTTAGCAAACTTATGTGTGCTTTCTATGTATAATACGTATTTACAAAAAAAAAAAATTTAAGTATTTCTATCAGTTTTCTAGTACACATAACATAAGCTGATTTATTCAGAGTTATTAATGCAGAGGCGTGTAAATAGCGACTGGAAGCGGGAACTTAAACGGACCTACAAGACGTCCTTCCACAAAGTTGTATAATCTCTGCCTAAGCTGCAAGAAATACCCATAAAAAAAACTGTGCCCACTGACCTGCAATACAATCCAGAGCATTGTTAAAGAACAATACACACACCGGGTTCAGGCAGGAAAAATGGAGACAATCTCTTGTGGAATATAACAAAACAACACTTGCGAAATAGTTTGTAAAACACTCTACACAGACGGTATCTTCGTCTAGGAGTAATTTTCTAGAACTATTCTACGAGTATAACGCGTGTAGCTAAATAGTTATTTAATGTAGAAAAGTAGAGCACAAATGTCTTCTTTATTAAAAATAAACAAAAGACGACAGGCGTGTATTATCTTTTTTTCTTTTTTATTTAAAAGAATGTTCGTTTTATTAACGGCCAGTTATGTTTTCGACTATAATCATTTTAAATTATGGTCATGTTTGTCATTCAGTAAATTTTTTGTTTGTAGCCATAGACAAATAATATGAATGTATTCTTACTTTGACTACAGACTTTAACAATAAAAAAGAGTATATATGCGTGTATACGTGTCAAATACATAGTAGTGTGTGTAAAATTTTATTTATTTAATTAAAAGTATATTAGCAATATAATAAATAAATATTATATAATAATTAGCATTCTGCACTCCTTCACTATATAAACTAGCCATAGCTGCGGTTTCACCGAGTGAAATGTATAGCCTATGTGTTATTCTGATGTAAAAGCAATATTACTGTATTATGATAAAATTTTATTAAAATCAGTAGCTTTTGCATAAAAGAGTCACAAACATCCATCCATATTCACAAACTTTCGCGTTTATAATATTAGTAATATACCTATACATATTCATTTAAAATATTATATATAAATTTAATGCTCTGTCCGCGCAATTTTCGTTAAAATTATTCATTATTAATTATGTAAAGTTTCATTATTCATTTATTGTTCATGTATTAATATAATGATTATCATCTTCCTCTTCCTTAATCAATCAATATACCTATGATGGTATATACATTAGTGTTTATTATTCATTACTATTATGTTATAGGGCCTGAACTTCATATCGCGGGTCCAACATCCACCAACAGGAAGGTACCTAGAATTGTACAGCAATCAACCTGGTGTTCAGCTTTACACATCTAACTTCCTACCATCACCGTCAGATCCAGCACTGGTTGGGAAAGATGGCGTGGGATACCGTCGCCACGGGGCCTTCTGTCTCGAGACCCAAGTGTACCCTGATGCTGTACATCAACCCAATTTCCCAACATCCATCTTGGTTCCCGGTGATGTATACAAGCATTTGGTTATATATAAATTTGGTTCTGGTAAGAATATACAGCCAGCTGTTGTTTCTGCTTAGATTACAATATGTTCAATCTATGATCTGCTTTTTATGAATGAGAGAAATATTTCTCTCTCATCAATAAAAACTAGAGTCTCTTACAAATGCAAATAAAAATAGCAGTATTTTGTATTTGTAAAACGAATAAAACACGTTGAAAATACAGAGTAGCATGGTTAAGATCTACTTAATTTTATCTAAAATAGAGACAATTTTTATATATCTAACCATATTCTCTATTATTATTATTATTTTTGTATTATGATTAAACGTTTTTATGAATAAAAAAATATTAATGTTAAATACATTATAATTAAAATTATTATGCTCTCCAAATTAACGATATTTCTCTGTTATAATTTATTATTATCATCTATATTTTAATAAATATGTCATTACCTTTGTGGAATGTATCATTTATCTTCTCCGAATTATTTACTCTAAAAACGACATACAATAGATTCGCCCAATCTCCATCTTTCGGTAGAATATTTAGATTAGAACATTAGAATATTTAGTTAGGTCAGTTAGCTAACTGACCTGACCTTGTTACAAATTCACCAGAAATTTATCATAATGGTTTCCAGGGATCGTGGAGAAAGCCTAAGTTTTTGATTATAACAATACAGGCATAACTACAAAATTGTAAAATTCGTACTGTCCACATTCTTTATTGACTCAATAGTATATAATTAACTAATTATATAACAAGCAAAAACGCATCAGCTACATGGTGAGCACAAACCTGGTTCAATTTACTTATACACGTACACACACAGACATTAAGTATATTTATATATACATATAAATATACCTAGACATACATATAGACATGAAATATACATATATATATTATGTATTTTTATTTTTTATGTTTAATGATTTTGTCATTTTTTATATAGTATAACCTGCAACTTCGCACGAATGTAACAGATTATTCGGGAAAGGTTAATCGATAACATATATAGCGGCTAAACTACCTCAGAACAAATTGTTAAAGCAAAATAGTTCAAAATAGTTCGCTCAATCCCTCACTTTTCCGCACAAAATTTTAAACATTTCCTATAAACTTTGTCTTCCTTAAATTACAAACACAACAAAAAGAATTAGCTAAATATATCCACTCGTTTTGAAGTAATATATAGCTTCCTATATTTTGTATAAGTTTATTTATGTGCGATTTATATTATGCATTTAAGTAAATGTAATTTTATTCTGACGAATCTCGTATACATTTTTGAGATTAGAACTAAGGAAAGGATTTACAGAGAGCTATAGTTCATTACTTTACTTTTAATCATTATTACATCATACATTTTGTTAAAACAATAAAAAAAAATGTAATATAACTTACGTTCTAAAATAGTCATAGAAATAGTATATAATCTTCACTTCTATGTTATTATTCTTCTCAGTATCTTTACGGTACTCCGAATATGGAATAGACAAAGAAAATCGAATTCCACCAAAATTCAAGTAACAGGCAATCATGAATAATAGAATGTATTCTCTTATAGAACGTTTGTCGATTCATAGTCATTTCAATTAATTATAAGAGAATAATATCTAACAATTTATTAAATATAAGAAAAATTCATAAACAAGTAGGTATGTCGATTAACTCAATTTTAAATCCTAGTTTGCAATTAGAAAACAAATATATAAAATTGCAAAGATTCAACCATTTGTAAAAATTAACATACGTAGGTTTTAGTGTGATTTTAGGGTATTTCTATCGCCAAAATTATAACATGAAATCTGTCCTATTTGTCTTTAATAATCAGTAAAAATTACACCCTGTGGTTCATTTCGAATAATAAGAATTTTTTTTCGAAATGTTTATTTTGCACCAAATTACTGAGCCTAAATTCATAGTAGTTGCTTATTTAGTTTCACATCTTATATAGTGTATATAAAAATATTATCCGTTGGATTATTACACAATATTTATTACTATATTACCTTGTTGCAACACCGTCAGGTAGGAGGTGAATCTATAGCCATAAAACGTAATAAATTAAAAAAAGAGCGCGGTTTTGCTGCGAATACATCTGTCAGTACGTGACATGTTTTCGCAGCAAAAACCGCGTTGTCTATAATACAATATTAGATATAGACAAATCATTTAGAAATTTACGATAATTACATAAATGTCTCTTGAATTAAATCAAAATAAAATTATTCTGAACACGTTCTTTATTTGTATGCCACCTCTATAACTTATTTAAACCATTCTTTTGGTCGTTGTTCTGGTCATTTTGTCCATTGTTCTGTCCATTTTGGGTGTTATTCTGCCCGTTTTGGATGTTCTCTCCACTTTGGCCGTTCTCCCAAACATTGCCTCCCCACATCAGATTTAGGCTCTTCTTCATGCTGTCATCTAGCGGAGGGATAAGAGACCGCGGCAACAGGAATGTGGACAAGTTGAAGAGATCCAGGAAAACTTTGTAACGGTCACTGAAATGGAATATATATTTTGATTATTTACTTGTTAAGTCCGTTGGTAAGTAGTAACCGTCGACTATATACATGTACAACAAAGTAAATTATGTTATTTTACTATTATGAATAGTTATTGTACAAATGATTTTAATTAACACAATACAATAAGAAAAAATATCTTTTCATGAAGGTGATTCCACAATGAGCGTGGAAAAAAATCTGTGGAAGACCGCCATTCGTCCAGATGATTAGGATGTAAGTTCTGGTATATACCTGAGTGTAGAGCGAAGGTACTGGTAACCGGAGGAGCCGCCCGTACCGAGTTGTTGGGACCCGATCATGCGCTGCACCATTATGACGTGGTTGTCTGTAAATAGTATACCATATTTTTTTTATTGCAATGTCAACAGCTAACGGGCCACTTGATGAAATATGGTAACCGTAGATTACAGACTTTGTCTTGGTTAGACATCTCACCCGATAGTTCTGTACTTTACTAGCTAAATCTGAAATTTTGTATGCGAGCAGATAGTTTATAAAAATAACAATAAATTTAAAATTGATAATTGAACTAACACAAATAATGAAACCTGCACCTTACGTTGGGCCAATTGATCTGACTTCATGTTCATTCTATCATCCTCCACTGGTGCCCCGCCAGCGTAAATCGTTAGCGCAGGCGGGTGCACCATTCCATTATCATCCACAAAAAAAAACCTGCACCTTAATGTGTTAAGCCGTTTCTGACATAATCCCCCGTTAATGGGCAAACAGAATTGTAAAAATAATTGTTTTAAATTGTATTACGTTGATAAAGTCCCCCAATAATAGTTTTAACCATAGGTGGTGTAAAGAATAAATTGTTTTTTTTTTCTTGAGTTTTTCTCAAACATCCCAAATATCTCAAATACATCTTTATTATTATTTCTATTTATTTACAATTTCTAGTTATGACTATGACTTCAATGGTGGCAAACGAGGATACGGTCCCTTTGATGGTAAACAGTTATCGTAACCTATAGACGCCTGAAACACCAAGGTTGTCATGTGCGCGTTGCCAACCCTTAAGAAACCTTGATATACCCTTCTTAAAAAACACCATGCTGTAGTCTAAAGAGCTTATTCCACATGCTAAGTGTAACTATTTATGATACAATGTACTTACATCGCCACTTGGTGATAAGACTGTCCATATCCATCAGCAGTGTGAGCAGCTGGTGAGGTTGGGAGAAACGGGGTTCATCTCTGTAGATGGTGATCATGATAGCGCCCTGAAGGGCCTTGTGCGATAACCTGAAATTAAAACCATACGTGTAATAAATCTAGGAGAAACATATGAGTACTACTATGTTATTTTCGGGCCTTGGTGCTCTAGTGCGGTTTAGCACACCGCTTTACCTTCTGATGGATGCGAATTCGATTCTTCGCACGCTACCGAGGGAAGAGCATTGTTAGTAATGGGGACTAGCAGCCCTATTGCCAGTAATGTACTCTGTTGGATGACTCTTATACGGTTGCTCCTGAAAATCATTGTGGTTCATTTGTGACTAAATTTGCTACTATGGTCTAACTAACTGGAATTTGTGCTCATCCTATTATATCACCAGTGCACACCAGCGTATACCGTAAGCTCAGGCATGTGCATTCATCCGTCCATTAAATAAAATGTTTTTATATTCTCTCTATTATTCTACCTCCTCACACACACCAAATTTCTAATAATGTAATTATAATTAACATTTCTTTAAGTTAACACGCAAGTTTCCTTCTCGTTCTGCTTGTGATGAGTCTGCGTTTCGAATAAGTGGTAGAATAAAAAATATGACTATTCAAAACTGCTATTTAGTTTATTTAAATAAACATTATTTATTTTCATTATTCTATTCTATTCTATTCCTGCTTTTTCATTTTCCTTCTAACTTCCTCGGGACTATTCGTATTTATCCGTCCATTACAAAAATATTTTCGTTACCTCCTCTCTCCTCTGGACCGGAGTGCATCGTGGACTGCTGGGTCAAAAATGGAGCGGTAGATCTCGCGTTTATTCTCCGCGTCTTGGAGTCGGTGACGGCGAACATTTTCGTTTGTTTCACGCTGTAATAATAGAAACAAAATAAACTTATTTTTATGTAACTTAAATGGTAGCAGACGAACCCCTGATGGTAAGTTGCAACATTCGAAGATATACATGAACAGGGGCATGCACGTCACGTTATTATATGTACGCCTGTGGCACGAATATTGCAAAAATGAGGAAAATGTGACTCGGACGAAATTGGGCGGATTAGATAGTTTAATATACGACTGGTAACAAATTATTATTACCTGGGCTACCCATCAAGTTGATCAGTATCCTTGTGTACGATTAGTGTTTATGTAAATTTGGGAAATTGACTAATACATTTACGGATGTAAGTAGTATAAATGAATTAGAAGTTGTCACAGTTAAATTGATGTTATGTTTACATTTGTATACATTGTCGCTTAGAAGTCGATCCCTAATTATTTTGTATAAAATTTTGTTTTATTTACTCTAAGCCCTCCTCTGAAAACCAGCGTAGTAGCTTTGGCTGTAACAATATGCTGAGCGAAGTTCTTTTTGGCAAATATTTTATAGTAACGTCTTGGTTTATAATTGTTGTCTTATGTTGATGTTGTCTGTCTGTATGTATGTGTATGTACGTGTGTGCATTAATTTAATATATGCTATTTGTAATGCATGATAATGACAATAATATTTTATGAATAAATATATATTATTATTATGTTAATGTAGTGTAGGTAGGTACCATGGCTACTTCAATATCTTCTGTAATGGTTCTGTTCACTGCCGTCTGGAATTTTCCCCAGAAGTTGAAGCCGTGTGCCTGTAACCCCGGAGTGCGCTCCAGCCATCGTTCTATCAGAGCAAGCAGGGCAGGCTCTTGTTCTGATCTGTAAATATACAGTAACTAGTATCAAATATATCTACGGGACAAGTTTTTTAGGGTTTGAAGTAGATTAGGTGATAGATATCATAGTCTAATTAGGTAGAATTACAATAAAATTTGAATTTTCTGTAAAAAAGATTCTTGATTTATTTTAGCCAATTTTAGCTGCCAAGAAGTAACTAAGACTTTGTAAATTGTTTTAGTTGTAGTTATAGGGATATAGCAGACTAACCAAAGAGTACGGTGGGCATTACATATTAGTCATCCGGACTGTGCACTCATGAGGGGTCCACCACGAGTCTGACACGACAACGTGATGTTCTTTTTTTTCAAACTCACTCAATACTGTTCGCCGCAGGCACTCCAGTCCCGACTTCTCATATTTGGGGTTTATACCCGAAGGACTAGTGGAGGGGTTCGAGTCTTTACTTAGGCCGTTATTCCTTTGAATTAGACAGGGTTTAATTTTTTAGGAAGGTTATTTTAATAGGTAACTTTAGTTTGTAAAATAATATAGTACTCTTTGACACACATACAGTCTATAATAGTTTTTTAATTCACTGTAGCTTGGGATTCAATAATTTAAGGAATATGAAGGACTACTCACTTGTGTAACGCTTCCATGGCTTCAGGATCGTCTCCGAACACGGTCTGATAGTTCTGATTGTACTTCACACGCAGCGCTTGTTTCAGACCTAACTGTAAAAAAGGAATGTACCCTAATCAATAAGTAACTAGGTATATTTTAGTACAGCTGTCTTAATATAATATAGCGGAGATCTTATTGTATGGCATAAACTATTCTAATATATAATAAAATATTTCGAGTAACTTCCGGATGAAACAAAAACTCAATTGTATTGTAGGTAAGAACCATCTCGATTTAAATCAGCTTTAAAACAAAAAAAATAACTAATATTAGAATCGGTCGTTTAGTTTAGGAGCTATGATCATACACCACATACTCATACATACATACGTATGCAGTATAAAAATATTAAGATAAATGATAGATTTATTTCTATCTTCAGCACACATAATATTTTCTTTTAAGATTACATTAGGGACCATTCATAAATTACGTCTCATGAGTTTCTTTATTTTTGACAACATGCTTTGGGCTTGCTTATGTTACTTTGCCGTGATTTTTTAGAGAAAGATTTTTTAAGGACATATGTAGTTAAATATAAACCTCGACCATTACACTCGTGCGAAGTCAGGCAAAATGTGGCAGTACCTATGTATATACCTATAATATATCCTCGGTGGTTTAGTGGTTTAGCACACCGCTTTACTTCCGATGGTCGCGGGTTCGATTCCTTTCACGGTACCAATATGTATATTCGTAAGTATGATTTTTTGTATCGGTCTAGGTGTTCTCTTGTATATAGTGTATGTATTTATATCCGTTGTCTTGTACCCATAACACAAGTACTGCTTAGCTTGGGACTAGATTGCGTGAATTGTCCAGGGATATAATTATTATTATTATAATAAGTAGGTACCTTGTTTTCAAGTAGACGAAACTGTAAACTTTGAAAGCCTGAAGCTGGCCGCAGGTAGTTTCTAAAGTCCATGAAGTCAAGTGGGGTCATCGTCTCTAAGATCATCACCTGGTCCACTAGCAACTGGAATTAATGATATCACTTTGAATTAAGTATCTATTTGTAAATATAGGCATAAGGGAGGGAGAGGATTGTTAGGTAATAATGGTGACATTTATATACGTATAGGTATATGATACCTGACCGGCGCAACTTCGTGAAATTTTCCGTTTTTACAACATTATTTCTGTTCTGTTCTTAAGAACTCACAAATTTTACCTTTGCTGCGTGTATGTCTGTTAAACTAGCCTTAGAATCATTACGTTATTTACGATCAATATATCTTGGTTTCAATAATTAGTCAACAATATTATTATTAATAATATAATCAAAATAAAAGCTATGACACTACGTAATAATGATATAATAGTGTATATCGTTAATATATTATCTACAAAACATAACAATGATGTACCTACTGTGGACGCATAACTTGAGATAACAATTATTACACAATTTGCCGAACCGATTTGATCCCAGAAGTAGGTACATATTGTGAGCCAAGGAGAATGAATGAACGAAAGTATTTATTGTTCCTCTCACAGAAAATACAGTTACATACATAATTGTGTATAAAATGATAAAAAAAAATAATAAAGAAGACAATGAAGTATCAATGAGCGGCCTTATCGCTAAAAAGCTATCTCTTCTAGGCATCTTTAGTATGGAGAGAAATGATTAGATTTGCGTCTGGTAGGGCTGTAACGATGGTAGATATTGGAAGATATTTTATTAACATAAGAACACATATAACAAGGAGACTACTAGGTTTCGCATTATATAATTAAGCACCTAGTTATTTTTGATGATAATGACTGACCACTGGCGTTGATGGTATGGCTTTGGCGGGGCAGCAGTAGAGGATGAACATAATATGAGCATGAAGTCAATAGAATAATAGTCCATTGAGTCATTGAGATTTAATTTTTTTTGTATGGATGACATTGAAAGAGTGCACACGTTTGCGCTAACGGTTTACGCTAAAGTGGCACCAGTGGAGGAAGATAATATGAGCATGAGGTCAAGTCAGTAGCACATTCTGGTAAATTGATTAAGAATTCATATCACGATGTTTCCAGGGGGAAGCAGACGGAGTCAACCTGATATGGAATATTGCTAGAAATGGAGTTATGACTTCATGGTTTAGAATACCCTTTCCCCCTTTCCCTAACAAAAAACCATGATTTTCCTGGGACTCACAAAGTTCGTGTAAACAGTTATGAAATGTATAACCATCTCTTACTCTTAGGAGGGGTATTAATAAACGTTTAAATCTTAGTGTTACAATATGAAATTTTGACAATCAGATGGTCGCGGGTTCTATTCCTCGCACAACGGTACAAACACTTGTATTCAAGAGTATGATTGCTTGTATCAGTCTGGGTGTTTTCTAAGTATATTATATATGTATTTAAAAAATATCAAACAAAAATTATCAGTTGTCTAAAATCCATAACACAAGCTCTGCTTATCTCGGGACTAGATGACATTGAGTGAATTGTCTAGGGGTATTGTTATTATACAATGCTTATCCCATTTGGGTTTAAAGTCATGAGGATAAGTATGTAGAATGGCAAACAAGTTATCGACCCACCTCCGGGCAACAAGATAACATTGTACATCGTCATGTAGATAGTATTGTACAGTGACGTATGGATAACGTGATCATTTATTCATATTCACACCATATCATTCATAATTTGACTCAAAACTGGATATTGGTTTATTTATGTCAATTAATAGACAGTGAATAAAAAAAATAATTTCTTTAAGCATTTTTCAGATAAAGTTAATTAAAAGTTATGTATTATCGGATGAATAAATTTGCTTTAATAATACTAGTGACGCTTTTAAGTAAGACTGAAACTCTTGGAACGTTTTTTTATATTCTCCTTAATTTGAGGAACAATAATCAACATCACAACCGGCCCGCTCGACCACACAAATTTTCGCGGAGTTTCTAAAAACGGAACAATTTTGGGTCCCAGATTTCATTTTGGGATCATCGGGACTCGTAATTATAAAGAGGTGCAGTCCCATTTAAAACGGGACGTCTGGTCACGTTGCGAATGGGGTATCTTATCACATTCATGATTTGTTCATTTCGACCGCATAAAAACATGAATTGACAGCAATGCATCGTTGCACTACTGATAAACTGATTCTGATAAGATGACGATTTAAACTTCAACGATAGTATTGTTTTAAATTATTAGATAATAATCATTAATATCGGTTAAAAAATCGATTCGAAGTAAGAATAATATCTTTTAAAAAGTCGGTTAAAAATAGAGTATTATTTATAATACAATACTAAGTAAACTCTAATTTATTAGCAATATATTTGATACATGGAAATAAATATATTTATTTATTAACTTTAATAAGCGTATTATTCAAAAAATCATTATGTAATTATATAATACAACTTAATCACATTATCAAACATGCAACGCACATAAGAACGCGCGCTCCCCTGGTGTCTCAGGCTACGGTAATCATTTACCATCAGATGCGCCGTATGCTTGTTTGCCACTGTCGTAGTATAAAAAAAACTAATGTCTAATTTTATACATTTTTCGTTTAGTTAAACCACGTTAAACTAACAAGCTAATCAGTAATAGTCTACATTAATCACAGATTATAGAGTTAACAACACTAATATTAGGCATAAAGAAGAAATGTTATACTTGCTTTTGTCGTTACACAAAAGCAAGTATAAACTATAAAAAAACCTATACCACTTTTAATAATTCTATTACTTTTTAGAAAGCTATCACTATTCAGAGAAATAAATTGTGTAGTTTTATTTCTAAAAAATACTATAAATCAGAAATCTAAAATATAGTATTGCGAAATTTGACACGAGGTAGGTATTTAAATTACAGGATAAAAGGCATGAGGTCTTAGTTCTCTGGAACGGCAAGGCACGAGTATCACGGGTGTCATATGATAACGTGATGTCCATAGTACTTTTATATTTATAAGTGACAGTTTCCGCTTACCATTAGTTGGATTATTTTCTTGTTTACCATTCAGCTTGTTTATTCCAATTAAATAATAAACAAACCGGATACACAATTTTTGGCAATTTACTCAGAGTTTTGAATAAAACCTTGAGCATTTGAGAGTCAGTTAGAGATCATTGGGTTATCGGAATCTATTCAGTTTGCGTTAACATTAATTTATAATATTCATTTATGTAGAATCATTGTCATCCGACGGTAAATAATTGGTTTAAGGCTATATTGTTTTTATTCGAATCTTCTGTTAAATGATTTAACGTTTCGTCATCTTGTTTTTAATTATTGTAGTGCAATAGCAGTAGAATAATCAATAACAATAATAAGTCTAACAACTAGTAAGTCGTCGCTGGTTTTATAGCTTTACGAAAACATCGCTATATACTCATTACTCATATATGAAGTTAAGCTTAGAATTTAATAAGCTCAGAATTGAAGCCTATATACATAGCGATTTCCAACTTAGTTTACACACTCAAATGACTCTGTTATACTGGAAAATGTAACAGTGCTATGTGGAAATAGAGTAAAAAAAAACATGTTTTATGCATATTCGCACTACAATACTTTTTTAAGGAAATAGAAATAGAACAGAATCTTTATTCAAATAAATTTAAACACATTTGTATGTATATCAATAAGGAGACTTACTGCGCTTATAAATAAAAGGATCGGTACGGTTCAGCATTATATTTTTAAGATTTAGCGTGAATTGAAACTGCCAAATAGCAGAATTGAGAAAAGTAAATAAATAGTTACTTAAGTAACAAAATAAATCAGTTATAGTCATTAGAGCAGACCAGTGCCTACAAGCAGCATACGTTCAAGAGTATAATGGGTGACAGACAGTTATTATTAGTGCAGTGACTGCAAAGAAACTAATAGTTTTCTATGTATAGTATGTATGTATATGTATGTATGTATGTATATGTATGTTGTATGTATATGTATGTTGTATGTATATGTATGTATGTATGTATATGTATGTTGTATGTATATGTATGTATGTATGTATATGTATGTATGTATGTATGTATATACCTTGAGAATCAGTACGACTCTGTTCAGCCTCTTCAGGATCTCCATAGTGTGACTCTCGTCCAGACCTTCTACGTCGAGGAGAGATCTCACAGAATCTACTTCGTAGATGATCTGCTTGAACCATAGTTCGTATGCTGAAAATAAATAGTGACATTCAGTTACTGCCTTATGTTCTTCGGTCACACGTTCGATCCTTGCAATTCTTAAATTTAAATTAAAAATTGTTTAAGCATAGGTATCAGTTATTTCAGTACCCATAACACAAGAGCGAATTGGATACTGCTCGGTTTTGACCAGTTATTTATCTATATCTTGAGATGTTTCGATGTCAACAGTTTCTCATAGTAACCTCATATAAAACCACAAGATTAGAGAGCGAACCCCAGTGAGAATATTCTATGTACATAAACCTATACCTACCGGATTACTTGGTTTACTTGGAAAACAAATATATTAGTGTTAATAAACAAATAATTAGTGATAGTTATATTTTTTTGTTGATTTATTTTATTTCACTACCTGAAAAGTTTTTAGAAAACACAAAAATCGCGTTATCGTGTATGTATATGTTGAGTGTTGACACAGCGTAATCTAGTTCCAAGCTAAGTAGAGCTTGTGTTATGGGTAGGTACTAGACAATTAAGAGATATATATAGATACATTTTTTTATAAATAGGTACATATTGAATATACCCAGACCAATTCAAACAATATAATGTTATCAAAGGCGCGACAATCGGAAGTAAAACCGTGTGCTAAACCACTAGATCATCAAAATGCGGTACAAAATCAGGTATTGCGAGAAGTTTTTTTTATACAATGGGCAGAAGTTAATGAATATTTTCAATGAAATTTGTAATAAGAAGTAAGAGAAAATGTTTATAAAAAAAAATAATATCGTAATATTCTTTCAGAATTGAATCCTTATATACCTTGATGTGTTACTATAAAAAGATGTTCATCGTGCACAGGTGTAGAAGATTCAGCGCTGAGCATTCTCTGCGCACTGAGGAGTTTATCCAGCATCAGATATTCCCCGTACAGCATGCCAGCCTCATTGCCAAGATGATTGCCATCCTGGCCTATGTCCTCCAAAGACCTAAAAAGAAAACATTTTTTTTAAAACAATAATATAAAACAATAATAAATAATAAATTTAAAACAATAATAGAACTGTTATTGAGTTTCTTCACGGTTCTTTACAATTGTTTAAAAGAGATATTTATCGTGAGATTTATATTAGAGAGCTCTCGATATTTTTTATATATAATGTGAACAAAAACAATAGGATGTTTTTACTGAAACTTAGCAGATTGATTATTTGGTTCCTTTAAAAAATATTGGCAGTTTTTCTGACTTTCGACTGCAATTTTTTATACATAACATGGTGTATATCCGTTCTCGTGGTACAATCTATCTTTACGGCACAGACAGATCCTTTCATCCATTTAATTTTGAAAATGTAACAAATAGACGAACCGACAAACAGGTGGAATTCAATAAAAATAATAGATGAGTATTATAAATGAGAAAATAATATTAATAATGAATTAATCAATAATAATAGGGAATTACAGATTTGTAGGTATGCCAAGGTAATTCACACAGTATCAGAAACTCGCGTGTTGCAACATAACAACAACAACTTGTATGTCGATAAACGGTTCATCATCAGAAAAATATGTATACAATTAAGTAATAATAAATTTTTAATAATAATCACTACTATATAAACACCTTTATAATTATTTAATGGCGATTTACAATGTCATAATGTAGCATAGAATCAAGATATGCGAATGAGTTACTGTAATATATTAGCAAATATTATATTATCTGTGATATTAGTAAACAAACCATGTACAGAGGGGGAAGGAAATGGTTATTAATGAGGACTGATGACCCCATTGCTAGTAATGTACCATGTCAGATTGACCTCCACACGGTTCCCCCTGGAAACTATCGTGACAAATTCCTACCAAACCTGGCGTTATCTCCGGTGTTGATATCTGGCCTGACAGCCTTTTGGGACAAGTCCCTGAAGCTAACTTAAGCTCTAAAATCTAAGCTAGGGCTTTAAAAAAATATGTATATTTACATTACCTTAAGATGTAGTAGGTACCGTACATGGGTACTGGTTTTTGTTTTGTATTTAATGTACATTATATACGTTTATTGTTGTTACAATATAATAATAAAGGTGTATAAATGATCCCTGTTAGATGCTAGATTTGTTGATATCGGCCATATTCGAACTCACGACGTCTTTGATGTTATTCAGGGTAGTATACCACCAAACCACAAGACTCTCCAATATCAGATACAATACAGAAAATATGTTAACCTATTTAATTCCGAAGATAACGTAAACAAAGTCGCAGATACGCCTAGTTTTAAATAAGATGAATAACTGTGACGCAAATGGATCGTTAAAGGAAACATTGTTCGCAATTGATCAATTAATATTAACAAGTTCAGTTGAACCGGTGGACGGGTAATTATAGGTAACTCAGACCTATAACAATAACCTGCTTAGCAACAAACACGAGACACTGCAATGCCTCAGTGATATTGTATCGAAACAGACTATAAAAAGGATAATTTTATCAATAGACTATTACCTAGTCTTATTATTAATATTATAAACGCGAAAGTTTGTGACTATGGATCGATAGATGGATGGATGTTTGTTACTCTTTCACTCAAAAACTACTGAACGGATTTAGATGAATCTTTATAGTTTAGACATCAGAATAACATATAGGCTATAAATTAGGTACACATGGTTGAAACCGCGGGCACAGTTGTATATGATAATTTCGCCGATTTTGGAATGATTTCGTGAGATATATCGAAATTACAGAATAAGAGGCACGACATTAGTCATCCGAAATGGTAACGCATGAGCGTTATCACGGGCTTACGTGATACATGATAACGTGATGTCTGTAATGTTGTTCATGTATATAGTCGACGATTGTTCTAACTATATAATAAAAGGAATTTCATATGGTTTTTATTATTGTTGATACTACAACGCTCTATATAATAGGACTAAAAATATATTAATGTAAATTCAATACAATTTAAAAGAACATAAAATAATATCTATTCATGAAAATAACAAATAAATACTTTAGTGTATTTATTTGTTATTTTCACAGTTGTCATGAAAATATATGTTACTAATAGATATATAAAATACGCTTGTCGTGGTGTTTGTTACCAAACTCGTCCAAAGCGGCATTACCGATTTTTATAGGTTCTCAAACCTACCACAGGTTTGAGAATCAGGCAATCATCACTTTTCATCATCTGTCAACGGCGAAAATGAAACATCTATTTTTCAAACCCTCGATGATAAAGGTAAATATTTACTTTTATTTTTTAACTATTTTTTTATATAATTTTTTATGATCCGCCATTAAATAAACCCTAAATTTTCACCCATCTACCATCAACACCTATATTTTATGGTGATACTAGTACTTCAATTTATATGGCAAAACATTTGCTGGGTTAGCTAGTATAATATATAAATTATACAAAAACAGATTGCTACGTATATAGATCTTGTAAATGTTCAGTAAAAAAAATAAACTGACGTATATAAATATTTGATCAAGTGACATTTATCGAATTCATAATGGTGAATAAATCTTTAATCATACTTAATCATTAATTTCAGACTCACGGGCGTCACGTGATATGTCCTCGGTGCTGTTTTTTTTATATAAGTAAAATGGCAAACAATCTAACTGCTGAACAGATGGTAAGTGGGTTACCGCTTACCATGCCTACTTACCTGACAGGACCACGTACATCACGCTTCCATGCGCGTCCGTGATACCACTGATGCTTTGCTATTCAGGAAAACTAAGATGTCATGCCTCTTATCCTGTAATTCACTAACTAATCTACACCCTACAGCCGAAATACAGCTTACAAATAATACAATCAATAATATAACAGAATACAATGTGAAAATATTTTTTGACGGTTTAGGTCGTCTAGCGGTCTACTACACCGCTTTCCTTCCGATGGTCGCGGGTTCGATTCCTCAAACGGTAAAAACATTTGTATTCATTAGTATTAGTGTTTCTGGTTAGTTATGTATATTATGTATACATGTATTTACAAAAAAACCTATGTATTTATATAAGTTGTCTAGTACGCATAATAGAAGTTCTGCTTAGTTTGGGACTCTGACCTTCAGCATCAGAAAAAGGGATTAACAGAAATGGTGATACATCACACTATCGCTAGCAATACTCTATATCCGGTCAACCGGAAACCGGCGTCCATACGTGAGACGTAAATATTTTGTGTGAAATTGTGGTACTTATGTGTAACTATAGGCGCCACGATAATATTAGATTTCTCTGCTTACACAGTAAAAGTTTGTTGAGAATGTAAACTTACATAGAACGTGTACAACTTAACCTCAGCGCTACCTACATGCTTCAGAGCATAAACTAAAAATCTAGGAATACTTCATATCTGAATATTTTTTAATTAATTTGTCTTAAAATTTACGGATGCATTAAGATATTGTAGGTATAATAAGTAAGTAAAATATTAAATAATAATTATATTAACAGTCGAAGATTTTTATTAATTAAACATTATAACTTTGTAAACTCACCTCATGGGACATGCCATTTTGCCTTATATTTGTTTTAAAAAATAAACACTAATAATACTTTTTAAATTTGAAATTCGAAACTGGAACGTTCGCGTGTTGGGTGCACACTTTCGCGGCGTGCGGTCACTTGATACTGAATGACTGACTAGCGATCGTGCTGTTCGTTCCACTTGGTATAGATTTCGTCACTCGCCCCATGATAACAAAAAGTACATGTAACTTAAGACCATGTGGTATTGATTGACTTGCACTTTGAAAATGTTACTGTCGACCAAGCAGAATGGCGACCGAGCGATGGGGGAAATAGCGCGAACAGTTATGCTGCCAAGTGCGTGAAATGCGTCAAGAAAAATGATAGTGCAGGAAATACGCGCCATATTTTGTTTAGAGAATGATGCGGAATCAGGTCATAGGGTCACAATAATATACAGTTCACATTATTGTTTGGTTGGATAACGAATATTTTTTTAACTGATATTGATAAGACTGCAGTTGACGTATTGATTCTGACGTTGAACTTAATACATTCCAATGCGCATACGCATACCTAGAGATGATAACTTATTAGTAAATTAAAGAATGTAAAACCCAATTTACTTTCTCTTGTTCACGATAGAGAAAAGAAGAAAGCAAACAATAGTTTGCGATCCACAGGATTAGTGGTAGGATTCAGCCGATTCTACATGAACGAGTATTCTATTTATCTTTGGATCTACTGAACCACTTTCGCGAAGACACAAAGTGAAAATCTGAAAATATATTTCTATCCTTTCGTACCAAATTGATCACGTGACCAACCAGTTTTGTGCCGAATTTAAAAATAATTTTCAATTTTCTTCTGATAGGATATGGCTATAAATAGAAAATTTATTTCTAATTCTAGTCTTTTATACGTAAAATGCAACAAACATCCCAACACCATCCTTAATAACTTTCGCGTTTACCATATTAATAGAAATTAATAGTATTATACTTACTAACAGATTAACAAACTTTATTTTAGAACAAGGAAAGTCAACGAGAAAACGACCGTAGAAGCAGAAACCTACAGAGCCAAGTTCAAAGACACGTCTCTATTTTTTTAGCGCTAAAAAAATAACCGCTGCACGCACGAATATAGTTCAAATTAATTAGTAAGTGATAACGTATATGAAGTGACTGGCATAACGTTATAAGTTAAACAAAACCAGTTACTGCACGAACTCGAATAACTAGTTCCAACTTCCATCACTTAAATTTCAAGTTCAAGCAATCGACACAATGTATTGCCTCAGTGTAATGACGCAACAAATACAATTTGGCATCAGCAGACGCCAAGTCGCGCTAAAGCTATAATAACTTATTATTTAATCTGTAGCGAAAGGTTAATTTTTTGTAGATATCGAGTTCTGTAGAGTAATTACTGTATCTATATATAAATACTAATTTAAGTCCAGGGTCGGATTAGGTAGAGTAGGCAACAGCTTAGGGTCCTGTATCGGCGGTTTAGGCAGAGTAGGCAACTATGGCCCCGTATCGGCGGATTAGGCAGAGTACGCAACAGTCTAGGGGGTCCATATCGGCTTGGGGCCTCATACGTAAAAAGAATTGAAAAGGTTTCTTAGAATGAATATTTAATCGGAAATTTTCTGTCTTCAATCAAAAGTAAGATGTGAGTTAATAAAATACTTGTTTGATGTTTAGACTACCGACTCGTCTAGTATGGAATAGTAGAATTGAGAATCGGTTGCATATTTTACGAACGTAATCTAATATTTTAAAATTAATTCCATCTTAACATCAACTTGAAAAGTGCTGATGCTCTCAAACTGCTGAAATAGCTTTATTTTTTAAACACGGGCCAAGACTTGTTTACAGGCCCCTCGATATTGTTAATCCAGCCCTGTTTTTATTTTATCCATATTTAACATATGTAATTAGTGGTCAAAATTCGACCATATTACGAGTATTTATTACCTATATTTAAATTTTAAATTTGAACGTTATAAAAGTTAAAGATGTAGATGTACGGATATGTTGAGATGAGAAATGCATGGTAGTGTAATAATATTTATTTTATTTATGTATACTTCATCCTTATTATGTGTCCTTAGTTGTTCTATGTGTATGTATTTTTTATTGCTATATTACTTATTTCTTCATCTACAGTGTGCGATTTACGATTCCTTATTGTAAATATCTTATCTCCCATGTTGTTGGTAAAAGATTGCTTTAAGTTAAAGCAATTTAAGTATTAAAGCAATTTTAATAAAAGTTAAAGCAAAAATTTTTGTAAAGCACCTTTATGCAGTGTCCTTTATGTATTTACATTTTCAGTGCGGAATAACCACATGGAAGTCGACAAGAACTGATACGTTCAATATCTAAGTTGAAATCGTGGTATAGTAAGTAATAATTAAAATATTAATATCTTGGAAAATTCACACATGTCCCGATATAAGCAGAGCTTCTGTTATGAGCAACTATAACTAGACAACTGATATCCTTAGATTTTTTTTGTTAATATGTATATAATACACATCGAACTCACCCGGACCAATACAAACAATCATACTTATGAATACAAAAGTTTGTACCGTGCGAAGATTCGAATCCGTGACCATTAAACCACTGAGGCCGTCAAATTTAGTTACATATTATATAGATATATATTGTTATATTGACGACGACATAAAATAATAATGATTAGACTAGATACTACACACTTTCATTGTAATCTTTCTCAGCTAACACACTACTTCTATATCAAGTAGGTAGTTCTAATTTCTTGTAACTCATTGGAAGTAGATACGAAATAATTTAATTCGATCTCTGATATATCTTCTCTGTCCATATCTAAATTTTTGAGAACATTGGAGATATTAGTTACCTGAAAATCGAATGTGTGCGGTCTATTAATTATATATACCTATATATATATTGACGGCGAGATAAATTAAGAAAACATACTCTGTTTTCAACAAATATTTTATTGTAATAATTTTTGACATTTTAATTTATTTTTTTCATACAAAATTAATGTAGGCTGCCGGTACCTAACTGTCAACTTGCAACATCTTGTAACAGCTCCTTTATAACATTTAAGGGTCGCCAATTGTTGGAAATCGTGCTGTGCGGTCATTTAACTATATAAATATATTATTTTGCCAGCGATATGAAATAATAACTACATTAGCTACATTTCCAGTTTTCAACAAACACTTTTATTGTAACGTTTTTGACACATCACATTTATTTTTCTATATAATTTTTATATATATATATTGGCCTATGCGTCTGTTATAGACGATTTATGGCGTAATGGTCCGTGAACAGCTCTTAATTGATATAGGTTGCCAGTAACTATCAACTTGCAACAACTATGTCATCATCATCATCATCAAATATATATATTTAGCGGCGATGATTGGGCCACTGTTCAATTATTGTAATAATAATAATCTGAAGTCAATTTACACAGCGTCATCTAGACTCAAGTTAAGTTAGCTACAGCTTGTGTTATGCGTACTAGATAACTGATACAAATACATAGATATTTTGTTTTCGTAAATACATACATAGAAAACACTCAGACCGACAAGAACAATCAGACTCATGAATACAACTGTTTGTGCCGTGCGAGGAATCGAATCGGCGCCTATCGGAAGTACCTAAGCGTTTATTACGTGTTCGTAATATATGTAATATTATATTATCTGTGGTAAATATCAAGGGCAGCGAAAGGAATCGGAAGGTGATATGATTAGTCCATATTTATATAGTAGATGGAAGGTGTAGAATATCTATGTACTTACATAACAATTATATTTACAAAGTTATATTACAAGTAAAGGATTTGGTCCCGAATTGACAGGCTAGTCGTTAAGATAATTTCGGAGGTTGGCAGCAAACGACAGTGTGGCACCCGCAATAATGAGTGTACTTTCGTCTAGGAATGAATATGTACGACTGTCATCCATCCAAGAAATGCCGAAGTTGGCCTTAGGCATTTCTTGGATGGATGACTGTGATTCAAAATCGGCGAAAGAACGGCAAAAAGTCAATCATTGATACTGTAAGTCCTTATAAAGTAGAATTAGAAAAAAGAAAAAACAAGAGGAAGAATAAATTGCCAAAAAAGAAGATACGACTTGATCTGAAAATAAATAAAATGATGAGCAGGAATTATTTTGCCCACTGTGTGGAGAAAAATACATATTTCCACCGAATGAAGACTGGATCCAATACAGCATCTGTAAGAGCTGGTGGCATGAACAATGCAATAACTTTGAAAAGGAAATATTTGAACTGATGTATTATTAGGTGTTACTGAGTATGTCTATTTTCTGGTTTATCGTATATTTACTGTATGTTACATGTTGCGTACACTTACCCGCACTACTGCGCACAGTTACCCCTATACTTGGGTAAGTGTACGCATTTAAACAGTTTTGATTTTGTTGATTTCCAAAGAATTTGTGTAAATGGTAATTATTTATTTTGCGTTTAAGTTGTTGATTATTAAATATTTTATATAATAAACCTTGTTTTGTTCCAGTTAACTTCAAATATTTAATTATTTGATACTTCAAACCTTAAGTACACTTGCGTACACTTGCCCCACGTGACTCTACAACTATTGGACAGATAAAATATAATTAAAATATTCTTTTACTAATTAATGGCACTACGACAAGTACCTATGTATAGTTGGATATTTATATTTGAGTAGAATATTACGGCGAATATTAGTCGAGTAGCTGTGGATTTTGAATAAATATTATAAATTAAAATTTTATAAAAATGTAAAACGATCGAGGAAAAATAATTGCAAATAATATTAATCATTCGATTTGTATTTTTCCGCATAGCATGCTTGCAAAATATTCAAAGCATGGTATGCTTAAGTATACGGAAAAAATATAATATAACTAAGAACAGAGATAAAATTGTGCTGTAGTAGTTTATAGAAAGAAACATTCATTTAAGAGTGGACATTATCACTCGGCTTCCTATTATAATTAAGAATAATTTATTTCAATAAAAATTAAAAACATTCGTATTCGATTACAAATATTATTAACTATATAAATACAGTTAAAAAATCAGTATATAGTTGAAAAAATCTTTACCTTCCGTGCTAGTTAAATAATTGTGTTACGGTTATGTGCTTATAGGGATATCTATTTATAAGCAACAAGCAAGTTTCTTTTTCTGAATTTGAGTGGTAGTGTAAAAGACACGAATATTCAAAAGTGCTTCTATTAAGTTTGTTTGATGGAAGATTATTTTTATTATTATTAGAAAAACTATAAACTTTTTAGTAAAATTCTTTGGATATTTTTTTAATAAATAGGTACGAAAGTCTCATCTATCACACTCGTGTCAAATTTTTTTAATATCAACTAAAGTCAAAGTGTTATTTTCTTAGTTATTTCAATTTTAAATTCACGTTATATTTTTGCTTACAAATATTAAATTTAAGTTATCTATTTGTGTTTTGTGTTGATATTGAGTTACATGTAATAACAGGTACCTACTTTAGGATTTAATAGTCATGTTTACAGCGTCTAAACTGATAAGGTAATTATTAAAATGAAGTAGTTATTATATAAATATCTAACTAATAACAAGTAATTTACGTGTTACTTAGGAAAGCATTTAATCTATTCAGACTTACTGTTATTTACCAGATCGTTCATGTAACTATTAACTACCTACGTAATTATAGATTTAATAAAGTATCTACCTACTAAAATATATATTCCAGTAAATTCGTTAAGTACATCTGTGGTAAATAGAGTTTTTTAAATTTTTATTTTTAGATTTCCACAAAATATTAAATTGTCTTAATAAACGCATATACCTCTATGTATGTATGTACGTACTTTATTATGTAGAATATATAATTTTGTTATTGTTGGCAATAAATAGATCTTTTTTTTAATATAAATAATAATAAATAAATATATATAAATGTAATGGTTGCTTTATAAAAATTGGTATTTTACAGGTACATTTCATTAGCTCATACAGAACGGAAGCAATACGTTACATTGTCGTTTATTCTTTAAAACATTGTGACATTCATTATTTATAATTCTAATTTTCCAAGAATGAAATCATATAAAATATATATATTAAACAATCTAAAGTCGTAAGATTATTGAAAAAGTAATAATTCTCAGATTGGACAGATTAAACCAGACAATATATCCTGTAAAATATTAACCGTCAGTTTGATATTGACATATGTTTATGTTTGACATTGACGTACAGGTAACAAGGTTTGACGTGATGTCTTATTATTTACGCACTATCGAGGTTTACTAACCATTTCAAAATAAATCACTTGGAAAGTCTGAAAATATTACAACTTTTGTCCTTACGATAATTACAAGTTATTATAATATATTTCACAATTAATATTACCTTCAATTAGTAACTTGATTTTAAGGGTTTTTGTGCAATTATTAGAGGTATGTGCAAACAACTTGTATTTTGTTATAAATAAATAGGTGAAAGAAACATAAATAAATCAACTGATTATATACAACACAGTGATTTAAAAATCTAATACAAATGTAATCTTATCCAATTACATTTAGATAAGGCTGTAAACTGAATTGATCGAATATGTATGTATGACATCAGTCATTACTCACTAAAATAGTGTTAGACTTAACTTCCTTTCAATAATACTTGTAAAATTGACCTATTTTTGTGTATAATTATAGTGTGTGCCGAATCAATAAATGATAACATAAATATTTATGTTGGTTTTAGTATAAAACATATTTAATTCAGCAAGTATATAGAAATACACATAATTTGTAGTATATAGATATTTATCATGTTTTCTAAAAGGTAAGTTGAAGAATTTGATTCAATTTTATTGAATTGTAAAGTGAAATATTTTCACTTTCGAGTATTTTGTTATCATAATTTATGTAATATACCTATATGTATATGAGGTATTTTTTACTAATATCATTTAATACTTCTCATAGAAAACATTGTTTGAAATCTGTTAATTTTAATGGAGTAGGGCAAGGGTGAAATCATTATCACTTACTCGATTGTTAAGAATTAACCATAATAGACATAAGAGGACTAAGTGGAGATTGACCTGTTCCTCCTATGCCAAAAGAATTGAAATCAGAAGTTAATTTTAATAAAAATATTTTAGTTAGAAGTCCCACAAATAATTATAATTTCATTATAAAGGGCATTATTATTATTATTATTATATTTAATAACATTTTTGTTTATTTTTTACTATTGACTGTCTTTATGGTTTATAGAAATTAATGCTCATCCTACCAACCACCAATAGCGCATTTGAAAATGTTAGAACTGGAGCAATAGCCATTACAATACATTCATAAGTTCTTTTACAGAGTGATGGGGCAAACCCTTTCTGAACCGGTGACTGATAAGCAGTCATCAACATGCCAGGACACAAGATATCTTGTTGGATCCTCATGTATGCAAGGCTGGAGAGTATCCATGGATGACTCCCATACACAAATTCTGTCTTTGCCTGATGATCCCGGTACAGCTTTCTTTGCAGTGTATGATGGGCATGGTGGTTAGTACAATAATACAGTGAACACTAGAATAGAATAGAATATATCTTTTGTTAATTCAACACTTCATATGTTTGCATTATACTAGATGTGCCCAATAGTTTATGACTGGACTGGATGATGATGATGATGTGGCAGTAGAACATGGCAGTTTTCTCTGTTTATTTGTTTTGCTTGTATCCTTGCCATCGCTGAGGAGTAATTTATAAATACAAATTTTAAAATTTTGTTAATGTACCCAAAACTAAATTTGAATTTACGACATTAGGAATTGAAGTTGATTTTGCAAACCACTAGGTCACAGCACTCTCATTTATGTAGTTATGTATGTAGATAGGAGTGCATAAAATGAGGTTGTTGATTCTACCTTGCTATAATCAACGTACAACAAAACAGTTTTTATATTATAAAAACAGAATGTAAATATTTTGCTAGCTAGATGCATATCTTACAATGTAAGTGTTATCATTAGTTTTGTAATCATTGGATTAATTAATTAAAAAAAACATTGTCAGTGTAAATGTAAATAAATCAATCATTTAGCAATGTACCCTGTCAGGTCCATCTCCATTCACTTATAAAAGCATTCTGGTGAATTCGCCAGGATGCTCAGCAGTTCACCCTGATGTGACTTACTCATCCTATCATCCTCCACTGTTGCCACGTCAGTAAATATCGTTAGCAAAATCAGGCCTATATATCATTATCATCCAGTAAAAAAACATGCTTTAATTATATGTGTAAGTTTTAAAGCAGTAAAATAGTGTAAAAATCACGGCCGAAATGATAGACTAAAGCGTAACTAAACATGTGTTATTTAATATAATGTTTATGCCTTATCTTTATTGTATGTTATGAGTATACTAGTGCAATATTTGTTTCCAGGTGCAAATATAGCAGAATATGCCGGGAAGCATTTGCACAAGTTTATAACAGCAAGGCCGGAGTACCATCTTGGGAACATTGAGGAAGCACTTAAACAGGTATGTATGTACAGTAGTTTTAGTGTGATATCGGGACAGAAAGTCAGACAGAGTTACTTTCGCATTTATAATATTAGTAAGGCCAATAAAGTGGTGCACCCATCTGCAATGGTGGGGCAGCAGTGGTATATGATAAGATCAGAATGAAGTCAGCTCAGTTAGACCATTGTCATCACCACTTCATCCCGACCGTAAGAGGGACTGTGGAGGAGTCCTCTGAAGTAGAGTTTGTAGAAAGTTCTCTGCGTGCCACAGTCTCACCTATTCCTGCCGTCAACCTCATTGTGTTATGTATTTTGTGGGGTCAGATAAGGTAGGCACAGCAATAACATTACAGGATAAGTATGTTATACAGTATGTATATGGTACATTTGATTTAGGTATGTATTTTATTCATATTTATCTATAGCCTTATATATAGTGTACATACACTATATATAAGGCTACTTTGTTATTTGTATATGTATGTTTACATGTACTTACTTGTAGTAAATATATATTATTTATGACATAGGTATTATTTTTCTTATTGATTACATTTGCACCGCCTACTTTCTCTGCACAAACTGTGGTTGACTGGTAGAAACGTCGTAAGGCGTTAAGTTCGCCATATGTACTTTTACCTTGGTTTTTTGTGCATTGAAATTATATAAATAAATAAATAAGGGGCATACTATCTTAATTGTCAAGAATGACTTTTATCACGGGCATCAAATGATAATCTTCTGTACTTTCATATAAGCAACGGTTACCACTTACCATCATGTGACCCGTCAGCTTGTTTGCGATTTAATTACATATAAAATGTAACTGAAGTCAGGTTATTAACACAATATGGCAGATTCTTTAGGAATATCCAGTTGATACTGCGTGAAAACGACCAACTGTAGACATATTGTTAACAATGAGACTAGTCCCTATTACTAACAAACCCTCCCCCCTTATTATAAAGTTCCATTGTTTCTGCTCACCCCAATGTACAGACAGTTTAACTCTGTCCTGTTTTTTTTTCAGTAGGTATTATGATGTATATTCTATTTACATAATTTCTATTTACAAAAGAGGAAAACGTTTAAAAATACTATCTCATTATAATGTTTGTTTTATTTGAAAGATAATATTTTACGAAGTAGGGTAGTGTAACGATATCCACATTAGTAAACAATACTGTCGTAGCCGTCATCACCTCCTTAGACAAAGGCGAACTACTGGAACGCTATCCAGTAGTTCATAACAATAAAATATAATAAAAAAAGAGCAAAGGCATGCATAATTACGATTTACAATTATAATAAATTTTCTTTATCTGAAATTTAGTTATCTCAATTAATATGGACGCTTACAGGAACATAAATATATTAAAATACAAAATTCTTGTTGATTTGTGTTGTTGTTTCTTGAGTTGAGTTAGACACGGCATACTCTACGTTTGCCTATTACCTACATTTTCACGCTACGTATTCTCGGATATAAAATGTGTAAATTACTAATTATAACATAGTATGATGTAATAGTGAATTTCTTGCGACCTTGTAAGAGAATTCAGAATTGCATGTTGCATACGAATCGTGACGTATATAATTAACGCAAATAAAAAAATAGCCTTCACAGTTTAGAGGTCGAACAAGTACATCGTTTGAATATAATTTTTAAATAGTATTTGTTTAAAATTACTTGCTATTAGGTATGTTTCGAAAGACTGTGTTTGAAATACGACTTTATGTATACTATTTTGTAGGTATAATCTTTATATATAAAAATTACGTGTTACGTTGTTTGTCCACGATGGACTACTAAACTACTGAACCGATTCCAAATTTGATTTGGCACATTGTGTGCAATTTGATCAAACTTGAAAGATAGGATAGCTTACATCTCAATTTATAGTCGCAATATTATTTTATTGCCTTAGTCACAGCAAAGCGTGGCCGGGTCTGTACACTATAAATAATAAAAATGAATTATTTAAATTATATTTAATGTATGAACAGTCATCGTACACTAAAATGGAATAGCAACAAAAAAATTACAACATTTATTAGATAATAAAACAATGGAATTGACGTCATTATTGTTCTCTGAGTACATTTGCGATCAGTCACAGGACTATAAGCGAATATGTATTGTGATGCTGTCATGTAGAGTGGCTTCTCATTGGAAACTACTCATCTGCATCCCAGAGTTATTGCCGATCTTCTAGCTCCAGGATATAATGGCGTTTTATATTCAATAGAATGTAGGAACAAAATCAAAATAATATTTTGAGCAATTACCTTTTAAAGAATTGAAATATTTTTTTAGGCTATTGATTTAGTATAAATATAGAAAAAGGGTTGTAAGTGCTTGAAAAGGGCATATCCCTTTTCAAAGATTGTATGGAAGTATAGTCATTTTCAAAGCTATAACCTTGAAACTTATTTTTTAAGCTTTTGATTGAGTTGTAGGGAATGGAAATTCGTCATTTTTGAAGTTAGAACAATGAAATTTTTTTATTGGGTTAAATTATTAAATATTTCTTTCATTATTTGGTCAAGGTCACTATTTTACGCGGGCGAAGTCGCAGGTACGGCTGGTATATGTATTTGACATAATTATTATACAATCAATTGTAATTACAGTTGACATGCTAGTGTGGAACGAGATGTGTTATAATTGTGAATAAAATAATATGAAATTGTAGATAAATTGACATTGAATTGTTTTGTTTCAAAGTTATGTCATAGACAGACCGTATCAAATATTATATCGTATTTTTAATTAAAATTAGACTTATACATTTTCATTTTATATGTAGTAACGTTGTAGTTTTTAAGTAAGTAAGTAAATATTACAATGAAATACCGCCAGGACTACTGTCCCAGCTGGGGTAGTCCACGTGGCGATAACTAATGACTTGCCCACATTTTGCTCGGTATATTTGAATCTATAGGAGGAGCATAGCACTGTGTTTTTATTAAGTTGGTTTGTTTGCAGAGTTTGATTTCCGGAGAGTAAAATATATTTTTGTATAGGTATATAGATTTGGTGTATATAAAGATATTTTAGGGTACATAATATCAATATTGCTGTTTATGTATTATGCATAGGCGATGTCACCACTGTCTTTCTAGTCTCATTTTGTGGAAGTTGCATATAAGTAGATAAGATTATACATTCGTATCTTAGTACACACATATAGGCTTAATTGCAATCAATATTTTCCAGGGTTTCCTAGATGTTGACCAGGCGATGTTGGAAGAGGATATGCTGCAAGAGAAGGTAGCTGGTAGTACCGCCGTTGTTGTGCTGGTAAAAGAGAACACCCTATACTGTGCCAATGTCGGTGACTCCAGGGCTATTGCTAGCGTAAGGGGCCAGGTTAGTGACCATTTAATATTTATGCGCAAACCAACTGTGCCCGCGGTATCATATTATTATAAAGTTCCAGTAACATCCATTCAGTATGCTATTGAAACTATTTCAGTAGTGAACGGATTTTGATGAAACTACGGTAATATAGCTTATACATCAGAATACATATAGGCTATAAATTTCACGCGGAACGAAGCGGCGGGCACAGCTTGTATGTAATAATAATATAAATGTAAATCATCTGTGTGGTCACAGCACTGACGACGGCAATCTACCACGGTAGCGCCGATACACGACGTCCTTCCGCCAGTAGTCCTTCATTTATAGGTGGAGGTGCTCTCCTACGATCACAAGCCTAACAACGAGGAGGAGTTGCGCAGGATCACAGCAGGAGGCGGCTGGGTGCAACTGAACCGGGTCAACGGTAACTTAGCGCTTTCACGAGCACTCGGAGACTACGTGTTCAAACGGAACTACAGGCTTTCACCGCAAGAGCAGATTGTTACTGGTAAGCACATTTGTTTATACTACGATGCTGGCAAACAAGCATACAGCCGTTCTGGTGGTAAATGGTTAGCAATGCCTGAGATACCAGGGGTCACGTGCGCTGCCGAACTTTATTTTTGATACATAATATACATAAAAAATACTCAGCCTCTATACTCTATACATAAAAATAAAATTGGAGTGTCTGTTTGTAATATTGAAATAACCGTTTTTTACTACATGCATATGAATATAAATACGGTACATACACTAAAATAACATATTTTACAATTTTTGTCTGTCTGTCTGTTTGTTCCGGATAATCTCTGAAATGGCTGGACTGATTACTGATTTTCTTAATTCCACACGGACGAAATCGCGGGTACAGCTTCTACAGCGCGGGTACAGCTGCATAATAAGAGTCATGATTATTATTGTTTGTACCGTGCGAGAAATTAAATCTATGACCATCGGAAGTGTGGGTATGTACTAAACCGCTAGACCACATAGGCCTGGTTTGTATCGCTCAGGATGTTTACTATGTATATGTGTATGTATTTCTAAAATAAATGTATCTGTGTTTATATCAATTGTCTAGAACCCATTACAAGCTCTTCCTAGCTTAGCGCTCTAGATGGCGCTGTGTAAATTGTCCTGAGATATTATTATTATATTATTGGTCGTCTACAAGGCATTAATAATAAGCTTTCTTTGCTTGTAGCGTATCCGGACGTGCAAGTACGACATCTTAATGATGACTGGGAGTTCATCGTGATCGCATGTGATGGTATTTGGGAGGTGATGACTAATGAGGTAAGGAAAAGACGGTTCTTCATTTTATTATATTCTAGCTACCCGCCCCGGCTTCGCACGGGTATGTACATATATATAAACATATATATAATATATATAAACCTTCCTCTTCAATCATTTGTAACTATTGCTAAAAATTGTATTAAAATCTGTTGCGTAGTTTAAAAGATCTAAGTGAACAGACAGCGGAAACTTCATTTTATACTATTTGAAACAAACATACTAATGATGCCAATTTTTGAATTCAGAAATTTCGATTAATATTGATTCTGCATGTATAAATAAGAATCGTTGCCTATAAGCTTGTATGGTATCACAGGCAACACTAAATGAATTTGTGACACCCATAGGAGGTACTTATGCACTGCCGTTCATGAGGGTGAAGGTGCATGTCTCCCATACCCTGTAGTTTCACTGCTTACTATCTCACCCTTTAATCCGGATACAGTTAATAAGTTGCAAGGAATAAAAACAGGCGAATCTTAGTTGCCCACGGAGATGACTTTATGTATCGTCTAATTCGTTTCAATATATATGATATGTTTAAACATTTACTTTTCTTCTAAATTATATTATTATATATTGTACCAGGTAATATAGCATAATGTACGAAATGTATATGTGAGTGTATTGATGTAACCATAAAATTTGTGCATGCGTGCGTGCTTACGTACGTGCGTGCTAGCCTGCGTTCATTCTATACGACGGCATCGGTGATTTAGCACACCGCTTTACATCCGATGGTCGCGGATTCGATTCCTCGCACGGTGCAAACATTTGTATTCATCAGTATGATTATTTGTCTGATATAGACAATCATACTGGGTGTTTTCTATGTATATTATGTATCTATTAAAAAAACATACTCACAGTGACTTCTCTGTATATAATGGAGATCGGGTTAAAAAACATCCACTTTTGATAGATTTGATAGACGGGATCCAACGAAATTAGTTATTCCGGCATGTAAAACTTCTCTTCATCAAAAAAGTTGCTATTTAATGGCTATAAAAATATATAATAAAATCCCCCGTCACTTTAAAGAATTGACCATAAATTCTTTTAAATACCAATTTCGGAATTGGCTAATTGACAATTGTTATATTTAGAATTATTAGATAATAAAATTAATAGTATTGTTTGATATATTTGAATAATATTGATTGACACCTAACTAAAATAAGTGTAACGTATCTATCTAAATTTGACATATAATACAATTTTTAAATGTAAATTCATTAATTCTATTGTATAATCAGTATATTACTAAAATGTTGCCAAAACGATGGCGAAATATGTGGACAATTTTATTAATACTGACATGCTTTTAATATTTATACCATATTTCATGCAAATAAATACATTTCATTTCATTAAGTATTTATATCAGTTATCGAGTAGCCATACCACATGCTGCTTACTATGGGACTAGACGCTGTGTTAATTGTTCACGGTTATTTATTTATATGCAGTTATAAACCATGAAAATGTATACATTTCAGGAGGTGATACTGTTCTGCCGAACGCGTTTACTCAACGGCTGGGAGCCGGTGGCTGTGTGCGAGGAGCTGATGCGACAGTGTCTAGCTCCAAACTGCGCGACTGGCGGCCTCGGGTGCGACAACATGACTGTGCTGCTCATCTGCCTAGCTCCTTTCCCGCGCTGCAACCCGCCGGTATGTAAACGAAATAACAAAATATGCACTGGTTGTTATCTCTTGTCTCTGTCTTTAGGAAGAGGTAGGAATAGAGAGGGAAGGAGATAAACATAATTTATTAATGTTTTCATAATTGACGAAGACTATTAAATATATTATATGTAATTGGAATGATAAGCAAGATGATGTATCTGATGGTAAGCGGTAATAGTTACCTATGTATACTACGGACATCACGTTATCATGTGACTGTGATACCACTCATGCATTGCCCTTTCTGCCTCCTACAACGAGACAGCTTATAAAGTAAGCCGCTTGGCTGAAATGGGCGAGATCAAGGTAACTACGCGGACGCCTTTTTACACTATATCTCTGTTTATTTATAAAAGATATAAACTATTGAAATTTCTTAATTCGGTTTACGTATTCGTACAATTAAGGGATGAAATTTCTTTATAATACAAATTTTTGGTTACAAATTTTCTTTTAAAATAGTTGCTCCATCCAATGGATGGACTATTTGCATAACAATGACTGTCATGATTTTATTATCCGTTTCCAGTAATTTTATGTACAAAAATCTCTATTTTTTTGTATATAGGCGTTATACCATAGACCGTACGAATGGTAATGCATGAGGTTTAGCACCGGTCACATGAGGACTATATCTGTAGTACCATTCATGTAATTAGACGATGTTTGCCATTTACCATCAAGTAGACCGTCAGATTCATTGTTTACCATTCTAGTTATATTATATTAAAAAAATTGAGTTTTTCTGCTGGTTACTTGTTGTATGTTCGTTTTTGTATTTTGTGCATGTTTAGTTATAAATAATTGCATGTAAAATTGCATGTACTAAGTGTATTATATAACATGTAGAGTGAGCATGTAATAATAGGTGAATGAGTTTCATAATGTTGAATAAATACTATAATATATATATATATACATACAATCACACATATATATATATTTATGTTAATTTTTATACATGTACTGGTTGACCCTGCAAACGCTGTTTTACTATATAAACTAGTATTGCTGTAAAATATAGAGGTTGATCGTAAAAGGGTGAATATTTTGAGTTGTATGTATTTTCAATGATAAATCATACTAAAATAAAAAAATATATTTAGGGGTGGGTCACATTTATCATTGAGAAGTATGAAAGATGGTTGTTAGCAGATTTGCACACAAAATTTTATAAAAACCGGTAAAGCCATTTTGATCGAGTTTAATAACAAACACACGAAATTCTTCAAAGAAGACTTCCTTCTGTACTTTTTTTATTATAATATAAAAAAATACAGTGGTATATATGGGAATGGGTTAGTCAGAGGTTATCGAACATTTCTCTTACCACCTGAAACGTCATGATTCTCTGAATCTTTAGTCATTTTATCACTACTACATGCATATTTAATTTGAACCGTATGCATAATAGTTTAACCCACAACTTTGCTTGCAGTCTCCATTCAAATGCCTCGATACTGCTCGCCCCAACAAGTATTGGACTTTGACACCGACGCGACGGTTCTCCTAATTTTGATAACAGACTTTATCGCGTCTGCACAAGCTTTAATATCAAACTTCCAATGTATCTCGAACTGTGATTGTGTACCCAAAGTTATAGGACTTGGACATTACATTACTCCTATAACAATATTTTTGTTTTTTTTTTCAAATAACAAATTACTCTGTACTCACTCTGACTCGCCAATTCTTTGCTAATACTTGATGTCGCTAAGTATACAGAAAAATACACTTTGTGGCTTTTATTTTAAACATTATTTGAGCGTGTAGTGAAATGACCAAGTTCTATTGTTTCTGTGATTGCTTAGTTGTGTAAATCTATTTGTTTTTATGAATGCATTATTGTTATAATATCATATCAACAAGGTAAGACTGATTTGTGCCATGCACGGTTGTTTTTTCTGCTCATATTTTTGATTCCATATTTTATTGCACATAAGAAAAAAAATATCTGTTTATGTGCGTACTAGGTTTGGATTATGTGTATCATTAATTAACTCAGGTTATATAAAAAACGTTAACATTAAAGTAAAGGTCTATTTCTAGCCAGTGTGCTATTGGTTTGATAAAATAAAATAATAGTAATAGAAAATATTTTTGTTGGCCTAATTCATGTAAACTACTTAGCAAAAGGACTATTGATTTTTTATCTGTAGTTGTAATCTGTCACGAATTACATATATGCTTAAATATGAAGGTTGCCCTCTACCAAATGTCTGTATTAAGGTTTGTTTGCCTGCTTTTATTAATTATATTATTATTTTATTATTATCATATTTTACAAAACAGTTTCCAATTTAAAATGTTATTCTGTAATATAATGTTAATATAATAAAATGTTAACCTTAATATATTTTTATAATATGTAATCATCATCATCATCATCATCATCGCAGCCCGGAAGACGTCCACTATAATGTGTAATGTATATGTATTATGTTTTATAGTAAGTATAATTACATTACAATATAACATATATTCATTATAACATATATATATTATTAATTTAAGATTTCATTAACTATTATATGTCTGCATTTACGATTATGTTTCATACAATCGTCTAATGTATAAAAACGTCTTATAGCTTTTGGAATCTATCTTTCGATTTAAAATCCGAAATTTATAAGAAAATAGCATTTTTTTATAATTACATAAAAAATATATTAATGTTGCGAACATTAGTACAGTTCCTTAAACATTTAAATATATTTATGTATAATTCCTATTTTTATTATACTGGCATTTTTTATATGTTCTGATTCCGTAGACATGAATATATGACTCAGTTGCAATCAATTAAAATTGTAAATTTAGGATGATAAACACTGTGACAGGGTACATCATTATTATGTCTCATATAAGGTACGAGTCAGTTGACAGTTTTATCAGTGATATTATTAAGTTAACTCGGTCTGTACTGAAAACAGTCAAAAGGTTTATATAATATACTAGCTCACCGAGCAAACGTTCTTTTGCCATATAAATTGAAGTAATAATATCGCTATAAAAATCAGGGGTTGATACAAAAAGGGTGAACTATAAAAATAGTAAAAGTGGTTTCATACCCCTGGGGTATGAAAAATAGATGTTGGTTGATTCTCAGACCTACCCGATATGCATACATAATTATTACTTTTATGACATATACCATCTTATATTTTATTGCATAATCACAAATCTGTCGATTTATATACATTTCAAACTCCAATTTCAACTGCGCTATATACTCAGTCTCTAGGTTTGCATGCTGTTTCTGTCAATTAATATTTATAATTATAAATGTTGTATTGTCTTGCATGTTAATTAATTGTATCTTTAAAGCTTAATTTGCATGAAAATTGTATGTTGTTATGATTTTAATGTTTTGTACGGCATGATTTGATTGTCATTTTATAGAGATGTATAATGCAAAAATCTGATTTTTACATGAATTAATTGAAAACAAGCAAGAAATAATAAATTTAATATTAATATTAATTAAAAACCATATGATTAAATAAATATAAAGTTGTCAAACTGTTGTCTTATTGGTCTCTGAAAATATCAGTCATTGGCTTATATTTTATATATATATATATTTAATTTGCATGAAAATTGTATGTTGTTATGATTTTACTGTGATTTGATTGTCATTTTACAGAGATTAATAATTAGGTGCAGTATTTGATTTTTTTAATATATTGAAAACCATGCAAGAAATAATTTTGCTATTACTAGAAATCATAACATTTAAATTTGTCAGATAGTTGTCTTATTCGTCTCTGAAAATCTCGGTCACTGCCTTTTATATATAAAGCATGAACCAATCTGTATAATTGTCTATTGTGGTTTGTTAATGTTGTAATGTTACACCATTATTTTATTTAATTAGTATATAAATTTGAAGTTATGAAGTGGAGCCACTTTCATAGACGAAAAGCTAGGCACTTATGAAATAGTATTACACAACGTTAGTCGTAATCGATACACCAAGCCGAAAGGATAGTATTCATAAAACTCACTCACTTTTAGCAAAGTTTGAATATAAATTTTGAACCTTTAATATTAATTTAATCATGAGATCAAGGGATCAGAAATTTTAAACATGTTTTCTGTTTCCTACTGTTTCTTTGAGGGAGATTGAATATATACATTCATATATTACTTAAAGGGTGGTATCATGGACGTATATGATGATGTAATACCATTGTTTATGTACATAGACCGTTTCCATTTACCACAACTTCGGCCGTACGGTTGTTATTTTAAAAAAATATTCTTTCGTCTTGGTACACCGTTTACTTATTTCGATTTTCATGCCTCATTTATAACATGTTCTAATCATCTAATCAACTTAGCATGCAAATTGTTCTAATTCTGATTTTGTTTTCTGCTTTTGTTTTGTGAAACCACTCGCGTTTGCTTGCAATAAACTATTAATAAATTCCTTGATTTTTATTTTTAGGATACATTATAGGATAACTACTAGTATATTCATTAATTGCATTAATAGTAGCTTTGTACGAAGGGATAAAAATGTCGTATATTAGCTCAGTTTAGCTTTCAATCTTCGTATATCATAATATTATGACTATCAAATCCTCGTACAAACTTCTAAAAGGATGTTCGTTTTAGGAAAACTTGTGTTTGAATTCTCGTACAGTATCATCCCTGTTAGTAGATTACATCCATCTAAAAGTGTAAACTTTCAAGTAAAGAAATACGACTTTTTACATTTAACGTACTTCTGAGGTATATATACCTATTAACCGTAAAAAAACAATTGATTTGGCTATAGAAATTGTCACATATAAAATTTTTAAACAGGATTTAAAATCCTTTAAATCAAAAAGTATATTTAATAAATTATATACATAATAATAATAATTAGGTTATTATTCAGTGATTTATTGGACGCTGAGAAAACTACAAATGCATTATGTGTATGTAGTACGTGATTTAAACTAAATTACATGAACTCAAAAAAATCGGTAAATAATTAAGTTCTTGTGACTTCACATTCAAAAATATTTTTAAAATAAATCCGTTAATTATTTTTGCGCATTTAAATCAGCTGCTTACAATATTCAATTACTATTATAAACACTTTTAATTCCACAGGAATCACCAATTCCCGTCGAGCACGTCTTAGATAGTAAGTTTATGACAAAAATGGATGACCTGCTATACGTGGAAGACGAAGAGGAAGACCTTAAATAAAGACTTATTTGTGACTTGCAACTGTGTATAAAGTAGGATAAATCACTAAATTGTAGGTAAAAAAATGTTACACATAAACGATTTTATCGATTATGGAACTAATATATATTGCAATCGAAATTATCATTCGATTTCATCATATCCAATTATTTAAATAGAGATGATTACATCTACTTTGATGTTCGAATTTAGATATATAATAATGAATCGAAATTTCGATTCATAATATCATAATAACTATTTTTAACACACAAAAATAAATTCTTCACTGACTTCAATCAACTAGGGTCGTCCACGTGTCCTATAATGGCTACCGGATACGGCCATGCTCTCTTTACCCGGGTATACTTAGGCAAGGGATATTCAGAGTTACTCGTAAAGGACATACTAAGATGAAGAAGGGTATCATTACTGATCAAATTGTCCTAATAAGTAAAGTGGAAAATTGATACAACTTACACAAACAATGGCCCAAAAGAGAGGCTAAATGTGGCAATGCAACCTTCATACAAATTATGTATGCGTATTATTTATACATATTTCTACAACTCCACAATTCCTCCAGTCGCTCAAAAGCCAAAGGTTAAGGGGAAAGGAAATGGAAGAAATCCTCTTTTGGTATAAGTTCGTCATCGTACGCATTTATTGTATAGATCAACTGTGTTCTTTTATACATAATTTATTGTGCAATGAAGCAACCATATTATTTAATATGAACTAACAAACAAACAAATTATGCGTCACGTCACATGGACATAGTATGATTAGTACATAATTATCTTATTCAAAATTAGCTTTTAACTTGGTATACACTTTACGACTGACTTTTTATGAATAACATAATAATTTAATTTATTACAACTTAGAATAATAATATTTCGGTCTGGTAATCGATATTCAAACATTGGTAGGTATTGCAAATGTTATTAGCTATCTGCATGTTATTGGGCTATCTGCCTAATTAGTCAATTGTATATATATACATTGTTCACTTTTTTTTTTAATTTACTTTTTATTGATTTTTTCTATTGAATGAATTATATAAATTTTTCACGGGTTTAATGTTGTGTTTTATCGGTTGATAAAGGCAATTATCTCTTTAAATTGTTCTTAGATATTATTTAGGAAATGAATAAAAATAGCTATCCCAGATAGTGTAGCTAGAAGCATTATGAAGTGTGGAGGTCGTGTAGAAGCCAATATGGCAAGAAGTTGATGAATCACACAAAATAAAACTAATAACTCGTATACGTGTGAGGGATTTCCCGCGCAAATTATTTTGCAGCTTTTGTATATTATAAAAATTGTATTATATTATATTATAAAAAAATTGTTACATTATATTATTAATGTTAGTTGTTTCTTTTTCGTTTTAATTTATGTGATAATTTTGTGTCATATTAGGTAAAAATAATAATGATTAGAAGTTATTAGATTACGTACGACCGAGATTTATATTTTTGTTAATTTTATTTAAGATAATTATATATTGAAATATGTATATTAAGCCTTAAGAGGAGGACGTGAGTTTATAATAAGAAACTACATATTTTTTATGTAACTTTTTTTTATATAAGTAAAAATATCTATAATAGATACTAGTTAATAACAATCGGTTATTATTCTTAAATATGAGAGCTTAGAAAACTGTAATATTAAAAAAAAGATATCTCGCGTCATTGTTTGCCGTACCACTATTTGTTTTGTCTCTATTCTTCTAATTATGATTTTGGTTTCAAAGAAAGAGAAGAATATATAATCGTACTTTACAACTTGAACAGTAGATTTTTATGTTTATTTATTACTGTTGTTCATAATTATTTACAAGAGGAATATAATACAAATTAAATTAACAATTATTTTATAGACCTATGAATAGATTCATGTTATATTCGTTTAAATATTATTATTTTATCACAATATAATTTTTATTAAGTTAAAACCACACGTGTTTTTTTAAATCTTTATTCTTTACCGATGATTGATATTAGTATGTTATTACGTATAATTTGTAAATTAAATATTAAATTTTCTGTCTAGCTTAAATGACAGATGTTGGGAGTGGCAGTTATGATATCAAGTGTTTATATTTAAATAATTTATAATATTTATAAGTTAGATTTGCCTTATAGTCATACATTAATAAATATAATATTATTTTTATATATGAATCATAAAAAGCTCGACAAGTAATCATTACCAGTTTTAACCTACGCATGTCAAAGATAGCTTATATAACCAATTATATTTATAAAGTATTTTATTAATTAATTTAGAACACAACGTAATAAACATAAACACGGAGTAGGAGATGCGTGGGATGTGAAGAGTTGGGCACAGAGTAATGTTGATGACTATACACTGGCACAGACTAGCTACGGAGAATCTGTTGTGTATCTATGACATAAATTATATATTTTTTAAATTGTATCTTATTCTTTGAACGTAGGTTCCGTCCGATTAATTTGCAAAATGGTCCAATAGTGCATTTAAAGTGTAGATTATGTAGAATGATGCATAATATCAATTAACATGGTCATGAAATGTGATAAAAATGTATAAATCTGACCACTTCGATATCCCATCGGTATGCGATGGTCGCCAATTCGATCCCTATACTTTACAAACATTTGTATTCATAAATGTATATGTTTGTATTAGTCTAGGTGGTTTTCTATGTAATATGTATTTACAAAAATATATATATTTAAGTATTTATATCAGTTCATAGCATAAGCTCCGCTTAGTATGGGACTAGGTGGCGCTATGAAGAATTGTCCAAGGTTATTTATTTATTTTAAATATCTATATATTACTAGGCACTATGTTTTGACTGTATTTTTGTTCGGACCGTGTAATGGTGTAAATAAGTTTCATCTACCATAATTAAAAGCACCAAAAGTCCGATTTATTGCGCTTAAACTGAGCCAGCTGAGCATTGGAAATTAAATATTTGGGTTGTATGTATTTTTTAATGCCACTTTAAAAAAAAAATTAGGGGTGGACAACCCTTCTCACTGAGGTGTATGAAAATATATAGTAGCCGATTCTCAGACCTACGGAATATGCATATAAAATTTCATAAAAATCGGTCAAGCCGTTTCGAAGGAGTATGGTAACTAACATTGTGACACAAGAATTTTATATATAAGATTAATGTAATTTTTGAGATCTGTAGTCACCAGTGTTGATGGAAATCCATTGTCTTCGAATTGATGATATTACAATTGAATAACTTAAATATTATGACTATATTAAACGTTAAGTGCAATTTATTATATCATTAGAGAATGTAAAAAGAATACATATATCTAATATTACTTACACAATTCCATATTTTTGATAATGTAAATATCCATTGACATTTCTTCATATGTTGTTGAACAGATGTTGAAACGGAAACAATAATAACAATATTAAGACACTGTTCGTGGAGTCTGATCACCCCTTGATACTCAAATGGCGCAAATTTTGAGCATGGTTAGAAATACTATATTAATCATGCTCCAAACTTAGCGTTAAATAGTGCATTTTTTTCCTTGACATACTCCCCTATACTTTTGATTGACCTTGTAGTAGGTCAATCAAAAGTATAGGGGAGTACAACATGGTTTTCCTATTTAAGAATAGTAAAACCATTAATAACAAACATGACTATTAAGTTATTCTTGATTGTTATATTATTTCCGTTGTACTTGGGTAATTTACAACAACGAAAATTTATCACATTAAATAGTAATAGTTATTTATATATACATAGGGCGTGTTGTAGACTCAACTGATTCACTAAAACAAATATTCATACGTATTGTAAATATATTTTATAAATATATATATATTGCTCTCGCAATAAACGTAACGGGTTATAAAATTACCCTATTATAATCGGGGAAATGAGTATTTTCTTTGTACAACAAAAACATACACAATATAACCAATATAAGACCAGACTCACAGTTTCTGGGCGAACCGTGATGGCGATGCGTTTGATTGGCGCATTTCTAAAGCAGCGGGGCTTAGGAACCTATGCGCCAATCAGACTGCATCGTCGCCACGACATTTACCGTAAATGTGTGGCCAGGCCTACAGCGATAGTTACATCAATCATCTTAAGAAAATGTCGATTAAAAAAAATATGGATGACTCATTATCATACACATAGCGTGTTTTATCTATGATTATTCGCTTAATTACAAAGTAAAGTAGACGATTTGCGAATACTAATTACATCCGAATGTTTATGATGCTATAGACTTTTTTCCCTGATTGTAACAATGTATTATAATAGTTTGGAAATGTACCTAGTTATTTGTATTTTATCAGAATTAATTGTATCGTAGGCAACTTGTAATATTGTGACTTAAATAATGTGTAAGAGCACATTACACTACCATTAGCATGCTTAATAATAAACTGCATTATAATAAAATTGGAGTGGAGTGGAAAATGCCTAGTAAGGCACGGGTATATCATACATATAAATCTTCGTCTTGAATTACTCTATCTACTGCTAAAAACTCCGATTCGAAAAGAAATCCGGTGCGTAGTTTAAAAGATCTAAGCGAAAAGACAGCTGAAGCGACTTCATTTTATATTATGTAAAGATATTTTATAATAATAATGTTTATTTACAACTGACAATGATTGTATAATATATCCTGAGTCACAATATTACAATAGTAATAAATAACACTAGTAATAGCGCCAGACGTCACCTGGCAATGCACTAGTCATGTTTAAGGTAGCGGTGTGTACAGTACTTTATGTTGTATAGTAGTGGATGTAATAAAGTTTTACATTTTTACTGTATTTTTGTTTTTGGTGACAATGACTTTCCCGAATTTCAAGGGCTTCTCATAAATAATGTGTTTTTTATCACGAAAGTGGCTGTGAAGGTAGACCATAGGCGAAAAAGCAAGCAAGCAAGCAGCGAGCACGGTCATTTGATGGTAAATGGTCACAGTAACCTATGGATGTATGAAACACCATTGCTGGCACGTGCGCGTTGCCGACCCTTAAGAAACCTTAATATACACTTTCTGAAAAACCAATACTGTAGTCTCACTGGAGAAAACTTTGGCAGGTAGTTCCTTTCACAATCAAAGTGTATGCGGGAGGAAGGTCCTCAGAAACCGCACTGTCCGATACTACTTAGGTTCCAGCGTGTGGAGATGAATTCCCTGTCGATGGCGAGCAGTGCGATGGTGCACTAAACGAAGTCTAAGCGTACTCTACACTGTAATAATAATAACCCTGGATAATTCACATAATTCTGCAGTGCAGTGCAGGTAGTTCATTCCACAAACCACATGTCTGGCTAGGACAGACTACGTCTTATTTGCGGAAATATATTATAGGGTCGGCAACGCGCAAGTGATACCCCTGGTGTTTCAGGCGTTCACAGGCTACGGTAACCATTTATCATCAGATGGGCCGTATGATAGATTGCCACCATCGTAGTATAAAAAAAAAATATAGAGATTAATGAAATACGACATGTGCTATGATTGAGAACCTGGAAAACTATTTTTATTGGCAGTTTTTGGGCTATTGTATATTGTATTTATTAGCACCTGGCTAAGACATATAATACTGCGACCTGTATAGATTTATTGTGCTCGTCCTTATTCAAAGTTACCTATACCTGGGACAAGAATAGAACGATTTTTTTATTGACGATAATGGAATGGAGCATCCGCCTGCGCTAACGGTTTACACTAGCGGGGTACCAGTGGAGGATGATAACATGAGGTCAGGTAGTTAGCCCATCGTGACAACCTCACCACGAAGTTATCACGATAATTTCCAGGGGAAACGGAACGTGGAGGTCAACCTGACATGGTACATTGCTAGTAGTGGAGTCCATTACATTACTAACAATC